TCAAAACTGCAGTAGTATTTATTCAAGACGCAATTTTGCGCATTCGTGCCTATAATAAGGATCGCAATTCCAGTTAGAATTGGAATGACACGCATTTCGGTAGTGTACTTTTTGAGTAAGGAAGTCGATTATGAGGTGAAAAATTACTACTACATAGTGCAACAAAGCCAGAGTGCAACAAAGCCAGAATGATACAGAGACAGCCCTAGCGGCTAGGCAGGGACGTATCCCTCCTTCGCAAGACTGATCCGAGCATGATAGCGTAAGCGGCTAATTACTAGAGGAAAATTCTCGGTCGGATTGCGAGGAGACTGTACAGGGTACAGGTCGCAACGTCGAATGTCAAGTGGCTGAGGCGGGTCACCAGCAGGCATGGGGAAAATAATCTCAGTTTGAGTGCATCTTGGGATCCCTTGGTCATTTCTGTAAAGTTCGAGGACTCCGCTAACTGAGCTATTTGCATGCTTCGTCCACTTAACAAGAATGACGATTTTGATCGCCCCGTTACCATCAATGAGTAACCGATTCATGTCATCAAGTAGGTCATTATATGACTCGCTCCATCCAACCTCTGCGACAAGAGTTGGAAAGGGCTGCGATGGGGTGTGAAGAAGAGCATCTGGCTCCTTTCTGAGACCGCGATATGGACCATTTTGTTGGGATGGAAGTTCGTCGCAACCCTCGTTTGTTGTTTGAGTAGACAAACCCTCCTTTCTAGGCTTTCTCTCTTCTTCCTCTCTCTCTCCCTGAGCAGTCAATTCAATCGGTTCAGTCTTCTTCTTCTCTCTCGCCTGTAGGCTCAATACATTTGTGAATGACAGTGCTTTAGACATATTATTAGTAAGGGTACGATCAAAGTCGTCTGCTGAACTCACTTGTGCCTTGTTGTGAAGAAGGTCTAGCTCTGCTGGGTTCAGGAAACCCGTCGCGCAGGCTCTGGAAATTGAGGCTGAAATCCATTCGGCAATGCAATTGTGGGCATAAGTTGGCATGATTTTGAGTCGCAAACAACGGCTCGCTGGGTTATAGGTTTTTCGAATAGAAGGGAGATCCTCCTCGGATTTCCAGAGGAAATTCTCCCACCCTGGCGGGATTTTGGTAATCACGAGCTCATGAAAGCTCTTAGCCTCGCGAAGAGTATTATGAATAGCCTCCTCAAACTGTGGTTGTGTTTTGAACCGATCTGCGGAGACCACAGTCCTTGATGAGACACTCGAGGGAGTTAAGGAGAGAGTAGGCATGGAAACAGCGAGGCGACAGAAGTGAGAGAAAAGGGAAGAGAAGAGAAGAGTACCTACCTAGGTACCTAGGTAGGTATAGATGCCCACCTGGGCAGGTGCGTCCGGCTTATCGATAAGAATGTCCTTATCGATAAGCACGTGACCAAACTGCGCGACTGTCACGTTGCGCCCGCGAAGTCCCCGATTTCCCCCAAAATACGGCGCACAGCAGCGACAATAGACGACAACCATCTGATAAGCCAGCTCCACACCTTTCTGTCTATCACTCCCACGCGCCTCTGAGGAGGTAGCGCCCACCATGGTGTACGATTGGGCTGGGAAGCGGGAAATCTGCTACCAGATGTACATCCAAGAGAAGAAGTCGCTGGAAGAAATCATGGAATATATGCGGACCGCTTACCAGTTCGCGCCCAGGTATGTTTCTATTACGGATTTCGTCTATACATTACTAACTGATCGCAAAATAACAGTAAACGCGCGTTTCAAACCCAATTCAAGCGATGGGAGTTCCCGTCCAAGCAGAACCCAGCACACAAGAATGTTGACCTCGTTGTGCGCGTGAAACACCTCTGGGAAAAGAACACTAGCCAGCGAGACATGCTTCGCATTCTGAATGAGGAAGGCTTTGAGATTAAAGAGAGGGAATTAATGCGAGTTCGCGCAAAGAATCGTTGGCTATTGCGAGTTCCCAATGGAATGAAGTCCCATCCCAATGCCGAGACGGAGGCAGTCAACCCCGAAGACGAGGGACTCCTTGCCTTGCAACAGGAAGTGTACAAAGTCGAAAGCGCACTGGATGATCCAGACGCTCTTCCCAATGAGCCAGATGCTGACCGACCGACCTCCGAATCCCCCGCTCTGTCGCCTGAGGTCATCGCAAAACGACAGGAGCGGCTGGATCGCCTTAAGACAGAAAGCGCGGAGCGTTGGGCTTCCCGGAAACGTCGTCGTCGCACTCGAGGCTGGGCTGGTCTACCGGCCGACCCCCCTGGCCCTCCACGCTTCCCCTCGGAGACAACAATTGACGAGAGCAAGCAGTATCTCAGTCTAGACAACAACATGTATCGCCAGACCAGGGATCATTTCCAGCGAATTTGTGAAGAAGCTGGATTTATAAAGAAAACGGCGGCCGGGCCTGAGAGATGGCAGGCTGCGAAGGACAAGTTGATCCAAGAATCCCCGCATCTTCAACAGGTCTTCAATGCTGATCCAACCCAACGTGATGCAAAGGTACTTGCGCTTGACGTCGTTTGTACCGATGTCACAAAACGGATGCGGACTTTGGAGAGGCGAATGACAATCGCAGAAGCAAAAAACGCATTGGGGATCAACCCAGAGGAAAGCCGGCAGATTCGAAATGCCTTCTATGACACATTGAAAGTCGACCATTTTACCAGCAAGCTGGAGGCCGGAGACGACCACTGGCGCGAGCTGAAAGACCAATGGATTTCGAACTCGGAGCTACTACGGCGAATACTTGCTCCCGGGCAAACTGACCCAGATCATGCCAACAAACTCAAGGCTCTGGAAGTGCTTTGTCGCGACGTCATGAAGAGATTACGAGATGATCAAACAAAACGTGATCCGGCCCGCAAGAGATCTTCGGCACGCGCCGAGTCTCGTAACTCCACCCCCACAAATACAAATACCTCGATGGGCAATATGTTGGGCAACGAAATTAGCAATGGGATCAGCACACTGGCCTCTCAGGCACTGGCCAGCGCCCCGATCTCCGCCACCGAAATTGGAGACATGCAAATCGATCCTTCTCTTCTTCAAGCAGCCAATGACCCATCCTTCACAAACCCTCATGGCAACGGCGCCTTCGAGTATGTGGGCACTATGCTCAGCTCCGAAATACAAAATACCCCTGTCTACTTCCAGATTGGCCCTTCGTCAGAGACGGCGAAACCATGGCTCGAGAAGCTGACTACATGCACGGTGGAAGAGCTCCGCCAGCTTATTGACGCGAGATACCCCTATTCAATCATTTCTAGAATCGAGGGAATTGACAGAGATGGTGACGGGAACGAGATTCCGTTCTCTATCGAAGAAGATCATGACCTGGATGCTTATTTGACCCATGTGCATGGAAGGAGGGCTCTACTTGTATTCACCATCTGAGCGTTAATTGGCTTGTCGTTGCTGAATGCTCTGGGGAATTTGTTCCTGTACTACTTAGTACTGAAGTAAAATACCATTACGTTCTGACGTCCATTGATGACGGTCCGGCGTCTTACATCCATGGATTTGATGATTCCCCGGACATGACTTGAAGAATTCCCTCGGCAGAATGAAGCAGAAAACCTGGAATCAGTTGAGAACAAATATGTAAAATCGTGATAATTTTGGGATACCAAAGGTAGGCATGTAAATATACATTGTTCGCTGTCCACAATTCCAACTTTCAAAAAGAAAAGATCCCAACCGCTACACCTGTGCACCGAAAACCCATAGACCACTTAGTTTGCACCAAGGGTTTGAACCACGTTCCTGAAGAGGACTCCAATAGCAGGCAGAGAGAAAGAAGGAGTCTCGCCAAACACGCCAGCCAGACCCTTGGTCTGGGCTGAGAAATCGGCCACATCCTCAATTTGGGCTTGAGCGGGCTTTTCCGTCCGCGAGAACAGAGTCGACAACCCGCTGTCGATTTGTCCAGTCACATCACGAGACTGGTTGTTCTGGCTCTTCTGGGATGCCTTGTCCAGGCAACCGAGGCGCTGCACTGTGGCGGCGGTATCAAGGACAACGTAGTCGCCTGAGTAAGCATCCGCGAGCAGTGAAACGGGTGCGCTCTTGAGAGCTTCTTGGAAGACGACTTCGAAGGTGGAGGCATCGTAAATCTTGATTTCAAATCGAGCCTTGTTCTTCTTCTTGTTTGCTGTGGCATAAGTGATTGCGAGCGAGTTGGTTCGCGCGTTCACAGCAATCATGGTATTCCCAGTGCCCTGCGAGTCAACGGAGTCAGAAGACTGGATGGTGCGGACGACATCGTCGACTGTGTTCCACGCAACGACGGAGTGGGTAGACGCGATGATCAATTGACCTCCCAGGAAGCTTGTGGAGCAAGGGTTTCCAAGGAAGACGCCTGTTCGGCGATAGTGCACGGTGGAGTCGCGAGCGTTGACAAGGAGAACGAGGCCGTCATTTGCTGCCGAAGTGGCGGGTAGGCAAACGGCCAGGACGGAGCCGTCCTCAGAGAATGACATACAAGCCGACTTCAGGGGCGAATCTTGCGCGGTGTCAAGACATCCCTTTAGGTCGACGATGCCTCGGCACTTCCAAGTGTTCAAGGGCTGTTCGGGTTGATCCTTGGCTCTGAGACCACTGCGGTGCTTGACAGTTGGGCACCAGAAACGGAGGGTTGAGTCCGCACCCAGTGTGGCGAACTCATGGACGCCTGGGCGGGAGGCCAGACCGAGGACGGTGGAATGGTGGTTGGCAGAGAAGTGGGGTCCATCAACACGTGTGACCAATTCCCATGTATCAGACGAAGCATCCCACTTCCAGAACTTCAAGAAGACTTCCTGGTGGGTGGCAGCAGCCTTGCGATCGAGAGCCCCCACGTCCTGGGCGTGTGGTGCCCAGGAATCGACTGTCGCTAGCCACTTGGCGTCATGCACTATGTCCAAGTGCTTGACATCGGGTGCAAAGACATGGGTGCCTTCAGGACCCATGTTCAATGTAGTGGCATTAGTGCGCGCAAGAGCTTGGCGGGAGATGCTGGAGTTGGAACGGATATCATATGTCTGAAGCACGGCCGCGTTTGCAGGCTGAGAGCTGTGCTGGTTTTGGGTGAATTGGTGAGAGGCTGGCACGGAAACAATCAGTCTCTCGGGTTGCTGGGGGTGTAGTTTTGCCACAATGGACCCATTTGAGGAACCAACAGAAGCCCCGGCGTCTGGGGACAGCTGCAGTCCTGTGATTGAGGCGATAGGCTGCAATTCTCTTGTTGACAAAACCATGATGGAGTTGTCAGCCAGCTTGACAACGTAAGCGCTGCCGCTTGATGAAACGACAATGTTGCAAATGGGCGAAGACAGATGGGGGAGGAAGTTTTTGCGACCAGTGTCCAATTGCCAGAGAACCATGACAGATTCATTGCCACCTGAGATGATATAATTTCCTAAGAAACCTAGTTAGCATTGTCATCTCAAACTTTCGCAGATGCGCATACCGTCTTTGGACCAACGCAGAGTGTTACAAGCGTCTCGGTGCCAGTGCAGCTTCCTGGGCGCGATCTTCTTGTCACTGCTATCCTTGCCAAAGAGGGTGTCCACAATGTTTTGGTAGACCAGGATAGGGCCGGTAGTCGCTCCTACGGCCAAATCGATCGAGTCTGAGCCCTGTATATCAAAGCTGGCTGCTTGAACAGGAAGGACGACCTCGCGCCAGTTGTACTGCACATTCTGAAGGGTTTGAAGCTCTGTACCCTTCGTGGTTCCCAGGAACACATGACTTCCATCACTCGCAAGGACCACACGACCGTTGCCGGTCACCTTAATAAAGCTGAGTCTCTGAGATGTCTCGAGAATAGTAGTACCTTGGATTTTCTCATCTCCAAGAGGGCTGACTGAAATCTGGCGCTTTCCACCCTTGGACGAGTTGATGGAGAAGCACAAGGTGGATTTGCTCTCTTCCTTTCCGATGGAAACCAAACTCGTCGCGATGGTCTTAGATGTCGTTTCCCAGCGCGCAATTCGTTTTCCGGTGGTCCAGTTCCACTTGCTGATAGATCCCGCCAAAGTGAACACATAGAGGTTCTCGTGATCCTGAGGACAGACACTAAGTCCTACAATTGTTTGACCAGCCTCCAATTGGATTGTACGTGTGATGCGAGAAGTGGAAGTGGCGATTACTTGGACGGCTGTGTCGAGTCCAACCAAGAGAGATCTTTAGAGTATATGGGTTAGCAGCTTTTATATCAGCTGGAAAAGAAGCTACTCACGTTTCGTCCTCAGTCAAGATGGGGTCCAAGTTGGTGTACCGGCCACCGATAGGGCGAGAGAACGACCACGGCGCGGGGGCTTTTTGCTTGGCCTCAGCATCTGCTTGGACATCACCACTGGATACTGTCACAGCTTTGGATTGTTTTGTAGCTTGAGGGCTCTGGTTCTCACTGGCACCGGAAACTCGGCGCTTCTTGGATCGCTCGTCGTTTGACCGGGCAGGCTTCTCGGCGGCATCGCTTGGCCGGGACCGTTTTTGTTGTCGCGCTGACTGATTGGCCGCCATTTTGTGGGATCCAAGGTTGAGGAATTCGTGCTTTGGTAAAGAACGAGTTCTGCGATTTAAATGGGCATAGCTCGTGCAAATCGGTAGGCAGTTGCAGAGAGTCGAATATGGGGATCTAAAAAGTCGGAAAAAAAACTACGGATTAGTCATCGACCGATAACGCGCCCTTATCGTGATCTATAAAAAAGGAACCTTGGAGCATTTGAACATTTTATTGCTCCAGTACACAGATGCATTTTCCTACTGAAGGCCTCCAACTACAACTCCAATATTCTCCAAACTATACCGCTAATCCGCATTGAGATACACAGAAAAACCAACTCAAGTTAGGTAGAAAAGGTCTTCATAAGCCTAACAAAGTGACCATAAGTAAAATCCAGAAGATAGCAGTGGGAGAAAAATGACAAGAACCTACAATTTTGCATATACATGATCAGAGTACGGGTATTTGAATAGCAAAGCAAACAAACTTGGGGCCCATACAGAATCAACCCGTGGTTTTGAATTAGAATGTCTTATTTACTGCCGTATCCAAGCCGCAGTGCATCTCCTGAACCAATCAGAAACCTGTTACTGCTGACTGATAAATATGTACCACGTGACCTGATTGCTCTGGAGAAAACTCCGGACATTCTGGTTAAGCAAGCTATTGTCGTAGTTGTCCTCGTCAATTAGGACAGAGTAATTAATGAAGAGCCTTGTCAGGACTCCGAGAGTCCCTTATCTGGACACAAGCGTGAAAAATATATGCATCAGGCGGAAGCTAATGTATACAATCCAAAGCGGTGACGAGTGGCAGAAAAGTCTGGTTCAGCATCATCCACGCGGTACAGCTTTATCACTTCTTTCGTCTATCGGGTAATCAGCTACTTTAAATCGCCAAGATGATTATTCCTGTTCGTTGCTTCTCTTGCGGCAAGGTGAGCAGTCAGTCCCAATCCCCGATGTATCCTCACTAAACTCGCGCAGGTCGTCGGTGACCTTTGGGAGCGTTACCTGCAACTTTTGGATGACGGTGTGCCTGATGGGTATGGAAGACATGATCCACTACAATTGAGTATCGCTAATCAGTCCCCCTCGCAGTGATGCCATGGACCAGCTTGGCTGCAGACGGTACTGCTGCCGACGAATGATCATGACCCACGTCGACCTGATCGAGAAACTGCTTCGGTATGTTGGAGTGGAGATTGTCCCATTGAACCTCAGAACCCAAAAATGCTGATTTCACACAGTTACAATTCCGCCGAGAAGGACCGCTCCAAGGCTCAAGTATAAGCCACTCACTTTTCTCGACCGAATCAAGCTGTCACCGATGTCAAATGGAAGCTTCTCACTCAATCCCCGTCTCACACCATCCTGCCCGTTCCTTGCTCATCTCCCGAGCTTTTCGACCGCTTCGCCGCGCTTCGTCTACCTGGGAGCAGTGACCGCAAACTGGCACATGTATTTTGTACGACAAGACGAAAAAGAAAAGGAATCTTAAAGCTCAGGCGTGGCCGTTGGTCTTGGCCGAACTCCGCACTTGATTGCCACGTTGGGAATTCTCCGGGGGTGAAAGTGGCTTTTGATGCGTTGGGCGACGTGGATCGAGATACAAGAGCTCGAAGTCTCTCAGTTGGTTCTGGGATATGCATTTAGGGTGGCGTTTTACGCTACACACTGGGATAAGGCGTCAAGGGAGGCATTTGCGTTTTGATACCTCATCAATGAAGTTTATCAACTTTTTTGCAGTCCGTTCCCTGGATATAGCCCTGGAGGGCGTTCGTAAACCCAGCCCGGGCAGTCACCCGACATTCCACATTGTGGAACTTGTCTCTCTATTAGATCCAGGCCGCCATCAACTTCAACAACTCGTCGTAATTGAATTTTGCGCGACGGACTCCCGTTTGACCTGTAGCATACCCAAAGGAGGGTCGCCCCCAACTCCATGCGCCGTTGGATTGATAGATGCCGAGGCGCCTAAGAAAAAAAGAAGAAAGGAAGGATATCCACAATATAACCGAGTTTAGGCGCCGTGATGAACATGCATCTCGAACCCCCGCGGGCCACTCAGCTCGTGCGGAGCTACCCCCGACTAAACCGCTTATGGGACGAAAGCGCTTCTGTCGTGAACAACCAATCAAAATGTCAAATGCATTGAAAAGATACAATTACTTAACTATTCAATGGGCTCGAAATCTGGCAACCCTCCTACAATTCCTCCAAAATCAGGGAATTGGTCCGATCGACTTGGGAAATTTAGTATCGGAGCCCTACCCTCACCTGAGGACATCACAGAGAGGTACTTTGCGTATAGTATCACGTGTAGTATACGCTAGGCATGTAAGCATAAGGCCTGGGGCCCAGCTCTCTCTTCTCCATCTTATTCTCCCCCCTTCAACTTGAGCTCTACTCCATACAATCTGGCCATGGCCGTCAGGTCGCCGGTGTCTGTTCTACCGTTCCGCGACTCGAGCGCGTCCTACCACTCTTTGGTGCCAATGTACGTGAAACCCCACGCTCAGAGAATTTGACTGACCGACAGGTCTCTGAATGGATCAGTCCACGGGTCAGTGAACGGGTCGGCCACCGAAGAACATGAGGGCAATGATGGCTCCCGCTTCCCTGAGACCAACAACTCGGTCGAAGATGAAGACGACGCAGAAGAGACAGATTGCGAAGGCTCTCCAATACGTGCGGGGGCACCCCCGCAGCCAGAACTCACGGTATGCATTTTCTCACATTACACTAGGAGGGAGCTTCTGACAATCATATAGATCCAAACCGCCTGCTCCAATCTGGTCGGACCCAACACAAGATCGGACGAAGACGAAGCACCACAGTCTGTGATCCATGCTCCGCCCGGATTCCATGATTTTGTAAGGGTTTCGTTGATATTCTTGTCGCATATTGACTGACGGTATAACGACCAAAAGGCGCCAATGCAGACCACCTTCGAGGGAATAGAAAACTCACAATCGCCATCAATTAGCTCGGAGGAGCAAACTGATACACTGAGCCTGACAGCGCGGACGAAAAAGGTAGCTAGGGTACAAGTCGTTGCGACGACATCTGCTGATCATTTCATACAGTTCAGCAGCAGCCCAATATCACCCCCACCATTGACCACGTCCCTTAGTCTGGGCAGCGACTGTCCCGAGCGAGCAACGCCTCGCGCGCAAACAAGACATGAATTTGAAGAATCCGAGCGACGCACTCGTTCAAGCAGCTTAGAAGGTATGTCGGATGATCTGTACACTATCAGTCCTGCTTGGCTTTGCTAACCTTCCTCGAGATATCCCAGAAGGTATAGCAAACCAACCAGGCTTGAGTATTGCGCGCTAACTCGGTTGCAGGACTGACCAGCAAAGAAGCTGAAATAAAGGCCCTGAGAGATGCATTGGATGAATGTTGGACACTATGCAACACACTGGCCAATCTCAGTTACATCCATCGAGAGCGTATGCTCAAATCCCACAATGATGACATGCAAGAGGATGCATGGCGATCATGCTGGAGACTATGCCAAAAGCTCTATGACACACGCGACGATGACTATGCTACGCAAATCCACCCTACTCTAGATCTCTGTCGAGACTTCTGCCAGGCGCTATTCGAAGCTCGAACCCGCGATACCGATGTCTCCGACTCGGTTTTACGGGTGAGCTTTGAACTGAACAACCATTTATACAACACCCATGATCGTAACCTCCCAGACGCGTTCCGCGAAAGAACATTGGATTTCTATATCACCCTGTGCCACCGGCTCATGAAGCAGCGCACCCGTATCACAGAGACAGACTCTCTACTCAGTTCCTGTTGGACACTAGCCGAAATGCTGTTCAGTATTCGACAGAGTAAGAGAGAGGGGAAGTCGCTGGACGAGGACCTGTTGGGTTCCGCGGTCCAAGCGTGCTGGGAGCTCTGCGATCTTTTCCGGGAAGGATGGACACAACATAATCTACGCAACTCGGACCGAGGCACGCCCCGCCCCAGTCAGACTACATTCTCACAGGCATTCTACCAAGCCTCCCAGCAGTCAGAATTGGATTTCGGCGACGATCTATTAAGTCAGCTTGGTAACCCAGAAACACCCACCACCATTTTTGAAGATACGGCAACCATCTCACCGGACGAGGGTCCGATCCCCAACATATTTGTCTTAGGATACGATAAGAAGCATGGTACGCACAACAAGTGGTCATCCAACGCTTCTAGTATATCGGAAAAGTCGAGATCATCAAGTCACACAGCTTCGTCCGCCAATACCGTGACTACCATATCCGAGGATCCAAATCTCACACGATTGAAGATCCTGATCACGAGAGCGGCCATCAACGGTGGATTCCAACGTGGGGGGAACCAAAATCTCTCATCATTTGTCAAATCCCTTCCTTCAGACGCATTCGGCTCTGCTCCGTGGCAAATATCTTTGTTGAAGAATTATAAAAAGGCAGTTTCCTTCGACCCGGCGTTCAGGAACGTCGGCTTGCAGGCTCGAGTTGGGGCCCTCGATGTTGCGCATGCTTGTCAGGCTATGGTACAGAATGGTCAGTATTCTTGGCTTCGTGACCTCTACCGACTTGTCTTCGGGTTTCATGTGGAGGAAGCGATGGGTCGCAAGGGTGTGGTAATTCAGACCTAGCGTTTCTTGTGAAATGACTTGACCAGCCGCCCTCGGGTTGTTTCTAATGAAAGGGCCTCTAATAGAAGACAAATCGATGGCCCAGTGACATCCTCACTCAAGGGCAAGAGTAGAGTCGTCTACTTTTTTTTGGACTTTCGTGTATAGCGTTGGGGGTACTCTATTTTCTATTTTCCGTTGATTCGCAGGGAATTGAGGTTGGCGGTTGGAGTTCTGGAGCTATAGATACGCTTGTTATGGATAATTGTTCCGATCCCTTGTCGATCTGCAGATCTATCGATCCCACGAGTGTAGCGTCAGAAGATCTGTAGTGTAGGTGTTCCTGAAGTCAGCAAAGCAAAGAACCTCGGGAGATCTGGAAGTCAAGGGGAGATATACATGTGACTGTGAGTACCCTAACCGAACCATCGAGCCTCGATGTCCATGGACCACCTGCAGTTGTATTGTGCCTGTCTGTTCTCGGGCAACTAGGCAACTTCCAAGGCTGTTATATGCGAGCATCTCGTTTACTCCATAAGTACATATAGGGCGAAGAATGGGGCAAGTTGACCGCCCTATTGAGATTCAAACCCCAGTGTGGGGCGTTCACACGGCCCCCAAGCTCCACCCGTAGATTTAGTGGAGAGCGCGATACTACATCACGCAGCCCCCCGGATGTTAAGAGCCTATGGAAGATGGAGGAATTAACCGATTCTCCGTGTGCTGGCAATCCAAAGAAAAGGAAATTGCTTAATATAACGGCGAGTAGTCCGACTGGCCCGGGACAACTTCCTCCTTCTTGGGACCTAAAGTAACCCGGGGGCCGCAACGTTGGAGCCAACCACAAAGCGAAATTCTTCAAATTGGGTAAGTATACCGCTACAGGAATGCGATGTGTTACGCAATTCGAGGCTTGTGTGCGGCTGGAGCGATCCGATGACTGACGTCTCACAAGCATTCACGCCCAGGTGGATGCAACGTGCATTCTACATTACGCGGGTGGTTTAAAGGAACGTACGTTCGAGTTTGAATTGGATGGATACGGGGGAATCCGGGGTTGATTCCCCGTATGTTAATTTGCATGACTGAGAGAAAGGACAAAGGCATGGACATAGAGGGTCATGTAGAAGAAGTGTTTGGTATTTGCAAACATTGTCACGGGTAGTACGTAATACTGCATCTCACGGTCTTTCCAGAAGGAAGGAATTTGGCTTTGAGCCACAGAAGAAAAAAGCAATTGCCAATTGTCTTGGACACGGCTTGTCTTTCGCTTAGTCTTGGCCCCGGGGCCCCGGGGCCCCGGCGCTTTATTGAGGCTTACTTAGTCCGACTTGGTCTGACTCGGCTCTACGCATTAGCGAATGAGCAACTCAATCTGCAAGCTATATCGTTGGTTTCCAAATGGTACACTTTCCTTACATGGATTGAGCCTTGCTCTAGTTCTTTTGCCCTGGTGTTAGTCATTTTTTCGGAACGGCCCCCATGCTGCCCAGGTGTTCTATCCTTATAAAGGATGTTGTTATTTCTAGTCCTTTTTGTTTCTCGCTCTACCACCAGGGATTTATAGCTCCCTCCTGAAGTCGCAGATATCCAAAATATTGCTTAACTGTCTCAGTACTGATACTATCTCGGTGATCAAGTCTTCACTATGGTTGTTCCTAAGTTTGCCGGCATGTCCGGCAAAATGCTGGGGCGTGCTGTAACTACAACTGCTACAATGGGATTCCTCCTTTTTGGTTATGATCGTGAGTGTGTATCGAGCCTACTGAAAGACATTTACTGACCAAATATTTGCCAGAGGGTGTCATGAGTAGTATTATTGATGCCCCAGCCTTCACTGACGTCCTCACTGAACTGAGAGAAGACGCGACACTGCAGGGCACTGTTACTGCAATTTACGAAATCGGTTAGCTCTAAGCCTGGTCTACAGCTGATAAAATCTAACATGGTTCTAGGCTGTCTTTTCGGTGCTATATTCATGCTCATCTGGGGTGATTGGCTTGGTCGTCGCAAGGGTATCATCAGTGGCGCTACTATTATGATTCTCGGTGTGATCATTCAAGTGACTTCGTACGCCGGAAAACAGCCTCTCGCACAGTTTACAATCGGGCGTATCATTACCGGTGTGGGAAATGGAATGAATACCTCGACCATCCCCACCTACCAGGCTGGTTAGTATCAGTGCCATGCACAGTCATATTGATCAAACGTCCAAGTGCTAACTTACAACTCAGAGTGCTCCCGAACATCTAACCGTGGTCTTTTGATTTGCATCGAGGGTGGAACTATTGCCTTTGGTACCCTCATTGCGTACTGGATTGACTTCGGTGCCTCGTATGGTGCTCCCGACTTAATCTGGCGTTTCCCGATTGCTTTCCAGTGCGTGTTCGGTGTATTTATTATTGTTGGTATGCTTGTTCTCCCTGAGTCTCCTCGCTGGCTTTTCACACGTGAGCGTTATGAGGAGGGCGAGACCGTCATTGCCGCATTGATGGGCGCCGAGCGAGACTCCCACGAAGTCATTCTACAAAAGAACATTATCATGGACGCCATCCGTGCCTCTGGTCAAATAGCCAAGACAACCCCTATGTCGGCTGTCTTTACTGGTGGTAAGACCCAACACTTCCGCCGGATGCTTCTCGGCGCTTCATCCCAATTGATGCAACAGATTGGCGGTTGCAACGCTGTCATCTACTATCTACCTATTTTGTTCAGAAATTCAGTCGGGCTAGATGGCAGGCTTCCTCAAATCCTGGGCGGAGTGAACATGGTTGTTTACTCTATCTTTGCTACGGCTTCCTGGTTCTTGATCGAAAGGGTTGGCCGACGCAAGCTCTTCCTATACGGCACTGTGGGCCAGATGGTTTCTATGGTCATCACTTTCGCCTGCTTGATTCCCGGCTCGACTGGTCCCGCCAAGGGCGCTGCTTTCGGTCTTTTTACCTACATTGCTAGCTTTGGTGCAACTTGGTTGCCTCTGCCCTGGTGAGTAAACTCCGACCCTACAACATCAAGCTTGGCGTTAACTTCTCTCCTAGGCTGTACCCTGCTGAAATCAGTCCGATCAAAACCCGCGCCAAAGCCAACGCACTTTCCACCTGTTCTAACTGGCTTTTCAACTTTTTGATCGTCATGGTGACTCCAATCATGATCGCCAAAATCAAATGGGGGACATATCTCTTCTTCGCGGCTATGAACGCTTGCTTCTTGCCTGTGATCTACTTCTTCTACCCGGAGACTGCTCGTCGGTCTTTGGAAGAGATCGATTTGATCTTCGCCAAGGGGTTCTCAGAAAACATCAGTTATGTTCGCGCTGCCAAAGAACTGCCTTACCTTACGGACGAGGATGTCGAACGGGTGGCTATCCAATATGGGTTTGGTAGCCCCGACCAGACCAAGGCCTATGAGAACAGTGACAGCGCCGGTGATGCTTCACCGAATGAGAATGAGAAAGCCACCACTCATCATGAGATCTCTTAGAGGCTATACATCCATTGAGTGTCACTTTACGAATGGGCTAAATTTATTAATACTTCTTGTGTACCGCACCGGGGGATTTTTGTCTACATAAAGCAGAATGCCATACTAGAATACAGAAGTCATGGCGATGCGCCTATGATGCAGATAAACAATAACTTGACATTGCCACTCGGAGGCAGAGAACAGAAACACCATTCACACATAAATATAGCAGAAGGGCCCAGCTGTAGTACTCATAACGTTTTTCATAGCCATTGGGCCCGAGTTGGCATATCCGATATTGAGCATAGTCTCCAATGTCGTGTTGGGAGAAGCAGGCTCATTCATGAACGTACCAGTCCCCGAGATCGCATATTGCCGCGTCTTCAAATCGAGACTTTGCCAAATCCACCACACACGGTCTATCATTCCATGATGGTGCCAAAATCCAGGCTCACCAGGGCTTCCATCGGCGTCACGGCCAGGGTCACCACCCATAGAATAGTGACCACCACCATGAAGTCCGAGAGATCCACTTCCAGGCCAGCCTTGTAATTCCGTTTGAAAATCCCAAACATTGTGATTGTTGAGAATCACATGTACAATCGATGTATAGTTGTTGAAACGCTGTAGAACCTCCGAAGTTAGGTCACGCGTCATACATCGAGGGTTGTAATCGAGAGCATTTGCCATTCCTGTGACATTCCCACCAGGCGTAGACAAGAATGAAGGTCCCATGTTGACAACATAGTCGACGAACGGCCCACTAGTGACACAGCCTCCACCAGACCCTGTAGGGAGATATGCAGGCGTGTAATTCCCCACTGGTACTTTGATGTCCATCTCAGTTGGCATCCAGGCTCCATTCCCGGATAGTGAGGTCTCGCTGCCATCGAAGACCTCCGAATTCTCCATATCATCGGTGTCAGCACCCCAATCCCAATAACTAGAGAAGTTTTTAGTAAGATGAATGTTTAAGACACAAGGAACTTACGGGTAGTCCCCAGTATAAGCACATTCGCTACGCAGGGCGGATTCGAATTCGTGGATAAACCATCGGTGGAATCCTAGGAAGGTTCCCTGCAAGTTATCAGGATCATCCTTGGCGATTGCATCTGGAGAGCCGAACCGTGCGATGAATCAAAAGAGTCTGCTTGATATGTGTGGCTACAAAGTCATCATATCGAGTTTTTGCCCCCGCAGCCAAGTATGAGGGTGTGCGAGCTGGAAGTGCTTGGAGACACAACACAGACTTGATGTAGGCTTTCTTCTCGACGGCGGAGAATGCTCTCCAATCCCGGCGGACTTGTAGATTGTCTAGAGTACACGTCCCTTTGGTATTGCGGAGGATGCTTTTTGTCACATTGAGTGCAAATCCAGAAAGCTGATCTAGCTGGTTGGATGCGATGGCCGTGGATAGCGACGCAGACTTGGGTAGCTCGGTGTGTCCAAGGACGAGTTCGAAGGATAACCAAAGTATAAGAATCTCCAGGATGATCATGACTTCAAGAGAAAAATCAAACGCGCTGAATAATATTGTAAGGGGACCCATGCCCAAATGTTTGTCCGTTGATCCTATCTTATATAGTATGTGAGTGGGTATATACTTGTAGAACTATGTCGGGACACTTTTCATGCGACATCCTAGTCCCGATACCTCCAAAGTTGATCTCGTACTACTCCACTACGCGAATCTGAGCTACGCTTTGGGTGAGGTGAGCCTCGAGGACGTAAGACACATCCTACACCGAAATAACATCTTGGGGAACTCGGATTCAGGGTTACACTTATAGCTTAGCCATAAGCTGACAGGAGAAGTGCCTCGACATTGGAGGAAGTGATAGAAAGATGAAAGATATGTTGTATTGTATGCTAATATCCGACAATAAAGGGTCGTGGCTCTTTAAACCCGCGTGAAGAAATAGACATATGCAGACTTCTTCATTGCCTCGGTATCTTCGAACTTCACAACCTTTTCATCATTGAACATCACCCATGAAAGGCCATCCTGACCTGGCAACTGCTTGCGACTCAATGCAACGTAGTGTCTAACATCGGTTAGCTTGGACCAAAAAGTATACGAGCTCGGTCAACTTACCCTGCGTGAACTGAAGTGCCTTTGTGGCACACAATTGAGCGCAGTTCATAGCGAGCTGGAAGATCAGTAAGCCCAGCGGTGTGACCGGATTGTGGGCTGTGGTCGTCAGCAGTAGGTAGGTCCTCGTCGTCGGGGTGACTGAAGACCCAATCGACTGCCCTGTTGACATCGCCGTCGGTTGCAGCCAGGGCGCGCTGAGCCCGAGGGGCCTCGATACCCATATCTCCGAGCTGCGCGATTTTCATCGGATCCTGTTCCGCAACACCTGATCCGGGGCTCTTTGCCTTCAAAACAAGTGGCTCATCAATGTCTGCATCTTCCATGTGGGCAAAGAGCCAGTTCATAGCAGCCTCCGGATCTTCATTGCCAGTCGCATGTAGAGCCTTTTCACACCTCACGGCGGGGAATCCCATGGCCATAAGTTGATCGAGGGCTCCCGCTTTGGGGACAAATGCGGTCGATTCATCAACCTCTGGTAGCTCCTCCTCGTTCTGATCACGCTCTCCGGCAACATAGGAGCTGAAATCCAGGGTCTTGTCATCAACAAGCACAGGGATATCAAGCTTTGTAGGGACCCAGTTGACAAGCTCAAATCGGCGAGCATTGACCACCAACTCCTTGGGCATTGTTTTAAAAAGCGAGCGTTTCGAGAAGCCATCCTTGCCGCCGCAACCAGGACACGTAAGCTCAACAACCTCTGTTGAAGTGAATATGTCCAGGCACTGAGAAATTGTCACAGCCTCATATTCAGTTCCGGATTCCTCGGAATTGGTAATTGGGCGTGCAGGGACGGCCACTGAGATATTTTCTTGCTCATCCACTCTATAGCGCACCTTCTTGCAATTCAAACATTGGAGGCGCTGCTCAACTTGGAAACGGAAGTCCTGTACAGGGTTGTACAGCCCACTTGAGAGATTTGATCGGGTCACCAACTTGAAGAGGTGGAGAAGGAACTCGAATGCGTCTTGCTGTCTCATGGTTGAAAACTCTTCATGGCCCTGCCCAACAAGGTATTTGAACATTGCCGGCGCCACACCTTTCTGATGAGCAGCTTCGGTTGCATCCACCGATGGTACAGAGCGAGGATCGGGTCGGGAATATCGGCCCGAGAGAATACCATCTGCAAGTTTTCGCAATTGGGTTTCGAGATCTTGGGCTGGTGCCGGACTCATTGGTGGCTCTTCGGACGGATGATAGTATCGATCGCGGAATCCAGTGATCGAAAATATACTCTGCATGATACTGGACAGATAACAGCTGTTTCCAAGATTGGCCAGGCCGGTTAGATCAGGGCCAAAGATTGGGGTCAGCTCCCGGCCATCCTCTGTTTTCATAGAGAATTCCCATTTGAGGTTGTGCTCAACCTGCATTTCCATCAAGCTCTTTTCAGTCTTCTCCCGTCCTGCCAAGTAGATACCCCAGTGAGCAAGGTGTGCGGCCAACTCTGGATCCACTCTTTCCTCGTTGCACTTGTAACAGTAAACATCCGCGGAACCCTCCGCTGTGATAGAGCCGAGCTTGACAGCAACGGCATGTGAATTTGAGTCAGCATGAGTAAGACCGTGTGAGTTTCCTTGACTCCCGCCAAATTGACTCCGTCCACAACCTTTGTTACCACACTCTAAACAAAGCCAGAGGTTCTCGCCCAGGTCGCAGTCGTTGCAGTGGTTCGAGTCTATCAATCTCTGTTAGATTGTTTCACCTTCAAGGGGAACGGGTCTAGTACCTGCTGAGGCGGTTTTCAGGTTTTCTTGTTGGACCAGACAAAGTGTATGCTCACAGGGAACAAACTCTTGCTCCCAGGCCTTAACTTCTTCTTTCTTTGAGTGAGTCATTGCAGTCATAACACCTTCAATCACGGCGGGAAGATTGCCGTCGGCCTTGTTCACGTTGTCTTGAGAGCAAGCATAGCACACCACCGACGTAGCAACGTCATATCTATCATCATCTGTCTCGGCAGCAATGGCAAGTTTTGAGATCTTGGGTGGGGGTTCATCGCGCTAGAATGAATATGTGTGAGCACCGAACGCCACGCCCCATCGAGTTATTGAACCCTTACCTGGACTTTCTTCGGGGTTCTTTTGATGTTGAGAGCCAGAGAATGACCAAAACGCTGGAAGTGAAGCAGGCCATGGTTTCTATCGCCCGCACATCCGCCATTGAAACATTGTAGGCAAACGTTTAGTCCGGCGTCATCGTCCTTGGAAGGTCAAAGTTAGACCAAGTGTGGGGTAATGCAAGAAGCGGTGGGTGGCATACAATGGAATCAAAGCACTGAGTGCAGTCCTCTCGATAGACAGCTTGGGAGGACCCTGGTGGAATCAGATCTATAAGTAGTAATGCCCATTAGCTTAATTTATACTCGATTTTCAGGATGGTGATGTCACAAACCCGGGGCACTGGAATGGACACACGAGGCCATATCGGAGGATGGAGTCTCGAGGATTCAAGAGACTGCCAGATGAGAGTACTTGTTTGCAACAGGTACTCCAAAGCTTCAAACGAGTAATCGAAAAGCAGAGATGGAGAAATACAACAGGAAAGCTGGAAATGACCCCCCACCGCCCACACGTGCCTAATCGCGTACTGCCCGCATTTCCCGCCTCTTATCAATGGTGAGGGTCATGTGACAGCGCCAACCAATTAACGCGTCATTTTTCTCAACACGCGTCGAGAGCTTCCTATATCCCACTTTGGAGTTGACGCTGGCTTCACGTCAACATCTTGTGATATCCTCGAGTTCGCTCGCAATATTCATCATCCCGCCATCAACTTAAACCATATTTTCATAACATCATGGCTTCGGAAGCAGCATCTCAAGTCACCATCGGTGCTCTTAGGTATGTTATTCTGCCTTATTACCCCACAGAAAGGGCACTTTCTCGATGGACCTGATATTAACAATGTTTTGGGCAGTGGCATCTTCGATCAAACTAAACCCCAAGTACCGGAGCCAATTGTTCAGTGTGTCCAGATCAAGTCACTGCCCGCTCAACCGGGACAACCAGAACGGTACCGGGCCGTTTTCAGCGACATTGCCAACTATGTTCAAACCATGCTTGCTACGCGTATGTGTATAGTCTCCACAACTTCTTGTTTCCTGTCACTGACATTTGAGAAGAGGTCAACCCTGTTGTTCTAGATGGTTCGCTCCGCAAAGGCACTTTTGTGAAACTCAAGTCTTTCCAGGCTAATTCTGTCAAGGGAAAAAAGTATGTGTTACATGACCTACTGGAACAATGAAATTTGAGCTGACCAGTCCCAGCATTCTCATCATCTTGGAACTCGAGGTTCTCAAGGAGCTAGGCGAGGCTGAAAAAATCGGCGAACCTAAGCCACTCGACGCCAAAGCCGAGGAAGAAGAGGCTGCTCAGCCTACAACAATCTCCAGCGGTGGGTTCTATGGCAACAAGGTTGAGGCGGCTCCGTCTCAGCCAGCTAGACGAGCCCAGCCCGCTGCCGCGCCAGCCTCCGCTCACGCCACAATTTACCCCATCGAAGCGATCTCGCCCTACTCCAACAAATGGACGATGAAAGCTCGATGCACTCAGAAGTCCGCCATCAAAACATGGCACAACAAGAATGGCGAGGGAAAACTGTTCAGTGTGAACTTGTTAGATGACAGTGGTGAAATCCGTGCCACAGGATTCAATGACCAGTGCGATATGCTGTACGAACTCTTCCAAGAGGGAAGCGTGTACTATATCTCCAGTCCCTGTCGTGTTCAAATTGCCAAGAAGCAATTCTCAAACCTCAACAATGACTATGAGCTCACCTTTGAGAGAGACACAATCGTCGAGAAGGTTAGTCTCGGGTTCTCTTACTTGAAAATAGTCGAGAAGAGATTCAGTCCCCTCCCTGTTCCAGATTTGAACCCATAACTAATGCCCAATCGCAGGCCGAGGAACAAAACGATGTCCCGCAAATTCGATACAACTTCACCACTGTTTCCGATTTGCAGACCGTTGAGAAAGATACCACTACCGATGTTATTGGCGTTCTTAAAGAAGTCGGAGAGACATCTCAGATTACATCAAAGAGCACTGGAAAGCCATATGACAAACGTGAAATCACGCTGGTCGACAATACAGGATACTCTGTTCGTTTGACCATTTGGGGTGCTACCGCAAACTCCTTCTCTGTGGCGCCCGAGTCCGTTGTCGCATTCAAGGGAGTCAAAGTCTCCGACTTTGGTGGAAGGAGTCTAAGTCTATTGAGCTCGGGGTCTATGACTGTTGACCCTGATATTGGAGAGGCTCACAAACTCAGAGGCTGGTACGATGCCCAAGGTAGATCAGAGAACTTTGCTTCCCATGCTTCGTTGTCAGGCGCAACAAGCTCGGGTAAAGGTGATAGTTACAAGACTATCGCACAGGTCAGAGAAGAACAACTTGGCATGTCCGAGAAGCCTGATTACTTCTCTCTCAAAGCCACCGTGATTTACATCAAGCAAGACGCCAACTGGGCGTACCCGGCGTGTCTCTCTGAGGGTTGCAACAAGAAGGTGACCGAAATGGATCCTGGTCAGTGGCGATGCGAGATGTGCGATAAAACCCACCCCAAGCCGGAGTATCGATTCATCATGCCCATCAGTGTCAGCGACCACACCGGTCAACTTTGGTTGAGTTGCTTTGACGAGACTGGCAGGACCATCATGGGCACAACTGCCGATGAACTGAAGCAACTTGTTGAAGATGACCAGGGTGCTGTTGGTGAAGTTTTCCAAGGAGCCAATTGCCAAACCTGGAGCTTCAGATGTCGTGCTAAGATGGACAACTTTGGGGATCAACAACGGTAAGAACCCCGTATATAGAATATGGCGAGCCCCATGCTAACTGCAACACAGTGTTCGCTACCAAGTCTCATCTTGCTCGCCTATCAATTACTCGGAAGAGGCCAACCGTCTGTCCGCCCTGATCAGCGCTTACAATCTCGAGTAAGCTCGAAATCAACGAAATTCCTAGCATCCAATGATCGGATTGCCTTTTCATTCCTGTTCTCATTCAAGATACGTCTTGATTCTCTCATAATTGTAGTATCTGTACCCGGTATCTCTAGGTATTTTCGAAAATCCAATCAGAATTTTCAATATGAGTGTCATATCAAACTCCCAGGCTATTTTTCTGGCCTGTCTAAAACATTGTACAATCCAGCTCCGTTGAGCTCTGTACCCTCGAGGTCCAGGGCGGTGACCTTCGGGGCGGAAATTGATGGCACTATTGTTGCAAAGAGTGCAAACATAAGTGGATCTGCCGCAAATGACCCCGGTCCGCCTTTTTTTTTTTCTCTTTTGGGTTTTTCTTGAGTCTTGTATTCTACTAAGTGTCTCCAATTGTCATCATGGGAAAACGCAGTCACGAATCAGGCGACCCAAAGCCGTCGAAGAAGTCGAAGTCCGACAAGCCCAAGTCTGATAAGTCTGAAAAGGCTTCCAAATCCAAGAAAACCGAAGATGAGAAGACGGCAACCTACATCGAACATGATGCTCTTGCCCAGCTGCCTCAATCTGAGATTGACGCTTTCTTGACTGAGCATGTCATCAAAGTCACTGATCCTTCGACCGATGCCCCCAATTTCCGTCCGCTCCTTTCCTTCGATCATCTGCCTGAATGCGATGCCGATGTGCTTGCTCATCTGAAGGCTTTCCCCAAGCCAACACCCATTCAATCCACCACTTGGCCTCTCCTATTTTCTGGTCGCGATGTGATTGGTATTGCAGAGACCGGAAGTGGAAAGACTTTGGGCTTCGGTTTGCCCTGTCTGAAGAAGTTGCTGGACTCCAAGCCAAGCAAGAACCCTTGTCAACCCAGAGCTGTTATCATCTCTCCAACTCGTGAGCTTGCCATGCAGATCTACGACCAGCTCGTCAAATTTGGCAAGAATGAGAAAACCCAAGTCACCTGTATTTACGGAGGCGTTGGAAAGGATGAACAGCGTCATGCTCTGAAGAAGGCTGCTATTGTGGTCGCTACTCCCGGTCGTCTGAAGGATCTCATGAACGATGGCTCTATTGATCTCGGCAAGGTCAACTACCTTGTTCTGGATGAGGCTGATCGTATGCTTGATAAGGGATTCGAGCAGGACATCAAGGACATTGTCAAGCCCATGCCTTCCTCCCGCAGACAGACAGTCATGTTCACTGCCACATGGCCCCGTTCCGTCCGTGATCTCGCGTCCACTTTCATGAAGACCCCGGTTACTGTTACCATTGGTGGAGACCCATCTGCGGATCCTCGCGCTAACCTCAGAATTAAGCAAGATGTCCAGGTTGTTGACCCCAGAGAGAAGGAGGGCAAGCTTATCCAGCTCCTCAGCAAGTCCCAGCGCGGCCAATCTCCCGAGAAAGTTCTGGTCTTCTGTCTTTACAAGAAGGAGGCGGTTAGAATCGAGAACCTCATCCGCAACAAGGGCTTCAAGGTTGCTGGTATCCACGGTGATCTGGGCCAGGCAGAGCGCTTCCGCAACCTCGATGCTTTCAAGTCGGGTCACGCGACTGTTCTTGTCGCTACTGATGTTGCGGCTCGTGGTCTCGATATCCCCAACGTGATGTTGGTAATTAACGTTACCTTCCCTCTCACTGTTGAGGATTACGTGCACCGCATTGGTAGAACTGGACGTGCTGGCGCGAATGGTCATGCCATTACCTTCTTCACTGAAACTGATAAGGGACTCTCAGGCGGGTACGTTACACCTTTTTGTGCGCATGTTAAATATTGGGAAAATGCTAATTCAAAACAGATTGATCAATGTTCTCAAGGCCGCCAAGCAGGATGTGCCAGAGGCTTTGATGAAGTTCGGTACTACTGTGAAGAAGAAGCAGCACGACACCTACGGTGCCTTCTTCAAGGATGTTGATATGAATGCCAAGGCCACGAAGATCACGTTCGACGATTAATTCAAACTTCTCTACTGCGATTTGTCCAACTTGCCATCTTTTTTCCTGGACAGCATATGACGAACTCGCGTCAGCTGGCCCATCAGATACTCCTTTTCTACATAGACCCTATTGTTTTGGTCAGGCGTCAACAATCAAAAAGCGTTATACGAGAATCAAACACTCACATCAAGAGACCGTAGCCAGCACCCAAAGCGCATGCGCGGACAAATCCTAGATCCCGCCCAACTCCATGCTCACTCATGAACACGCTTGCGAGAGCACACAGAACGAAGCTGGCTGGTCGGATAGCCACCTCACTTGTGAGCAAGCCACATCGGTTTTGGAAATATTGTTTGATGAAGCCGTAGCTCCAGATCGTCCGAACAATCATGTTCACAATGTTGGCCAGAACCAGTCCATACGCGCCCAGGTGCCCCACCTCCAGGAACGTATAGGCGGCCAAGGCATAACAAGCAGAGAAGACACCCATCCATGCCGTTTGCTTTCGTATCTGCTGTGAGCTGGCTGCAGACGACACAAATGCTTCGGTGATACCATTGAATGCCAAGAATGGAATGTAATAGCAATAGACAGAGAGCAGCTCCCCGACCTTGGGGGATGCCCATTGGCGACCACCCAGAATATGCAACAATTGAGGGACCATCAACGGGCCAAGAGGGAAAGCGAGGACCGCAAGTAACTGATATGCGCGTAATATGTCTACCAGATGGGTTTTGGCAGAACGAACGTGAGTTTCATCCACCTTCCCTTTCTCATCTGGACTCAAAAGAGCCGAGAAAAGGTTGCGGCTACTTTCTTCCAGCGGTTGAAAAATGATCCTTGCAATGAGGCCACCGTAATTTGACGCAAGGGAATATATACCTTGGTCTTCCAGCCCTGAGAGGGCAGCTAGCATCATGGTGTCGCCTTGTGTTAGTAAATGCTTCACCAACGACTGGAAGAACACATTGGCAGCAAGCGAGATCACCTGAAGGGAAAATAATCCCAGGAAATAGTTGGCCGGGTCGCTATGATATGTCAACGTGCCGCTCGTGTTTCCTCAACAATTCAGAACCTACCTGGATCTCACACGGGTCAACATAAAAGAAAAGCCTTTTCGGGGTCCTCCTAGTAAGGCCAGAGAATAGCCGCAAAGGAGAGCAACCGAGTAGCTGAGGTGACCGAGAGCAAAAGGGAGCACGCCAAATTGATAGTTTGCCCGTGAAGCATATATAAAGATCGACGAGGTAACCGCGCTTCTCAAAAAAGCTGCCGGCATCTCCACAGCAGCGCGTTTCTCGTATAACATGTGTTGCTGTACCACTGCGAAAAAGGGCTCGATGCTGAGCTCCAAGAGGGATGCCACTCCAGTGACCATCACGCTGTAGTTGAAAAATGCCGTCATGGAAGCCTCTTCTGGTACAACGCGCTGGTAAAGCATAGTGAATATGACACTTGCAGGGATTCCGAGGACAAAGCTCAGGTATGAGACATTGACCACTGCCTGAGATGCCACCGATTGGGTTTCGACGGCATCTTGTTCTTCTTTCTCGGAAATTGGTTGTCTCTGAATTGCCATTCGAATACTTTCTCTTGAAAAGTACAAGATTGAAACCTGGAAAAGCTCCAGCTGGGCTGCTATTCCTAGAACAATTGGCGAGAGGGTGCGCAGAATCAGTTGGTTTGAAGCGAACGTGAATATTCTGGATGCCAATTGTATCAGGATCAGAAAGCTTGTTCCTGTAGCTGACGATGCTAGAATCCTGCCCATGCGGGCATCGCCTTTGGCCATGGCGAAAGGGCGATATTGTAGGACGATGTAGAAACCGAGTTGAGGCCAAGTTCCACGTCGGCGGGTGTGGGGCTTTTGGTAGATCTCGCCAGTCCGCCTGAGAACGAAATGTCTGCGAGTATTCACATTGCTACTTCGTACATTGCTCTAATATGATTCAATTATTTGATCATGGCGCACTTGTTCTCTTACAACTAATTACCAAGATATCGAAAGGGGGTGTATAAGATATTCAGGTGCAAGTTTTTGGATTCTGTGGCTAAAGTCGCACTGGTTAAATTTCCAGTTGGCGTCGACTAGAGGATCTGTGTTTGGCCCAAAATATACAGAGATACAGGCCCCAAAGCATAAGTCGAAGAATGACCTGGTGCCCGGTGGCACCTCAAGAGGTAGTCCAACTGTCCTTAGAACGGAGGCAAGAAGAATGGATAGCCACCGTTCTTGGCCTTGAAGACACTGAGCAGGAAGCTATAAGTTCCAAAGAGAACAGTCGCCCAGATCAAAACAGCCAGCTGTTGACCCTTTACGTCTTCCATGCGGGGAACCTTCACCGCAAGGGCGATCGTAGCAAACGACAAAACGGCATCTAGGCGAGACGATTAGAAAGAACAAGGGACGCATCCAAAGCCTGAGAAGCTTCGGAATCGAGATCGACTTACAGATAGCAGCCACGATTTGAGTCTCCATTCCAAATTGATTCTGGAACCCTCCTGCAAAGTAGCTGATGCCACCACGGCCATCACCAGCAACGTAAGGGACCTTGCGGATGTGGTTGAACATTTGGCCACTGGTGAAAAGCAACACAGCGATCAAGCTGATTGCAGCCCAGAGGTTCCGGTTCTGAATAATAGGGAGCACATAGGGAGACAGGACTGTGAACACGGTCACGGCGGCCATCAGGGTGGTGACTACAGACACGATACGCATGTAGTTGATGGGGCGAACAATCTCTGGCTTAGTGCCTTCGGGGAGGTGACGTCCAATCCAAGCATAGACTTGCTCGGCGGTTATCGGGCTATGGTAGTGGGACAGATTAGTCGGAAAGTCTGGACATGGGAATTTCGATTGGCAACTCACCCAGTGAAATCGAATCGAACGGGATTTCCATCAACCTTTGCATGTGGACCGATAGTCGGAGGGAACACAAGCAGGACAGGTGCGGTTTGGAGCATGAGCTGTTCCGGTCAGTCAACGTCGCATAGCTCTGATTCAATCAGTGGCTCATACCTTCTGGAAGACAGCCTTGCCATTATCAAAGTCAAGGGTACCGAAGACCACCTTGAGGTCATCAGACTTGGGTCCCTTATCCCAGCTCCGAGCAATTAGGTCCCATTCGGGCTCGAAGTCACGGCAAAGAAGACATCCGAATCGAGAGTCGGTAGCAGTCAAGATAACCACCGCATGGTAATCGCGAGGTGCAGATGTCAGATCCTCATAGGAAGCGCTATCCAAATCAACGGGTCCTGAGCGAGACAAGCTTTGGTATGTTGCAAACTTGTCCGGGGTTGAGGCAGACAGGACGCCGCCAACGACGGAAAGTAGCGGGAGGATGGCCGTCCAGAGCTTCATGTTGACACAACAGGGAGCTGGACAGCTTTGAAAATGTGTCTGGAATTGAAAGGTTATCAATTGGTTGCAATTGAAGACGACTGAACACGTTGGGGAGAGTGTCTAGGTGTCCACTATCGGACGTAATTGCCAGCTTACCTAATTCCATTATCGCCGGCCAAAACACCGGGACCGACGCGTCTTTGGCGACGACATCTATACTTTGTGCAACTTTTGGCAGAATACCTTCTATCTTATCCCTCGTACTTGGATCATTACTTAGCGCTTATTGCTTAATCGTTTTATTTTATCTGCCTTGTTGTCGCCTTTTGGTTGGTTTGGACTGCAATATGGCGGATTCAGAAACGTCCGTTTCGGATGTATGTGACCTGCCAGCCGTTAATGGGACCTAGTTCTTCAAATGCTGATATGTCTCCGCAGCTCGAAATGTCCATGAGGACTGCCCACTTGGAGAAGGAGTACGAGAAGACTCTTTCCGACTCAGCACGTCTGCTAGATGGCGAGAGAGATCGTGTGCGACGCATAGAGCACTTGTTCTTACAATTCGAGAATGAGGCCATCAGGTTACAACTAGAGGAGTCAAATGGACACCTTCTAGGTTTCTCGAAGGCTGATTCCGAGGCATGCGTCCAACTGCAAGACGCTTGCCAAGAGATTGATCGTTTGGAGCACCAAGCGCAAAACTCTACGAACGAGATCAACCGACTCAAGGTGAGTACCCCATGTGCCTATAATATGAGATTGGACAATTTTCTAAGATCCGCAGAATGAGCTTGCGGCCCAAAAGAGCAATTCGGCCAGTTACAACAATGTGCTGGCAGAAAAGGTCCAAATTTCTAAGGAACTTGCTACTTTGCAGTCAGAACACGAGCGGCTGAAGGCCCAAGATGGATCATACCAGGCGGTCGTTGCCAGAAACAATGAAATGGAACGATATGCAACTTCCGTGGAAGCTCAGCTTGACGATGAAAAACATGCCCACCAGCGTACACAAGCCAAGGCATCGCAGCAAACAACGGAAATAGCCAACCTTACTACTCGTATTGACGAATTACGAAAGGAGCTCGCAGGAGAGCTTCGGGCAAAGCAGCAGCAGGAGCGGGACTTCCATCAACAGAGTTCAGGGTGGGAAAGTCAGCGAGCAGTTCTCGAAGGGAAGGTTGAATCTCTCAATAAGCAGCTGCGGGCAAGCAAGAGCAAGCTACAAGAACTCCAAGCCGAGCTTCAGCATCGGGGCAATGTGAAAGCACACGCCACGAATGGATCCGAAACTACTCGGCCTGTGCCGCTTCAACGCCCAGGCCCTATCGCTCGACCAAGCTCTCATTCAGGTGTGGAAATTGCAACACCCGGTGCTTTCCGTGTGCAGGCAAAGCCGAAGAAAGACTCAGCTTTGCCAGGTGATAAGTCATCATTTTCGATCACGCCGTTCCTGAACCGCACTGGCGGTGGTCTCTCTGATTCACCAATGAGTTCCGTGGCTGGCGATGACGATAATGGCCACGATGGTGCCGCTGACGCCCCAACCCCTCTCGAAACCCTCAAGGGCAACAGAAATGGAGAGCCGAGGCGTATGGGCTCCGCCCTTCGCCGCCAACTCTCCCCGGGTCAAGATCGACTTCCCATTGCGAAGACCGTGAAACCGAAAGCACGCGAGAGCGCTACAGCTGCTCCGGCGCCTGTGAAGGTACCTACCAAGCTACCCGCAAAGGAGAAGCCATCGGTCAGCCGCATGGTGTCGGCTATCGAGGATGACGGGCTATCTGATAGTTCTGCCGAGGAGCTGGCGAAACCCAAGAAACGCAAGCTCGGTGGGCAGCGAGACCGAAGCTTGTTTGAGGAGGACGATGAAGATATGGGTCTTTTCGCGAATGCTACACGCAAGGGATCTACTTTGTCAAAGGGACCTACTAATTCGACCAAGTTTGGGGCACCCTTAGGATTCTCTCCCCTGAAGAAAGATCGCAAACGCCTCTAAATTGGATTAAAAAAACGGGTGTTTTGTACATTCCATTGTCCTTTTGGCACAACAAATTCTTGATTCTTGAATGAAAAATATCCATGGATATTGTACCAGATGTTGGAGCACATACAGTGGCGGTGGACTAAATTGTAGACCTTGATAAGGACTCACCGACTTCCGTTTCGCTTTTGCCGGCAGAACAACATTAGAAGCTCGGTCTCTCGCAAATTTCAAGATAGCTCTTGTCTCAATTAAACAATATGTTTTCATTACCTTTCCGGTTTTGTCGGGCCGTTTGGACGCCGGTGGCTGGCCAGGTGAGACAGGCCTCATCTAAGCGCTGGCAGGCTCGACAGCAAAAGGATCAATTCACGAAAGAGGCAGCTGTCCAAGGTCTCAAAAGTCGAGCTGCTTTCAAGTTGTTACAGGTAAGATATAAACTTACTGTCTCTGAAATTACTATTCTGACGTGACTGCTTGCTGTTCTAGATTGATGAGAAATTCCGAATCTTCAAGGGTGGGCAAACAGTGGTCGACTTGGTGCGTTGATGTCGAGCCAGTGCGGGTCCAACTCCATTAATTTGCATTCTACCATTGTAGGGATATGCGCCAGGATCATGGTCACAAGTAAGTCTCATATGTTTGACTGTAACTTGCTGAAGGCCAATACCAATTATTTGAACTTGAACAGGTCGCCGCAAACCGTACCCAACCGCACGGCCGAGTCATCGGTGTCGATCTTATTCCCGCGCAACCTCCGAAGGGGGTCTCGACAATCCAGGGAAATTTCCTCGCACCTGAAATTCAAACTTATATCCGGGACTTCCTCCGCGACCCGGAAAGAGGTAGACCACGGCAAACCGATCTAGGTCAACCTAGTCCCAGCTTATTGGAGCCGAAAACCGACGAGAGCACGGCAGAAGGGAAGGATGGGCAAGATAAAATTCTTGAAAGAACAGTAGATGTTGTTCTCAGTGATATGTCTGCACCCTGGCACCAGACCTCCGGTTTTTGGAAACGAAGTCTAAGTGCTCCCTATCACAGGATGATGAATACCAGCGGTGTTGCTTTCAAGGACCATGCTGGAAGTATGGTATGATATATCCTCTCTCGCAATTGATTGATTGAACAGGTCTAACTTTACGCAGGATCTCTGCAATGCGGCTTTGCAATTCAGCACGGATGTCCTCAAGACAGGCGGCCACTTTGTTTGCAAGTTCTACCAAGGCGCCGAGGATAAAGAGCTAGAGATGCAGCTCAAGACATTGTTCAAAAAGGTCCATCGATTAAAACCTGAATCATCTCGCAGTGTATGACTCGTCCTATTAATAATCAAAACGCCCAACTGAAATAAGTGATAGGAATCCCGAGAGGCGTTTTTCGTTGGCCTGCAGCGAAAGCCGTGAGGATTGAGCAATCTCACCTAGCGAGCAACCACCTGGGAACTTGAAGCATGTTGCTCAGAGAACTTCGATCTCTTCATTGTCAGATCCCTCATCCCATTCAATATCTGCAAGGGCAGCTTCTGCTTTCTCGTGGACCTGATGTGCGTCAGTGTTGCGCTCGATGCTTCGGTCAGTTTACTCACCTCTCTCAGTCCACTCAATTCTTCAACATAGCCCTTCTCATTTAGGGCTTTTCGTACGAAGTCCCATCCTTGTTCGCGATACGCACCAACTACCTTCTCCGAGCATGCGCTGCAGCTTTGATAACTCTGTCCGGTCACAGACATATTTTCGAAGGTGGAGAGGTAACCGCGGATTTGGTGAGGCACAACGCCCAAGGGATGATCATCACGCTCGACGCTTCGGGCTACCGGGGCCGGTGCTGCGGCCTCTTGAGGGTGCTGAAGAAGCGAAACAAACAACTCCACCAAAAGTGCCGAAGCTATAGGAGCTACTCCTGGGCGCGTCACTGTACATTGTTGATCAAGGGTCTGATCCTTGACAGACTATATGCGGTTAGCTCTGCACATAGATTTCTTTAGGCATCCTTCCTTACATTGGCCGGTGCTACGACGTCGTTGCAGAAGTAGCACCCAAGCTTAGCCGGTTGCTCATTCTCATTAACACCATGGCGCATCGCCACAAATGTATCAAATCCCAGGGCGGCGTTCATCACAATCTTTCCTGCTGCTTTTCCCATAACGGTGGGAAGCCATCTTGATTCACGGGTATCCATGAGAAGGAATATGGCATCATGCTCGTCAATCAAGGTTTTCAACGTATCAAACTCTTTTCTTGTTGCTGCTTCATCCACAATTGGATGACCCGCCATGGGCACGGAGAACGCATGGCCCGCTGTCTCCACCCCCGGATATATCTGCGTTAGGGCTTCAGATGCGCGGGTTGCTTTCTGGGCCCCGCCATCCAGGCAATCTTCAAAATTGAAAAGTGGTTGCCGAACAGGATTCGAAAACGACACAGTCCCATTGTCCACAAACGTAATCTTCTTCACTCCCCATCCCTATAGAGCGGTTAGAGCTTCCCATTTGTCCCATTGCCCGTCTTCACAAACCAATAGATTCCGGGAGACGTAGCTCCCCAGTGTCCCAGCTCCCAGCAAGAGACACTTGGTATTCTTGATTTTCTCGAGGTTCAAGGTTGGACTGATGCGCCATTTGATAAGTTTAAGATTGAGATCAACTGACTGATCCGCCAATCTGTAAGCAATGTTAATATACCCCCGGCGAGTCTGCTTGTCAAGATAAACACACCTTTTAGGGTCCATGTACTCTGTCAAATTAACCATTCTCCCGGAAAGCTTCCCCGCCGGGTTACGCTCCCAACCGGTAACCTTCGGCAGCGGTCCTTTCGGCAAGGCCCCATGGCTTGGATGTGAACTCGGGGATCGAGGTTCTTGTGAGCGTAACTCCAGTTGTATAACTGAGCTGCGGCCTTGATCACGCTTCGCATGCACATCACGATAGCGTAGAATTTGCACTCGTTCGAGGCCCCATCGCTGCTTGATCAGCACCAACAAGTTACGCAGCATCCATCCTGGGGCATGCTCATAGTTCGACGGGTCTGCAAAGCAGATAAAACGGTTCCCAGCGGGTACGTTCTGGAAAAATCCATTCTCGTATTCGGACAGAGCTGCTATCTGCCAGGTGTTCACTGGTGTTCCGGTTTCTGATTGTCTTCTCTTGGCAGGGTCGACTGACACGCTGCCACGACTTCTTACCCTGCGGGCCAAAAAGAAACCACGCTGTCGATGATCCACGGTGTATGACCATGTTTGGACAGCGTCCACGAGGGTAGTGCTCTCATCTGCAGACAAATGTGTCCCCTTTGCGTTGTCAATAGGTTGAGCTTGGTCTGATGCAGATGTCTGTGGGTTTTGTACAAGTGACCATGTAGGATCTGAATGGATGGCCGGGAATGCAAACCAGTAGTGAAACTTGTACTTCTTCAGGTCGGCAAAAGACACGATCAGGTAACTGGATAGCAAGGAAGGACATGAGAATATTGTCCCGTCGTGAATAGCGTCCCAGACCTAAAGTTAGTCAGTATATTACCAAGTATCTGACCGGCTGTTTGCTAATGTTACCATCTGTCCGACTTGGGACAGCATTTTGGCCCTGTCCGCATTTCGATATTCCTCGATGGTATTGACATTTTTGATCGTTCCTTCAGCCCTGTAATAGCTGGCCGGCGCACTGTGACCGTTAGCCATGCGAGGGCATTTGTGATGGAACCTATCTTACTCGCTGCAACTGAGGGCATTTCCATGGATCTGGATTCGGCACGATGCAGCCTCGGGGTCAGACGGACGGATCTCATACAGACCTAGCACCGCTCGGGCGGAGTCATCCAGCTTGTCATGATTGATCTTATGGGATGCCAGAGACGTGTAGAATGGTAATTCGATATCCGATGCGAACGGAGTGTACTGCATCTTAGCCTGGGCCACGATGGGGGGGGAGATGTTTGGGTGATGTCACGTCCACAGGGGCGGGGAAGGGTTATCCGTTCGTCTATACTCCGTTCACTCCAGGGACATGTATTGATCAACTACTTAGTACAGAGTATGGTACTCAAGTAGCAACAGCCTTTTATCTTTATATATTTCTAAAGAATCTTTCATTTCTTTCATTCCTGGCAAAATTATTGATGTTCTTACAGTGGAAATTATCTAGTGATCACACATAGCTATCTCGTGCAGTTAGCAGGTGACCTGGGAATAAATAGCGGATACAAAGCTGGGCAGCTGGGCACCGATTAGCTGAGCAGATAGTTATTTCAAGGCTCTGTGGAGTATCGTGTATTCCCCTACTGCATCATGAAAACACGTCAAGTACAGCCCAATGTTATCAGGCAGGATCTCGATGTCGCGATAAGATATCTTTTTAACCGCCCCACTATGTCGGCTTCTTTCTTCTCTACACATTTTCCCCGTCAGTACATAACGCCGATATGCTCATCGGTTTATGTGGAGGTCAGCAGATAATCTCAACTCAGTGGAAACAAACTAACCCAGACTAGGCATTTGTGCCGGCAAGCATGCCATTGCCGAGTATCTGATAGAAAACCAAGGATTCCAACTTCTGGAGCTCGCGGGCAACCGCCAATCTGAGTCGCCAGACTCGGGAGATGAGCTACGATTGCAAGCCTCGGAGATCAGAAAGAAGGAACCGCAATCTCCTGAATTTACATTCCAGGATGCTGAATCTCTGCTGGATTTTGCGACCAAAAGATGGCAAGAGCGCTGGGTTACTACAGATATTGCCGACGCAAATATCTTGGATCGATTCCTGTTGCGTCCCTTCTTCCTCCTGGTGAGTGTTGACGCCCCAGTCAGCCTCCGCTGGAAAAGATTTGCCGACAGGTTCGTGGTAGCTCGCAATGTGATTGGAACAAAGGGCTGATTACCTCAGATGCTGGAGAAGACAGCTAGATCCGCCCGATCTGGAGAAATTTGTCCTGTGGAATGACCACAACTTGTACGACAAGGACATTGGGCGTGTTTACTTGACTGACAAGGCCCAAGTCCGCCTGTTCAACTCCTCTTCGTCTCTCGGAGAGCTACACTCGGCATTGGAGAGCCTCAACCTGGCAGATGAACAACGACTCAGACCGAGTTGGGACCAGTATTTCATGCAACTGGCCTCACTTGCTGCTCAAAGAAGCAACTGCATGAAGCGGAGAGTGGGATGTGTCCTCGTTCGGGAAAGCCGTGTTATCAGCACAGGTTACAACGGCACACCACGACATCTTCAAAACTGTAACCAAGGTGGATGTATGATAATGAACACAGTCAAAGCTTAATTGTGCATTCACTGACATGAGAACACTCTAGGCCCACGATGCAACCGTGGAGATGGAGGTGGAGTTGGCCTTTCAACTTGCCTTTGTCTTCACGCCGAAGAGAACGCACTGCTAGAAGCAGGCCGAGAGCGTATTCGAGAGGGAGCGATCCTCTACTGCGATACGTAAGGATCCAAATCTCTATGACTCTCAAAGGGCTAGGCTCACAGTTCTTGCAGGTGCCCTTGCTTGACATGCACAGTCAAAATTGCCCAGGTTGGAATTTCTGAGGTTGTTTATTCACAAGGGTATAACATGGATAGTGACGTGAGTGAGGACTTGACTGCACTTTGATCTCTAATCTGACCTGTCAACAGAGTGCTGCCATTCTCCAACAAGCTGGTGTTCGACTGCGACAGTTCCATCCGGTAGCTATCACTCCTTTTATACCGCTTGCTTCTGTGTATGACTGACCATTAACGCACAGCCTTCCAATGGATTGATTTACCTTCAGGCCTCTGGGACACCGATCGGAGTCCAAGAAATCGAGACTCAAGAGATCGAGACTCAAGAAATTGAGACCCAAGACTGATTTGCGTCATGCGCTCAACGACAGACAATTCTACACTGCATTGTTTAAGTGATGCCACATGTCACTGCAACAGACTTCATAATTTGTCGAAACATAACACCAAGCATGTGAAATAGGAATGATGAGTGTTACACATGCATAAGATACGAATTCGCAGTCTATAGTGCTGTCATAAGCCCGAAGTTCCAGATATTTATGCTGAATATACTAGATATCACCTCTCAACTAGAAATCGTTCGCCTCAGTTGCTGGAATTTTATACATGACTCACCCGTGGCTATCTCCAGGACTTTTGTGGGTACTTGAGGGAACCTTGAATATAGTGTAGTTGAACACTATGAGTCAAGTACCTTCAAGTACTTTATTTGTCTGGCAGAAAGGTTTCCCATTACCTGCGGCTATGAGTCAGCCCACGAATTTTGGTGGGGTGCCTTCAAGAACCCCTCTGATAATCTTAACGGGTCCATTTCTCTTTGTGCTGGGTTTTTGACTTCAATAATCTCATTACCTGCTTGCTGCAATCACTGGTGCTATTTGGACCGAGCTCCCACCGCCATGCCTACCGTGCACTTGCTTGACTACGTTGCGGGGAACATTCGTTCTCTGGTCAATGCGATCAACCAAGTCGGATACGATGTTGAATGGATCAGATCTCCCGAGGACGTGAAGAATGCGGAGGTTGGTCAATTGCACAGCGCCATTGGGCTCACACCTGGCGCTACGACATACCAATGCTAACAATCAATCTCTAGAAATTGATCCTCCCCGGTGTCGGACACTTCGGCCACTGCCTGTCCCAATTGGAGAAGGGAGGATTCCTAGGGCCCATCCGTGAACACATTGACTCTGGAAAGCCATTCATGGGAATTTGTGTCGGCCTGCAGGCTCTGTTCCAGGGTTCAGAGGAGGATAACGACGTCCCCGGACTCGGCGTGATCCCCGAGCGCATTACAAAATTTAACGACACATCGAAGAGTGTACCACACATTGGATGGAATTCAGCAATGAACACTGGCTCTCAAAGCTTCTGGGGACTGCGGCCGTCCAGCAAGTACTATTACGTCCACTCCTACGCGGCTCCATACACACCGGGAGCCTTGGAGAAGGATGGCTGGTCCGTGGCCACAGCAACTTATGGCGAGGAGGAATTTATTGGTGCCATTAGCCGAGGCAACGTCTTTGGTGCACAATTCCACCCAGAGAAGAGTGGTACCGCCGGTCTGCGGGTCATTCGCGCATTCTTGGATGGTGATCAGTTCCAGTCACTTTCTGGGGATATTGACACTAGCAAGGCAAACGGGCTCACCCGCCGTGTGATTGCTTGTCTCGATGTTCGCACAAATGATTCCGGTGACTTGGTTGTCACCAAGGGTGATCAATATGATGTCCGCGAGAAGAGTGGTGACGAGGGTGGAAATGTTCGTAACCTTGGCAAGCCCGTCGATATGGCCAAGAAATACTACGAGCAAGGCGCGGATGAAGTCACTTTCTTGAACATTACCTCTTTCCGCAATTGCCCTGTCGCCGACACACCGATGTTGGAGATTCTACGACGAACTTCCGAAACTGTCTTTGTGCCTTTGACAATTGGCGGTGGAATCAAAGACACCGTCGACACTGACGGCACCCGCATTCCCGCTTTGGACGTGGCAACAATGTACTTCAAATCTGGAGCCGACAAGGTCAGCGTCGGTTCTGATTCCGTCTTCGCCGCCGAGGACTACTACAATGCTGGTGAGAAGCTGAGTGGCAAGACCGCCATTGAGACGATATCGCAGGCCTACGGAAAGCAGGCTGTCGTTGTTAGTGTCGACCCCAAGCGTGTCTACGTAGACAAGCCAGAGGATACCCACCACCACACATTTAAGACTCAGTTCCCCAACGCGAGCGGGCAAAGCTACTGTTGGTACCAGTGCACCGTTATGGGTGGTCGTGAAACTCGCGACATCGATGTGTGGCAACTCGTTCGTGCCGTTGAGGCAATGGGTGCTGGTGAGATTCTGCTGAACTGCATCGACAAGGATGGAAGCAACAGCGGATTCGATATGGAGTTGATCAACGATGTGAAGGCAGCAATTAAGATTCCTGTCATCGCTTCAAGTGGCGCAGGTGTGCCTGCCCACTTTGCCGAGGTTTTCAACAAGACCACGACTGATGCGGCGTTGGGAGCTGGAATGGTAGGTTTTCCTTTCTTCCTTGCAGGTTAACATCAATTTTACTAACTGCTTGGTAGTTCCACCGCGGGGAATACACCGTTACTCAAGTGAAGGATCACCTTCAGACCGAAGGATTCCTGGTCCGTCAATTTGAAGCTGAGATCTGAGGAATTGATCAGACATAAATAGATGGGTGGTGATGTTTACTTACTTCTAGACATATTTTCTGAGCTTTATATATATTTTTACACGACAACAGATTCACGATGACTGGGCCGATCACCGAGTAAATTCTGGTATTAGAGATGTAGAGATGGAGGTAGCACTTGAGTAGTAGAAGATCCGCTTATACTGATAAAAGTGGTGAAAGAGAGAGAGAGAGAGAGTGTGTGTGTGAGAGAGAATAGAGAAGAAAGTCACCTATGATCCTGAGGTTTGTGGGGCTTGGATCACTGGTCTTATCTACTCTGTAGCATGTTTACGAATGCAGTGAAGATGGCATTACTTGGGGCCCCCATGAGGCCCCCATTAATGGGCTGTGGGTTGGGTTGGGCTTGAGGTGAGGTCCGGGCCCGCGCCAGCCCATTGCGGAGGTCTAATTGTGCCCAGTGGCCGTGGAACATCTGAAAGTAGATTCAGTAGGCGGTGAAAACGGAGTACTCCACACAGAGTACAGACTTGGCGGTCGCGCAGGCGGTCACCAAGGCGGTATACCGGTACAAATCACGGACTTTTCCTGCACTTGCCACCACCTCCTCTTCTTCGTCGTCACCCCGAGTACTGCCCCTTCTGCCTTCCACCTCCCTTATCGCTTCGGCCCTAGACAATTGAAGCCCCTGGTTTTACTTGTCTTTGCGCGTAGCACCCTTTCTTTCTTCCCTTGAAACATCGCTTTGACAACCTGACACGCGACACCCGCTGGTCGCGACAGCCCGTTTTCGGTCGTCGAACTTACTCATTCCTAACAGGTCTCTGCACAACTTGAGCTGGTATTCACCGGTCTGCAAAAAACCCCCCACCCATCCACAGATTCGACCGAGGTGCTGCAAGGTGGCTTCGCAAAACGCTTGAAGGACCAGACAGTCTGTCAACCCCTCTGGTGCTGACCTTGTTTTTCTGCCTCAACCCCAGCGCTTCGACCACATATTCATCAATACTTTTGATTCAGCTTTGTACGCAGGGACTTGAACACTCTCCATACAAAAAGATTTCATTCATACTTTTCACCCCGATCATTGATAGATACTGCTCTATCATTCCCTAAAATATCTTTCTTTGTCGCTTGAGCAAACAATATTGTTACCTGATCTTCCTGTGTTTGCCGTGACGTGTGATCGGACTGGTTCGCGTCATCTCAAGTTCCACTTCTTTTCTTTTTCCTTCACTGTTCTCCCCTTTCGCTCACTGTACACGGCGGCGGTGCCTCTAAAATCGGGTCTCAATACAAATACGACCATCTTTGTTGCACCAATTGAATACAATGTCTTCGTCCGTTCATTTCAAGTTCAAGTCCTCGAAAGAACCCTCACGGGTCACTTTCGATGGCACTGGTATTTCGGTCTTTGAACTCAAAAGAGAGATTATCAGCCAAAGTAGATTGGGCGACGGAAGCGACTTTGAGCTGTCAATCTACAACGAAGACACCAGAGAGGGTATGTTGCTCTATCTCAACACGAACGGGCCTTGCACCCGTAGTCTCCAGGATTATTTCTAACATTGCACTGCAGAATATGACGATGATACCACCATTATCCCTCGTTCGACATCCGTGATCGCTCGCAGACTTCCCGCTGCACGCCCTGGCAAGGGAGGTGCTGCCCGCTATGTCTCCGGCAAAATGCCCGTCAACGCCCGTATTGGCACGAGCCAGCCCTCAACGAGCCGAGCTATACCCGGAACTGGACAGTCCGTCAACAACAATGTCCTCGAACTCAACAATGCTCAGACGGAAGAGGAGAAGATCAATGCGCTGTTCAACTTGCAGGCCAGTCAATGGCAGGAACAACAGAATGAGATGGCAAAGTAAGCGCCGCATGTCCACTTTCTGACATTATCGGAGATACTGACCCGGTCTAGTGCAACACCCGTACAAATGCCCCGTGGCAGAGGAAAACCCCTCAATGTCCCAGATCATCCTCCTCCACCTGGATATCTTTGCTACCGTTGCCGAGAGAAAGGTGTGTATCACATTGTCTTGACACAAAACATTGGATTGCTAACCGTCATTCAGGCCACTGGATTCAAGCTTGCCCTACGAACAATGACCCCAAATTTGATGGGAAATACAGGGTCAAGCGATCAACTGGTATTCCACGCTCCCTTCAAACCAAGGTTGAGAAACCAGAATCGTTGGCACCCGATGGCTCCACCGAAGAAGCAAGGAATACGGGGGTCATGGTGAATGCCGATGGTGATTTTGTTATTGCAAAGCCAGATAAAGCAGCCTGGGAGTTGTATCAAGAGAAGGCCAAGGCATCGGCGGCTGCCGCTGCCGAAGCAGCAGCAGCGGAGGAAAGCAAAGCATTGCAAGCTCGGGGCCTGGAATGCCCAATTGACAAGAGGATGTTCTTAGATCCAACAAAGACTCCGTGTTGTGAAAGGACTTATTGCAATGACTGTATTTCCAATGCTCTGATTGAAAGTGACTTTGTTTGCCCTGGATGCTCTACAGAGGGCGTGCTGCTTGATAATCTTACCCCAGACGATGAATCTGCCTCCAAGATCAAGGTATATGAAGCTGAAAAGGCAGAAGCCAAGAAAGAGAAAGAAAAGCAACATATCGCCCAGGCCGGTCAGACTGGCACACCTGTGCCTGAGTCGGAGTCAGAGGGCAAGCCCAAGTCAGTGAAGGAACAGAGTCCGTCCAACCAAGCAGAAGATACAACCCCCCCACAATCAAAGAAGCGCCCGGCCGAGGATGAACCCACCCAGGACGAAGCTCCAGGTTCCGATTCGGGTAATGCAGCGAAGAAACAGAAGTCAGACGACCAAACAGATACCCCCGGAGAGGAAAATGGTGCCCAGGATGACGCCTCCGGCGCCCCAGCCGCCCCCGGCAACTTCAACCCCGCAATGCCCTTCAACGGCTTTGGACCAATGCAGGGCATGCCTATGATGCCATTCCCGGGACCTGGGTTTGGCAATGACCCTATGAACTTCATGAACCCAATGGCCATGGCTGCCGCCAGTGGATTCCCCAATGGCATGAACCCTGGATGGAACCCCATGAACATGCCCTTCAACCCTGCAATGTTCGATCAGAACACTGGAATGCCCAATGGATTTCCCAATATGTTCAACGGTGACCCATCCATGATGTTTCCTATGCAGAACCAGAACCAGAACGGATTCCAGGGACAAGGTTCTGGAATGAACAATTTCTCCAACCAACAACGAACTGCATTCAGCACCCCATATTCCCGCGAAGAGGATTCCCCTTATTTCCGACAACCTGTGAACCCCCAGCGCCATCAGGCTCGGAACCGACGTGTTCGACCCAGTGACTACCGGGAATTATGAGCGTTCTGGCCCTGAAGTACCTTGTGAATATGCATTTCATTTAGAGCGGTTTACCTTACACATTTATTCTACCCTTCCTCCATATTTTAGTGGCCTCTTTTAACTTCCACAGATGTGTGATCAGCAGATATTACTTAAGTAGGAGGAATCCAATTGACCATCCAAACAATAGTTCATGGGTTACAGTAGGAGATGAGTGTAGTAATTGTCCAACATTAATCGTACACCTGTGTCCTTGCGCCAAAGCGGGCCAATAATTGATACTAACTGCTGCCAGTAGGCCTAGATGGGCTATAAATATACAATCAAGTAACAATCCACGTCGATCCAATCGCAATTGGAAGAGTCGTGCACACCGTAGTTATACTTAGCATTGGCCGATGAGTCAGGTGACTGGAGGGGGAAAAAAGAAGACGCTCGTCCCCCGGCTTTCGTTGCCCAACAATCAGACCACAGAACATTCCTCATTCCAGAGTCAACAGTCTTCACCGTGTCTTTTCTACTTTTAAATCTCAATACTCGCTCGGCTTCGATACCCTGACCTTCTGCTGTCAACCACCTCACCAACCACCAACCTTAATCCGTTTATCCAAACCCCACAATTATCCGAACGATCGACTATCATGGCGAAATACATGAATAATCACAGTAGTAGTTGCAATCAAATGCAGCGGTTTCTGGACGAGGAATCTCAGTCCGTCCTTGCCACCTGCTACAGCGTGGAGTCGGCCACCGCCAAGGTTCACGGCTTCCACTACTGCACTACCCTGGGCGCCGGTAAGTGATCGCACCCTGCGACCGTATGCCTCTATCTAAATCTGTCCTAGGGGTACAGTGGTATCCCTGAGGTCCCTTCGGGGCCTAAATCGTCTCTTCAAAGACCTCCCCGCGACATCGCTTCCGAGCGAACTTGGGCCGGAAACCAATGGCCAGAGTACAAGGGGGAGGCAACGCACAACATCCCGGAAGAATGTGAGAGACTCTTCTGTGACAAACTGTCTACGATTTTCCTTGGTGAGGGGACTTTCGTGCGACAGGAGTCGCTGGGGATGGGTGCGTTCAACGCCCAAACCACCGGGCACGATATCCAGCGGTGGATCGAAGTGTGGGATTACGCCAGTGATGCTATCTACCGTGGATTTGTGGCGGAACATAACAAGGAGCGGACCATGTTTGTCTTCTTCGATCGTGCGTTAGATCACGGCCTCAAATCAGGGTATGTTCCCTCTTGTGTTCCTTTGGACGACGCCTCAAGGCATTTCGACGGACGCTATCTCCTTCAGACCTTTATATCTTTTGATAGCCTGCTGACACAAATATAGGCTAATGGCACTGTTCGAATTGGCCGAGATGGACACGTTCGGGTGCTCCCAGATTGTAGCTTGTGTCAGTCGCTCGCAGCCAACAGATGAAATGGAGCTTGTTCGAAGCCTAGGGTGGTGTGGATTCAATCTCACCACTTTGGAGCCGTGGATGACAAGCAATGATCAAGGATGCCTAAGCGATGAATGGCTTTTCCTGGTCGCTGAAATCTAACGCTCATATCGATTGAGTTCAGGAGCGTGGGTATTTGCCCCCTCACTCCCCAAGTACCCTTCTACACTTCCTCATTTGGAACTCCTCCGCCCTGTGGTCCATCACGTCGAGTCCAACTGCCGCAAGGTTGCCTCTCGGCACCTTACTGACCACCCCTTCAAGGTCATAGGGATCTACGCGGAGGGCCTCTTCATTCTTCCTGCCACCGAGCCTGACGATGAGATTTCCCTCGACTTCAACGTCATTAGCGAGTTCTTCTACTGCCCTTACCGCTGTGCTGACTTTTCCTTCTGTTCTAATATTCTCAAATTGAGCACCTGTTTCACGTACGATATTTATTGCCTTGCTTTTAGTTTGAGATAATACAATATTTTCTGTCGTGCCACGTCTATTCTCGTTGGGTTTTCCGAGGCATTCACCTTTGTGTACAGGAGTGTCCTTCCACACTCCTCCCCCGGACCCTGCAGTAGCCTCCACACGACCTTAGCACACATGTATCAATATGGAAATGAGCAAGACATGATTGAACTTGTAATGAAGCCAACTTTAGAAGAGAAAAGGGCAAAGTGGGTGTCTACTCTGGAGGATAAGATAAGATAAGATGAGCTCCACTGGTATGACCTCACCCCATCCCCTTGTACTTGTCATTGTACGTCTGCCAGCTCAGTTGCCATACACAAGTGCTCATATCATGCCCAAAGAGCGCAAATCCCTTCAGTTTCCCAAGTTCTTGGTTCCCTCTCTATTTCCCAAACGAAATGCGGGGCGTCCAGACTCCGCGCCAAAGTACCTTGACGGCCATGCCTCTTACCTACGTTGCGCCGGCTGCGCCTCCCACCTCTGCCTGACCTCTCAAATTATCAGTAAGGGATTCACAGGCCGCCACGGCCGAGCCTATCTAGTCTCAGTGGAGCCTGTAGCCACAGCTGTGTCAGTCAGCGCATCATCGTCGCCTACAGTCTCGCTGCCTAATACTACACTCCAACACCCGGTACCGCGCCAGCTTGTGACAGGTGCGCACACGGTTAGCGATGTGAGCTGCAAATTCTGTGATAATGTTCTGGGCTGGAAGTACGTGGCGGCAGAGGAAGAGTCGCAGCGATATAAAGTTGGAAAATTCATTTTGGAAACGAAGAAGATCATCGCTTCTTCGTGTTGGGAGTCGCCGCCAAATGTTCATCCGGACCTATTGGAAGGCCAAGCAAAGGCCGAGTCGGCTCCCACAGAGGCCGAATTTGACAGCCAAGACGAGGATGAGTGTGAGGATCTCTTTGCTGGGATTTGGAGTCCCGGACTTGCTGCGCGACGAAGGAATCTCAAGATTGAACGTCGGCCTGCTTTGTTTGGCATCTCATGAAGGAGTGTTTTCGGGACGCTGGAGGGCGAGTACATGATGTGAATTGATACCCTTTAATGACTCGTTGTGTTTTCATGTTTTCTTTTACATGCATTTACTATCCTAGCCAACAACGCATACCAATATGTTGTTCAACATTACATCTCCTACGGAGTACTCCATACATCTTGCGCAGTTTTGATTCGTAGATTGTTCATTATTACCCGTCTTTTACCGGAGTTGAGTTTTATAAAATAAGAAGCCCTGAGACTTCAGTCAATAACATCCCAGGGTGTTCAAAGGTTGTTCACGAGGAGGCATCATCAACGCGAGATCTCTTCGAGCCATTTTCTGTGGCAGGCTCCTCCGCAGGTCGTTTAGAGGAGGTTGCAGCAGGCACTGGCTGCTTTGCAGGCTTGCGCTTGACAAATGCAGACAGATCTGTGGCTCCCTTACTGGCCGCGTCAAGCTGGGCCTTTTGGTCTGTTGCCGACTGACCGATGATCTGCCCCAAGACTCCCTTGAGCATAGCTTCATTGGACTGTTCATTCTCTTCGATTGAGACAGGTGGCCGGCGCAGGTCAACGAGCTACATTCCATGTTAGTTCAAGTTGTTCATTAATCGCTTTCGCTCTTAATGGGTTGAAGAAAGTGCTTACCCTTTGCTCCATGTCGGCGACGATCTCCTTGACATTTGCGATCTTCCTCTTTGTCGCATTTGCTTTGTCTTCATCCTCCTCCTTTTCGGCCTCAAGCTTCTTCTCCTCTTGAGCCATTCGGACCTTGCAGCTCTCGATAGCACGTTCCATCTCGGCGGCAGATTCATTGCGCATTTCCTCATCAACCTTGGGTTTCTCGTCACTGCCCTCTTCGGGTTGCTGGACCGAGGCAAACTCCAAGGCAAGAGAAAGCTTGTAATGGCACTCGGCAACTGATGGGTCTTCGAGGGGGTATAGTGCGTTTCTCATTTCGAGAACAGTCCTTAAATCAGCGACCGCGTCGCTGAATCTTTCCGCCTCCAATGAAATCTCGGCTTGAAGATCATGAGTATCTGCAAGTCGCTCCATGAGTGACTTTGTATCGGCAGAGAGTGTGGTAGATTTCCCCTTGCCGCCGTCGGTCTCCTCGGCAGCCTCCATCTTTTTGAGATAAAGAACACGAGCCAAATCTAGGACCTCGAAGGCATTGGCAAAGTCGTCATCCTCATCATCTTCTCCTTCGCCGTCTTGCTCACCGGCCTCTTCATCCTCGGATTCGGAGTCGACAAAGTTCTCATCGCCGGTAAATTGGAACAAAGGCTTGGAAGATGTAGGTTCCGATTCTTTCTTGGGCTTCGCGGACGAGGGTTGTGCGGAACTAGCGATGGCATCCTTCACGAGGCTACCACCGGGGGCTTTTGTGGATTTCGATGCTGAGGTGTTTGTTGAGGATGTGGTGCCAGGTTCCGGCTCACCGGCCACCTTCGAGCCAAGAACGTCACTCTTGCTGACTGCGACATTGTATAGTGATTTTCCGTAGGCGTAGAGCAAATCAGCATTCTCGACTGATAATTCACCATTCAGTTCGGCCTGAAGCTCGGTGGCTTGAGAGTAGAGCTCGGACGCAGAGTCATGGTCTTTGGTCGCATCTTTCGCAGCGGCGCGGGCGATCAAATCGTCCAGCTGCGCTCGCTTCTCTTGCACCGAGAGCTCGGGAGATTGAATATCGGTGGGTTCGCTCATAGTGAAATAGTGGATTGGAGGGAAAATGAGAGAAGTACGAGAAGAATAGTGAAAGGCGCAACGGAGTAAAGATAAAAATCAGAAGGGGAGAAGTTTAGCTCCGGCGCGGCGCGCGTCAACGCGTCTCAATCTAATTGATTTCGCACCTCTTCGCGCTCTCCGCCTCCACCACAGTTTGATCCCCCGAATTCGAGGTTTCTAGAGCTCTATGAGCAATCGGACTAATCAGGTCGCCCTTTAATATACCTGTTTCGGTTGGATCGGACTTGTCTCGCCATTTGGTAATCCCTCAAGATGGACTCGACACCGCGACACCCAAATCGCTTCAACGATCCTATCCCTTCATCCTCACCTGCATTTGGGACACCGGCGCGTCCGTTTCGATTGCAAAAGGGAAATGCACCGCCAAAAACTTCAATTTTGCCGATCTTGCTCCCTCCATCAACCCTACGCCCTGTCGCCTTCCGAACTTTTACCCGCAAACACAATCTCACCATCTCGTCTTCAGCATTGCAGACACTAGCTGTCTTTGTAGGCAAGAACTGTGGCTCAGGATGGCGCGAGGAAGGTCTCGCAGAGCGAGTTCTGGACGAGATAGCCAAGATATGGAAAAGAGCCGGCGGAGGCGTGATTGTGGAGGAAGGCAAAGGCGCATCATTGAAGAACATACTGCAGACCCTTGAAGGCAGTATGAGCGGTGGAAGGGTGGTTGCTGGTAAAACACAAGATGGTAAACCGTCAGCACTTGGCATGGATGATGGGCACATTGAAACAGCCGAGTCTTTGGGAAACCCCGCCAACGAAGAAGAGGATTCAAAGCTATCTCTTCATCCCAGACACTGGCTTAAGATCGTTGATGCCTTTGACCTTCCACGCCTCACGTATAATGTCAACAAGAAATACTTCGAGGCCATCAAGTCCAAGCCATCCTTGTTTCCCTCGCCAGCTCACAAAACTGCCCTCTTCCGGGACCGATACAACCTCATTTACCAGCGATTGCTGCGCAATGAAGCATTCCAAAGCTCATTGGGATCCGCTGGTGTACCCTCCTTGCAACGTTCTTCGTCCAATCTTGCACAGCGCCAGTCCTATAAGCTCACACCCATCGCCAATCTGCTGGGTAGGACTGGAACCTCTCATTTGCTTCTAGGATTACTTTCAATCTCTGCTACGGGTGATTTGTCCCTTGTTGATCTATCCGGAAGCGTGGCATTGGATTTGAGCCACGCTCGAATGATTCCTGAGGATGGCGCATGGTTTGCACCCGGCATGATTGTGCTTGTGGATGGTATCTATGAAGAGGAAGAAATGGTCAAGGGCGCTGCTCTTGGTGGAAATACAGGCATTGGAGGTGCAATCGGTGGCCAATTCGTTGGTATATCAATTTGTGGGCCTCCGTGCGAAAGACGAGATATCTCTTTGGGCACAAGCAACCGCCATGATAGCGGGCAGATGAGTTCCAGCGGTGGATTCGGATGGGTCGATTTCCTGGGACTTGGAAGTGAACGTGCCCAAGGCGCGCGAATGAAAAGAATCCAAGAAAAATGTCTCAAAAACGACCAAGAGACCATGGAAGCACCACCCAGGCTCAAAGTCGCAGTCATGAGTGAAATCAATTTGGATAACATGAGGACATTGGATGCACTCAAAAAGGTCTTCAGCACTTACAATGATCTTGCTCTTCGGGAACGTCCACAGGCCTTTATATTAATCGGCAATTTCGTGCAGAGAGCCATTATCAGTGGAGGTGGCCGAGCTGGAAGCATTGAGTACAAAGAATACTTCGATTCCCTAGCGCTGGTGCTGTCCGATTTCCCAGCATTGCTTCAACACTCCACCTTCGTCTTTGTACCGGGTGACAATGACCCGTGGGCATCAGCCTTTTCTGCTGGGGCAGCCTCCACAGTCCCCCGACAGCCGATCCCGGACCTGTTCACCTCCCGAGTGAAACGCGCCTTTGCAACCGCGAACTCTGAGCTTGGGGCCCAGCACACAGAGCCAGCAGGCGAGGCCGTGTGGACTTCAAACCCGGCACGCCTTTCTTGGTTCGGGCCCGTTCATGACATCGCCGTATTCCGTGATGACATGTCAGGACGACTGAGACGCAGCGCTGTAAACACGACGCTTGACAGTGAGGACCCTGACATTACAATGCAGGACCCGTCTAGCAGTGCTGGTACCTTCGCCCAGGGTAACAGCCAAATTGATGATCTGGGTCAGCAAGAAAGTACCAAAGCTACTGCTGCATCTGGGGCGACCATGGCTCGCAGACTGGTCAAAACGATCTTGGACCAGGGAACGGTTTCGCCATTCCCATTGCCATTGCGACCTATTTTGTGGGATCATGCCTCTTCTTTGCAGTTGTATCCGTTGCCAACTGCATTGGTCCTTGCGGACCCAGAGGCCGCCCCGTTCTGTATGACATATGAAGGATGCCATGTCATGAACCCTGGGCGGTTAGTACCTGAAGGTGGCACCCCGACGGCAAGGTGGATTGAGTATGATGTGTTGCGCAACCGGGGAAAGATCAGAGAAGAGCGTTGTTAATCTACTTGTACCAGAGCGATTTAATACATTTCACGGATCATGATCAAATACACATAGATGCCATGTCATTCAAAAAGTCTAAGAATACATCGTAAAGAGAACTTCGGAGTTGTTCCCGTATTAGAGCAGGGAAACTAAATTCAAAAGGTATTGAGGGCTGTCAAGCCACATATGGTTGTTTAGTCAATGGTAATGACATCGGAGGCACCCATGCTGATGGGTTGCGGCGCAGGGACTGATGATGTGCCTTGTGTCCGTTGCTCTGGGGCTTGTTGGGGTTTGGCCTCAATCTCATCTAGTTGAAGATTGGGGGTATTCATGCATTCATGCAGCGCAAGGACGAGATTTCCAATCTTGGCGATACTAGCTTTCGCGCCATCTCCAAGACCGGCCCAGCCTTCGCCTTTTGATTGATAGATCTTCTCTTTGGTTGCAGCCACGATTTGACCACGACCTGACTGGTCCATACCGTTGGCATCCCTCAGTAACCAGATCGTCTTATCTCCGTGTGTTTGTATGCTGAGCTGGAAGCGAGATTTGAGCCGGGGGTAGTTGATCAAGTATTCAGTCGGCTTGCGCACAGTGACAATCACAATCGAGGATTCTGTTGAGAGAGAAGAAATCTGATCAAAGGCCAGTAACAAGCGAAGCGTGATGGACAAGAGCTCGATGGTTTGATCAACACCTGTTCTCGTAGTGGAATTGTTTAAATCGACAGTGAGCGCTTCTTGAATCCGGCGATGAGGGCTAGAGGTTTCAAACTTGATGCCAAGGCTCAGCTGGAAGAGGGGCTTCTTCGTCGAGACAGCAGCAACAACATCAATGTGATCGGACAATGAAGGCCCTTGAACACCGACATCGAAGCAAGCGGAGTACTTCGCATCGGTTCCGTATGCAAATGCGACCTGTGACAAAGACAGCGATCGAGGTTGGAATCCCTTCTTTATGAGAGAGTAAAGAATGGCAATCACACACTCGAGTCGTTGCAAGCGCTCGATGACGGAAACAACCACGGAGTGTCCAGCTGGTACCAGCAAGCGCAGCGCAAAGCCAGCACCCTTATCCTCAATGATCAATTCAGAGTCCATCTGAGAAACGAGACTGGCCAAGCTTTGAATGCGTTGATTGAATGTGCCACGTGCGACAATCACTACCGAGCTGCTCTGAGTGTCGATTCCATGGAATGAAAGCCGAATCATCTCCTTGAATGATACCTGTTTGCTCACATTGAAAGGCAACGTCATTCGCAATGCGACTGGCAATGTTGAAGAGTTATAGTTGAACAGGAGATCCGGAACAGTCAGATCCGCTCCTAGCTGTAACTCCTTCAAAGACGGCCAGAAATGCATACCTGGCAGGTCGGCCAGATAACGTGCATTGGCATGAATCGCCAATATCCCCGTGAGAGCATCGACCAGTTCCGCATAAGATGAGAAGTCAAATCGATTTTTCGGTGGCAAGAGGGTCTCGCTGACAGCATGCGCTCGCGGAAGACTGATGCTGTCATCGGGAAGGATAGGAAATCGCGGCACCTTCTTCGCGCCGGCAGGTCGAAGTTGAACGAGCCACCAGCGGTCACCATCCATGCTGCTCGTCGCCGCCGCAACCCATTGTCGATTCCAAAGCCGGTGGGTGAAGAGGATGCTGCGCATCACGCCTGGAGGGAACAGTTTTCGAGATCCGAGCCCAAGTATATTCTGCTTCATAGGCTCAAGACCAAGGGCCTTGGTGCCAGTTTCGATTTCATTCACCGCGGTAGTACAACGCAATTTAGCGATGCGAGATAATATCTCTTCTATCGATGATTTGTAGACAGTTCGGTCGCCATCCAAACGGTCCAACATGTTTGGTGCCCCGCAGAAAACGATAGAACCCGACATGGGTTCTATTGACACTCGAAGAGAGCGTAAGTTTGTGAGTTGGACATCGAGTCGACAATCTCCAGGTTCTATGGGTGATATTTGGGCCTTGATGGATAGTTTGTGGTTCGAGAAGAGGAGGTGCTTTTTGAGGATGTTGAATGCGGCGGAGATAAGTTGTGAAGTATGTAATGCGATCACGCTTCTGAGGATGCGCTCCATAGAGAGTTTCTTTGGGTTGAACTTGATGGCATGACTGCTGACTTGTTGACCGTCGCGCATCCATCGGAGGCCTAGATGAGAAACTCCAGGCTTAGATGTGGTGGAACTGCCAGGGAGATTGCCACTTCTGACTCCAATTTCGAGCCAGCTTTTGGGCCCTGGTCTTTGAGGCCAATACTGAACGACGAGTATGCGGTGTAAAAGTTCAATGTGCAAGCAATCTGCCCAAACACCTCGTGCAAGTTCTATGGCTTGTTTCAAGAGGATGTTAATCTTGTTAGTGAGGACCAAGCCGTGTAAGAAATTGAAACAGCCCATCAAGCCATGTTCCCGAAGGATTCCATTGATCCTGCCGTCTAGTTCATTGAAAATTCGACCTTTGGGGATGGACGATGACGGCGAAAAAAGGAAACGAATATCCACGAAAAAGAACTGTGATGTCTTCGACTCCTCTGCAACTGAAAGGTCAAGCTCAAATTCACCAGGAACTGTGAAAGTGACACGACCATCATGGACCCGATAATTGTGCAGGGCGAATGGCACCGAGTCGTGTAATGTGAGTCTCACGCTGATGATTCTGTTAAGTTTTAGCAGCTTTTTGAGAGTTGCCCGTGCGGTGAGTGGTTTGGGGGGTTTGTAGCCAAGCTATGTAGCACATTAGCACTGCAGAGAATGATCAGCATGATCTAAGAAAGCACTTACATCCGGCAAAGAGGATACTCGCCCCTTTGAAAGAACCTCCAGGGCTGTTTTCAAATCCGGGTTGGCAACTTGTGCTCGAACGAGATCTCTTTTCACTTCACCCACAAATTGGAGAGCTGAATCATATGCTTGATGTCGCGTGCGAATGAAATTTTGGATATCGATGAGTCTGCTCACATCTGCAGCTTGTCGACTCCATTGTGAGAGAACCAGAAGCTTGATGAATTCAGCCCTCTTGTTGTGGGCAAATTCGAGGAGCCGTGACTTCTTGCGCAAGTTTTCTGGGGACTGATTTCCGCCTGGTTTTCCATTGGCTGGCGGTACATCAATCGCAGCCAGCTCTGTGATAACCTCCGAGAGTTCAATCCAGCATTGTTGCACTGAGCGATTGATCAGTGTACCGAATGGAAAGAACCCCTGGGTGATATGAGGTAGTTCAAAGGGAGCCGCCGGCACGATGTCACCCGCCTTATCCATAGCGGTCGGTATATGCTGCAATGCGCCATTCATGCGCGCTGAACCGTTCATGCCAGAACCGTGAGAAGTTTTGTCGGAGTTTTCGAAATTATTGGATATGCCGTTGCTGGTCCCATCGAGGCCTGGCCGCCTGATGGATCCCTCTATGTTGACATTGGCCATGACGACGCCGGGCATTTCTGGAAACAAAGCCTGCTGCAATAGTATTGCTGTCTGGAAGCTTTCCCCTCCTTTGCCCTATGCACGGTGCAGAATCAGCGACACGGGCAATCTTCCGGGCTTGGTCCAGTCGGCGCTGGGATAGGAAGGGAAGCCGATTTCAAAGATGAGGCAAGAGGTAAGTCCTCAAAGCGATGCCATCCAATTTATGGGCCGTTCGAATAGGAGACCTCGCTCATAATCAAAAGAGCTCGGCGCACGGTTCAATGCGGATGGGCCGATGGGTCGTCAACTGGTGGTTGGGACTTGGGCGTTATGGAAATCGGATCGGACTGACTGGCGAGACGCTTACAGAAGTCGAGATCCGGAGGAAGGTAGCGACCAGCGAAGGTGAGGGCTCGTGGTCGGAAATCTAGATATTTTGCTGATAGCAGGGTTGTCGCAATGCGAGGAACAAGGCCGAACGGCTTGACAGGAAGAGAAAGAAGAAATGCCGAGGCGAGAAATCGAATGGGATGGCTCCTCTGGGCAACCGACTATGCAAAGAGGTGAATCAGGGCGGGTGAACTGCGTCAACAATGCATGCAGCGCATCGCGATCATCTTTGGGCTTGAGATTGTCCTACCGCCTTTGATCTGGGGGGTGTTATTCCTTACGTAACCATGTTTTTGTATTGAAATCCAACGCAGATGCAATCCCTTGGCAATACCAAATACCGCTATTGTGGATGTCCCGGTACTAAGCTTGGGGTGGTCTGGGCTCTTTCTTTACTCATGACCTCACACTCTCTCCCTTTGATACTCGTTTCTTGGACACATTTCGAAACTCCCGTCACTTTTGGTGCGATGTCTCTGTGATTGACTGTGGAACATGAGTCTAGGCTATCATGACTACACCAAATACTGAGGCACTCCCTCAATTTCCTGGTGATGACACCAGACCGACCAGCAAGCGGGAGCTCGCTGGCTGGTATTGCTATGGTTGGGCCGCCGAAGTCTTTGTAGTATGTGCCATGGGTACGTTTATTGGGATTCACCTCGTCGCTACTTTGATTGTCTGACCTGAAACAGGCTCCTTTCTCCCCATCACCTTAGAGCAGATGGCTCGGGATCGAGGTGTTCTACTCTCAGACAAAACGACCCCATGCAGTGCGACTTGGAGTCCCTCCTTGCCACCAGATGGGGAAAAATTAGGATACCAAACCCAGGCGAACGGCGGCCAATGCATCATCTATTTTCTCGGCGCCGAAATTAATACCGCGAGTTTTGCTTTGTACACATTCTCATTGAGCGTTTTGGTCCAGGCAATCTTGATTATCTCAATGTCAGGCGCTGCTGACCATGGAACTTATCGGAAGAAACTGTTGATCGTCTTTGCTTTCATTGGCTCCATTGCAACAATGTTGTTCTTGGCCATTGTGCCCAGAGTATACCTTTTAGGTGGACTTCTCGCGATCATCTCTAACACATGCTTCGGGGCATCATTTGTCCTTCTCAATTCGTTTCTTCCGGTTCTGGTTCGTCACCACCCATCTGTGCTCAAAGAGGGGGAAGGAGAGAGGCCATCAAGCGATGTTTCGGTGGTCAATGGCGAAGGCCGCCCTTCCCCAGGAGCGATTGGGCAAACAACCCCAGATGACACCACTCCCCTCCTGGAGTCTGACAGCAGAACCAAGGAGCCTTCTCACAATATTACTTCTCTGGAGCTTAAGCTTTCTACCCAAATCTCATCCACCGGCATTGGTATAGGATATATAGGTGCCGTGATTCTACAGGTAATCTCAATTTTGGTGGTTGTGGTTGTGCGCCCTCCAACATTCGCACTGCGTGTTGTGCTCTTCTTGATTGGACTGTGGTGGTTCGCATTCACTATCCCCGCTGCTTTGTGGCTGCGTACTCGGCCCGGCCCGCCTTTATTAGGCACTGACGGCAAACCACTTGATTCATGGATAGCCCACATTGCCTACGCCTGGAAATCTCTCGGCAAAACTGTAATGCGGGCGCGACGACTCAAAGACATCGGGATCTTTCTTGCTGCCTGGTTTCTGCTCAGCGACGGAATTGCGACTGTCAGCGGCACTGCTGTTCTGTTTGCCAAAACCCAGTTGGACATGAAACCTGCTGCTCTGGGATTGATCAATGTGATTGTCATGGTTGCAGGGGTATTTGGTGCCTTCTCCTGGAGCTATGTATCCAGTTATTTTGATTTGCGTGCTTCACAGACCATTATTGTATGCATCGTTCTCTTTGAGCTGATCCCCTTATATGGACTCTTGGGTTTCATACCGGCCGTGCAACGCGTGGGACTTGGTCTTCACCAGCCCTGGGAGATGTACCCTCTAGCCGCAGTTTACGGTCTTGTAATGGGCGGGTTATCATCCTACTGCCGAAGCTTTTTCGGCGAACTTATCCCTCAAGGCTACGAAGCGGCCTTTTATGCTCTCTACGCTATTACCGACAAAGGATCCAGCATCTTTGGGCCAGCCATTGTCGGCTCCATCACCGATCGATACGGGGAGATCCGTCCTGCATTTGGGTTTTTAGCTATTTTAATTATTGTCCCATTGCCCCTCATGCTATTAGTGGACGTTGAACGCGGGAAACGGGACGCCCTAGCACTGGGGGCTGAACTGGACGGCATGCCTGAGGGGGCGGGATATGGGGCCATTTCCCAAGCCCCTCGAGAGGGAGAAGCGGTAGGAGAGTGATAGCTTGTTGTGAGTGTGATATGTCGAGGTAATTGCTTTTTCGGGTATCATTTGACCTGTCTTTTAGTCTGAACGAGAATTAAGATACAATATAATTACGGAGTATGATGTAGTTACGAGCAACTATGGGGAGTCTAGGAATGCATGAACATCAATACACTCATGCCGCCAAGCACCAGAGGCCACTTGTCCCCAATTGTAGGTGTGTAACTTTCCCATATCCTTGACGAAAGGTGACAGGGTATTTCGTACTTGGGTTTTACTCACGGAGCTAATTACATAGAAGGAGGCCAGGGTTCAAGATCAGGGCGGTTAAACAGGGTACCGTCCAAGGTGCCTAGTACCGAAGCTTTCTCCATAGATTGGCGGTCAGTGGAGGTACCCAGTACCTGGCAGGAACCGCCCTTTCGTAACCCTGCATAGCCCGGTCATAGTAGCTCCACTCTCAGCCTTAGTGAACAAACTGTCCTCTTCCTCTGAGATAAATATTACATTCCCCTCTGGACCCAGTCACTTTCCTCAACTAATCTGTTGGTAAGTCAAACTCCACCTATCGGTCTTGACTTGAAAGTATTGGGACTCATTCTTTTTTATTTACAGATATCGACAACATGAGGTCCTTCGCTCCCCTAGTACTGAGCCTTCTCGGCGCTACCGCGGCAGTCCACGCCGCTGAGCCCGAGGTTGCCGATGCTGATGCCAATGTTGTTACATTGACAACTGATACCTTCAATGACTTTGTCAAGGAGCACCCCCTGGTCCTTGCTGAGTTCTACGCACCCTGGTGCGGTCACTGCAAGGCACTTGCCCCCAAGTACGAGGAAGCTGCTACCGAGCTGAAGGCCAAGGATATCCCTGTGGCCAAGGTTGACTGCACCGTTGAGGAGGAGCTCTGCCGCACCTACGAGGTTGATGGCTACCCTACCCTCAAGGTCTTCCGTGGCCCCGACTCTCACAAGCCTTACGCTGGAGCCCGTAAGACCGACGCGTAAGTCCGGACCAGAATGCGCGTTCCCATGCCTTATGGAAACTAACATTGCCCCCCCCCCCCCCACAGAATTGTCTCATACATGACCAAGCAGTCAATGCCTGCCGTCTCTACCGTCACCGAGGAGAACCTCGAAGAATTCAAGGCTCTGGACAAGATCGTTGTCATTGGCTACGTTGCCTCCGACGACAAGACCTCCCACGACAGCTTCGCCTCTTTCGCCGAAACCCAGCGTGACAACTTCCTTTTCGGATCTTCCGACGACGCTTCTCTGGCTAAGGCTGAAGGCGTCAAGCAGCCCTCCATCGTCCTCTACAAGGACTTTGACGAGAAGAAGGCCGTCTACGACGGCAAGCTCGAGGATGAGGCCATCCTCAACTGGGTCAAGACTGCCAGCACCCCTCTGGTTGGCGAGCTCGGTCCCGAGACTTACTCCAAGTACATGGCCGTATGTCTAATCACCCCTGTCTTCACTTAACATGAGATAATAAAGGCTAACTTTGCGTGACAAACAGGCCGGTATTCCCCTAGCTTACATCTTCGCCGAGACCGCCGAAGAGCGTGAGCAGTTCGCCGCTGACTTCCGTCCCATCGCTGAGAAGCACCGTGGAGACATCAACATTGTCACCCTTGACGCTAAGCTCTTCGGTGCCCACGCCGGCAACCTCAACCTTGAGCCCGAGAACTTCCCCGCTTTCGCCATCCAGGATGTCACCAAGAACGCCAAGTACCCCTACGAGCAGACCAAGAAGATCGATGCCAAGGAGATTGGCAAGTTCATCAAGAACGTCCTCGAGGGCAAGGTCGAGGCCAGCGTCAAGTCCGAGCCCATTCCTGAGACCCAGGAGGGTGTCACTGTCATTGTTGGCCGTAGCTTCCAGGACGTTGTCATTGACAACGAGAAGGATGTCCTGGTTGAGTACTACGCCCCTTGGTGTGGACACTGCAAGTCTCTCGCTCCCAAGTACGAGGAACTTGCTGTTCTCTACGCCAGCGCCGAGCTGAGCGAGAAGGTCACCGTTGCCAAGATTGACGCCACCGCCAACGATGTGCCCGACTCTATCACTGGCTTCCCCACCATCAAGATCTACCCCGCTGGTGCCAAGGACTCTCCCATTGAGTATGCTGGTGACCGCACCGTTGAGGATCTTGTCACTTTCATCAAGGAGAACGGCAAGCACCAAGTTGATGGTCTTGCCGATGGCGCCAAGGCCGAGGAGGCTGACGCTACCTCTTCCGCTGCTCCCAAGGCCACTGAGGCCGTTGAGGAGGAGGGCCATGACGAGCTGTAAAGTTTATAATTGCTTTCCAAAATGTAACTCGATACGTACTTTTATCTGAATCGATCTATATCGCTTGTCAAATTCAACAAACCCAGTAAATCCCGTTGTCATCGATTGACCTGTCAATTTTAGCTATGGGGCCAATAAGCCGATCTTTCGCGGATTCGACGCGTTGCGACGCGTTGAATGTCTTATCGCGGAGCCTCATCTCTGGGGCAATTTGTGGCCAATTCCAACTCTCTCTCGTATTCCACCCTCTGTCCTGAATCCAGACAAACAGAATCTTAAGATACTTATTTCATTATGGTCTCCCCTGGTGTCAAGCGCAAATCCGAACACCTCCCCACCCCGGACTCAAAGAAGCCCAAAGGTGGCAGCATCACTGCATTCTTTGGAGCTCCGAAACCCAAGCCCACGAACACAGAGTCTGGCGCGGTCGCACCGCCGCGGCCAAGCAATTTCAATAAGGAGAAATGGGTGGCCTCATTGACCCCAGAACAGAAGGAGCTGTTGCAGCTTGAGATCGACACCTTGGACGAGAGCTGGCTCGCCCATCTGAAGGAGGAGGTTGTTAGCACAGAGTTCTTGAACCTGAAACGATTCTTGAAGAAAGAAAAGGACACTGGTGCCAAAGTCTTTCCACCTGAGGAAGATGTCTACTCTTGGTAAGTCAGGGTTTCGATGCTACCGTGGCTGCAATGTGCTCACAAGTAACAGGTCCCGACACACACCCTTGCACAGCGTCAAGGTAGTCATCATTGGTCAAGATCCTTACCACAACCACAATCAGGCCCATGGTCTCTGCTTTTCCGTTCGAGCCCCCGTGCGAGCCCCACCGTCATTACTCAACATCTACAAGGGGATCAAAAACGATTATCCCGAGTTTGAAGCACCGCCCGATAAGGGTGGTCTATTGACTCCCTGGGCCGAGCGCGGTGTCCTCATGCTGAACACATGTCTTACTGTCCGGGCACACCAGGCAAATAGCCATTCCAACAAGGGCTGGGAGAAATTCACACAGAAGGTCATCGATCTAGTTGCGCGAGTCCGAACCAACGGTGTCGTCTTCCTTGCTTGGGGAACTCCTGCTGGAACAAGAGTTGCGAAAATCAGCAAGCAAAAGCATTGTATCCTACAATCCGTGCACCCCAGCCCCCTCAGTGCGCATCGTGGATTTGTATGTTGGACCCTCATACATATTGAGAAGACTGCTAATGCTCCCTAGTTCCAAAACGCGCACTTTAAGAAGTGTAATAACTGGCTGGCTGAACGGTATGGACCAGATCAGATCATCGACTGGAATCTAGTGCCGAGCAAGAAGCCGACCTGTATCTCCGACAAGGAGAACCTGAATGCTTCAACCAACCAGGCGCCCGTTGAACCTAAAATTGCGAAGGTCGAAGCTAAGCCCCCGGTGGATGAGTTCGACGACGATGATGCGATCCAAGCTCTCGTCGAGGCTGAGGCCTGTTCAAGTCCTGTCTAGGTCACAACGATCACTTAGAAACAAGGTTGTATTCGTGTGAGCTATGGAGTTCGAGAGGCATGGATTTCCACTGGTTTCGGATATCATTGTTTAGAATATGGAGTAAATTTGAATCGATTCATCCATGGATATTGGAATTGTCATTGACTAGGACAGAGTAGCTCAGCTCTAGAGGTTAGAGGGAGGCTCAAGTATGTATCCACCTGGACAGCTAGATGATTTTCAAGGGGTATCAACGCATCTATCATTGATCCAGAATTAAGACAAGAGATGTATATTCTTGAATCTAACAGATGGTATGTAGTAGCACCTGGGCACAATGCAAACTCGTCGCGCTGATAACAGATCCTTATCGATAAGCCATCTCCAACTTCGCATCTCAGCCTCTTTCAACTTCAGCTCTCGCCTAGATGGAACTGACCTGGCTCCCAGACATTCCCCAGTCGCGCAGTCGTACGAGGGCATTGCGAGCTTGTGCCAATTGCCAGCGTTCGAAGGTGGGTGCGCGCAACACTATGCAAGACCCGTCTAACCTCCACAGAAACGATGTCGACACTTGATCCCCAAATGGGAACCCTCCAATGATCCAGATCGGCAACCGCCCCATTCCAATAATTATAATACTGTCCAGCCCAGTCCCCAAGGCCAGAGTCGCTTGGATCCATCAAATATAGACCGCGCGCGGACAGCGTCGGACAGTCCGGCGTCAACGTCTGTCCCCACTACAGAGAGATTCGTGGGAGACCTCAATCCAGAGTCATTGATTCGAGAAAGATTAGACGAGCCTACCGGAAATCCTCTACGAGACCGTATTGGACTCTGGATTAACTCCCCCGCGGCGCAAAAGGCAAAGCCACGAAATGTGACAGGACAAGCGGAATCATCTAATGCGCCAGGCGCCAACGATGAACACGCTACTGCGTCATTGCTTCAGCAGCGATTCGCTGTGGGGATGCAAGCATCTCGGCAACTCCCTTTATCTACGCGAGAGCCTTTAATCGCCATTTACTTTAACAAGGTCAACCACATCATCCCGATAGTGGACCAAGGGTTCATCCAAGCGCAGGCCGATGGCTCAGCGTCTGTTTTCCTCGAGAAGGCCATGTGTCTTGTAGCTGCGAAGACCTCTGCAGCTGTCCCCTATCTAACACTCGCACCACACGGCCCGCTTCTACCCTCGCGCCAGTTCTGTTCCGAGATATACAGAGAGCTTGTCGTAGCCATGGACGCAGAGTTGGAACCGGATCGACTAACGCGGATCCGTGTTCTAGCACTGATGTCTCTGCATTGCGAGGGATATGAAGGCGCAGAAGCCGCATCTTTGCACCTCTGCCAAGCTATACATCAATCTCAGACGGTAGGGCTGCATCTCGGGCGTCCAAACCAGCCACCTACAGACTCCATGACCAAATTGTTCTGGTGTTTGTGGACACTTGATAAGATGCACGCAAGCATTGGCGGTCGGCCAGTTCTGATAGCAGATCGCGATGTTGGGGTCGTAAAACCTGATCTCACTCAGAAGTCACGGGGCGCTTTCGAGGTCTGGCTTGCTGTTTCTGACCTGCTGGCGAATGTCATATCTTTCTACAGACCTACAGCAGATCCTACCGGTGGTTGGGAAGAGGGATTCCCTGCTTTTGAAGATCTCGTGGGGGAAGATGCACAGGGAGATCTGGACTTCGCCACATTAGGTATGGCATTCACCATCACCCCAAGTTCAAACTGACAAGATCCAGGATTTTTGGAACTATACTACCACTCCGTCGCCATCTTATCATGCCGCTATAAACCAACCGACAGTATTGACGGCAGACTCTCATCCGTCAGACAAGGCCTAGCAGCCGTGCGCATTCACTCAATTGTCGCATCAGAGTGTGCAGACAGCCTTCCGCCCCTTCCAGTTGTCCCATACTCAATCACTCTCTCAATGGGCGTCTCATACCGCCAACTCCGCTCCAGCAAACTCATCACACACCTCGACCGAGCAAAAGCCAGCCTGGAAGCTTGCTGCTCGTTATTAGAAGACATAAGCCCATACTGGTACTCTGCCGAAGCCATGGCCAGACTCGGCCAAAAAGCACTCCACCAAATACACGGCCAGCCGACGCAGTCCAAGCCAGACTCTCGTGGAGACAGAGTCTTGGAAACGGCTCATGTCACATCCCATGAAGATTCCGTCCCAGCTAAACGACAGCGAATTAACAGCGGACCAGTCTCGCCGCCTGATATCGCGCTGGATACACTACCTGCACCGACGGATCTGCAGGTCGACGGATTCGCAGATATAGATACGTTGTTCGGCGAGTTCTTGGATCTATCGCTACCAACTAACTTTTGGGATCCGATTTTCATGGAACATGAACCGCAGTCATAATCATCATCATTATAAATATGTACTGTATATAGAAAAAAGGGGGAGACCAATACAAGTCTGTACATCCATATGAATTTTAGGCGTCTTCAAAAACCCAGACGCGCCAATCATCACTCATGAAACAAAGTAACGCTCTTGCGTTCACGCTCATTCTGTCGCAATACTCCCCAAAGCGAAATCCACCGCTTTGGGCTCCGTATCAAACATCATATTATCAGTGAAATCGAACTTCTCCGCCGCCGGCTCCTCGAATAAATCATTATTGGCCGGGTCGTCAAAGTTGATCAGAGCATCGAAGTCATTTTGTGTGACCTCGGCGTCATTCGCCAGATCCATCAGTTCCGTCAGACTCATTTCCGACGGCATAGCGAAAGCATCCTTGGCAGGTGCGTTGACGTTGTTGGTGCTGCCATTTTCGGATCCGTCGGACTGAGGTGGCGTTGAGGCGAAGATGTCTGCGGGGCGCGTGGGCGCAGGCGGGTATGTGAGATCTGGGATCTTTTGAGCCAGGGAGTCCGGCGGAGGAGTGAGGGTATGGCGGGGTTTGTCGGAGACGTCCTGGGGTGAGACGGTGAGTTGGATGCCGGCTTTTCGGATAGCGGCTTCGAGGAATGAGGTGGCGAAGTCTGCGGATGCGTAGATTTCGCGGAGACGTTGGAGGATGCGCATGCATTGGTAGAAGCGTTGGAGGGAGGTCATGCGGATCGTGGGGTCTGTGGACTTGATGTCTAGAAGGTGGATGATGACGGCGGGGAGAAGAACGGTCACACCCGTCGTTGGGTAGTAGCGGGTTAGATCGAGGGTGTGGAGATCTTGGGCGATAGCTGTGATTTCGACTGCGGCGAAGCGGACCTTGTTGCGGGAGATGTCTTGCAGCTCGGCATCTGTGGATGGGTAGGGCATGGCGGGGAGGACTTGAGGGCGATGCAGAGCGGATGAGGTGGTAAGGTAGACCATTTTTAACAAAGCTCTGTGGGAGTGCAAGACTTCGTCTGCCTCGGAGAGTTTGGAACCGTTGGACATGTTGTATTGTGTTTCGATAGGTAGGTTGGCCACCCAGTCCTCGAGTTCTTGGTCACAGCTGCGTACCTCGAAGGTTTCGGCGGTGGACTTCTTCGGGACAAGCATCATGGTGGTCTCCATTGTGCCGCCGAATTTGTGACTCAACACGGAGTATTGGGCTGAGAGGACGTGACTGACACACAGGCAGAGCTTGGCTTTCTCAATGAACATCAAAGCCAGCTCGCGCTGATGGCTGACATTCTGGAGAATCTCCGAGTTGCCTACCATGGCCACGATCTCCGGGGAGAAGGGATGGAATTCAAAGTCATCGAGACTAAGCATGGGAACATCACAGTCATCGTCCTTGACACGCATTGGCCGACGCATGCCGAGGGCGATCAGTCGATCACGCGTGTAGGTGCTCCACCAGATCCGCTTCCACATCCGTTGACGACGCACATCCATCCGTGAGTTGCCGGGATCCCGGTGCAGGCCGATGGTGTGGGCCAGGGACAGACTGACACCCATCCAGTGCCAGGTGTCCTTTTGGTCATCGGGGGTTTCGTACCAGTAAGTCATGAGCAACAGTGACTGAACCAGCGAGATACGATCAACCTCGTAGTCAAAGTCATATAGGAGACGGGCACGCTGGAAGAAGACCTTACGGGCAGCCTTGCGAGTTTGGTAGCCCGCAGCCTGCAGATGCTTCATGTCGATGAACGCAACACCGGCAAACATGACGGCCTGGAACAGCAGGAGACTGATCCTGTGCACACCATCGTTCTGAACGATGGTTTGTAAAAACTCTTCCAAGTCAAGCAGGGGCATGTACGTATGGACATAGTGAATGTAGCTTTTCAGCAATTCGTTGCGAAGGGTTGGTTCCGGAATGGTCAGAGCACCCTTGACGGCCAAGTAATCGATATCTTCTTTGAGCAGTCGAGCGGGCAAACCTCGGATGTAATCCGGGAGTCCGCTGTTGGAACGGGCGTTACCAAATCTGGGATCTAACAGTTGCTGGATTTGCGAGGTGACATTGGCCAGGGGCATTGAAGCAGGAACTGCTGGGTTGGGGGCCATTCGACGTTGATAGCGATCATCAGAGCCGACAGAGCCGATAGAGCCGATGCGAGTGGCCTGGTTTTGGTCTGATAATAATCAGCAATCGGCAATCTGGGCCTCTTTCATTCAATCACTTACAGAGTAAATGGGGCATATGTTGACCCTGATCCAGATCCACCGAAGCTTGTGACGGGGAGGTCGGCACCAAATCCGCCAGCCCTGACAGGTCATTGAAACGGCCATGGAAATGGTTCTCTTCCACAGCTTCAGGGGATTCCGAATGATTCTCTACCTCAACGCGAGATTTCCTGCACGGGTCAGTTTGGTTTACAGGTATAATGCAATCACTCTTTACGCACTTTCTGCGTTTACTCTCCGTCACCACGCATTCGACCTGATCTAGGCGGCAATTCGTGCAGGGTGAGCCATTCTCCACAACATCACAGCGCACTTTTCGTGCACGGCAGCAGCAGCAGGCTTTGGAGGCGCGTCTCTTGACGGGGCGATTATTGCCCAGGCCAGCGGCTGAGGCCTTGCGCTTCCCAGAGTCGGTGTCGGTCATTGTTGAGGTTTAGGGGACATGTGAGTTAGAAGTTATATAGGAAGCATGTGAAAAGGGAAGATCACAACGTGTGAAAGCACGTGTGAAGCGAGGCGCAGAGTGGAGAGTGTCTTTTTATTAAATTTTTCTAAGGAGCAGAGTATCGCGCGCCGGGGAAAGCGAAGGTTTAAGTAACGAGTCGCCAAATGCCTCCAGGTTTCTTCGCCAATCATCCGGTGACATTCGAACTAAAAAGGTTTTTGGGATCCGCTGGTTCAGATGGGGTTGGTTCAGTACACTCCACATTACGGACACGTTACGCCGTATTTACCGTCCCAACCTACCACACTGCGTCACTCGCCCCCAATTGGGCCTAGTGACTTCTCCGGCCCGGGTCACGTTACGTGGTGGTTTGCACATTGTACCCTGACGCCTCAACGGAACAACTCGCATCTTGTACTTACACACATAAAAATTCTATGTCAATCCAAAGTTATGAACCCAAAGATCCATCAGATCTGGTTCATGGGGGTTTCCTAATGCTCAGGGGTATCCGTATCTTGTGAAGAATTACTCCATTCGGCTATATGCCGATGCCTAAGTTATAAGTCATGGGATTAGTTATCCATGTTTCATATCATAGTATTACATATATTATTCGATTATTCTACTTGTATTCTTTCTGACATTCTCTTCTTAAATGCCTCGCCGGGTCCTCGTCTTACATATTCGGGCTGTCAATGTGGGCCCTCCGACAATCACCGAGAAAACGCAGAGAAAAGACAGAGAAAATTAAAAAGAAACAAAATTAAAAAGAAAACCCTCATGAAGATCCTGTGCGGGTCACATTGAGAGGGAGAAAAAAAAAAGGGGAACTAATTCCAAGATTTCTTCCCACATCCACCCCGATGGACCCAGACTTTGTACGGGAGACTTCTCCAGTCTCCGAAGAGCGGAGCCCTATAATTTACAGGCTTGCCTCAATTCGGCAATGGACAGCTAGAATGAGTAATGCGATCAGCATGGGTGGATGTCCACTGTTGAGCTCGTTTTTCAGTTATACAACATTTATTCCCAGAATGCACAAAGTAAACTACAATGCTACGTCGATGCAAGGGAGATCCGTGGATCCGTTGACCGAGTCTCCATTCTCAAAGATGAAATCATCTTGAATCACTATGAAAGTGTACTCGTAAATCTATAACGGCTTAACAGCACGGCCCTCAAAGGCTCCATGTGCATGCGCTCTAGTCCCGCTCGACCATTTCATTATTAATCCCATGAGTCCAGACTCTACAGTGAACATGGCCTATAATTGTATGTATGCTATAATGTACAGCGTTCATGTGTACTCCGTACGGATATGTACCGCCGAATCGGAGCGAATGACCTACTTTGAAAAGAGTTCCTCCACACACAGCCCCGGAAAAGACGCAAAACATGGAGACCGGAACTACGGGCTGGACCAAGAGTATATCCCGCAATGTTTCAGCCGGCCTGCCGAACCTCACGTGCAAATTGCCGATTTCCGGAACGCAAACTTTGTGCATGTGAGTGTTCGATTCTCTTGTTCACACGGTACGGACTACGCTGGACACTACTCCGTACCCCGGGGTCTGAAGTACGAGTAGTACTTGCCTTATCTCAGTGACGCAACCAAAGCGGACCTGGTGGGACTCCAATCATGAAGTCGCTAAATAATTTCTTGTTTCGATTGGGCTGTACGAGTTCAGAGTAATCCGTACGGAGCCCAAGTACGGTAGTGGTAATCTCGTTACCGGATTTCTCCTTTGCCCCGGAATGTTCCGCTGACCCCCAGGAATGCCCAGACTCCGGGGTAAGGCTTTCCGGATTCGACAGGAACGCGTGGGAAGACTAGGAATGCGATCTGAAAACCTCAATTGACAGATTTGGAGCATATGAGTCAATCTTATACATTATCACTTTCGATATCAATTGCCGAATTTGGCATCCGATTCGGTCCAACTTTCGGCAGGTGGCGGATACAACTCACAGACCATAGACACCTGAGACTCAAGGCTGCTAAGATTATATAATGGGACATCGAAACCTTGGAAACCGCTATCAGATCTCATGCCCAAGCTACACCTGAGCAAGGCTGCACAGAACATTGACAGCTCGGCATATTGCCGAGCCTACAGTACTAATCGACTTTGAAGACGACAGCACATCAGGAAAAGCGGGAACCAAGCGCCCAGCTAACGTCTGGCCTTGATTATGCAACTGCAAAGCAAAGCCCCGAAACGCGCTGCAAGATAGCGGAGCGTGACCCCCACTCGGACAAATCGCCGTTGTTGTCAATCCCTCGTACGGCGTACTGTACAGAGTGTTCCACAGCAAAATTGACAGATTCAAACTAATCCATGCCTGGACGAACCTGTCACACCAAGCCCAATTAGACAAAGGCTCACAACATGGGGGTACCAAGACGGCAGACCGGCATAGGTCACCCCACGTTTTTTTCAAGTCCGGGGGAACGCCGACTGGGGGAAGCATATAGAAAGCCCTGGACTGCCAGCATCAGCGCGGTTGCAAGCGGTCATGGCGCCCTACCCCTCTATACCCCCGCCAGAAGCTCAACGCGCGAAATAATCCATTGGTCTAGGCTGACTTGGGGGCGTGACCTGCAAGCTCGGCAAGGAGGGTATCAAAGGCAAGACTCGGCGCCCCGCGATTCCCGCATATACTCCGGTATTGCGCAAGAGAGTCCGTATACATCTTGATTGCCACCGTTCGGGGATGTTTAAACTTAATATACAGAGAACACCTCGCGGAATTTCAGGTTTCTAGATGTTCGTATAATAAGTTTCTAATAGTAACCTTAGGATCGAAGTAAGAAGTTTTAGTTTCCAAGTGTTGTACTGAGTACGAGTACAGCTCTAGAGCTCTAGAGCTCTAGAGGGCTCGTGATCCAGATCTTACTGTAAGGGGGGATACGATTTTCTTTTAGAAAGCCTTTGGAAATGCCTAATATTAGTTTAGAGATGTCACGAGCCTATGTCGCCCCTTTTTGACATCTAGATGTCCTTTGTTCAGCATGGATTCTTCATTCTCAATTTTGGGCTCCGTAGGCTTCTTACGGTCGGTCAGTTCGATCTTCATCAAATTCCCCATAAAGCCATGGATCCTGGAGTAACTATGTTGCAGTACTCCGTTCTTCTGGGTCCCATTTTATCATTCTTCGTACAAACTTGATGAACATACTTTATCTTCGTTGCGCAGGTTTCTAATTGGATGCTCAAAGTTGAACATTGATAGTGCAATATCAATATCTGTACCTTTGAATTCTTATGTTGGCCTAGTAGATCAAGTCAAGTGAATTCCTGCTTGGACGGACTAGAATATAGTATGTTTACCGTCAGAGTCTAAGACTACTTAAGTAAGATGTCTCGCTAGCCCATTTTCTAGATTGAATAAATCAAAAGAACGTCTGATAAATTCAATCCCCTTATGTGGTGGGTCTGCTTCTAAGTTCAGATATGCGTCTCAAGATATCTAGTTCAGCCTGAGCAGCGTTCTCTCGAGAACGATGAGAACGGGAATTGATATTGAGAGCAACATATTTCTCCCTTTGCCAACGCCATCTACATTAAAGATTCACAAAGTGCTACTCGATCTGAAAAGGAAATACGCGTGGGACAAACTGATTCAGGCCCCGAGCAAGCTAGGTAGTTGAGCTACTCCCATAACCAAGTTTGGTAACGAGTTGGTACCGGTGATTGAGATCTTCCCCCAAGCGTGCAGGATAAAATTGCACAGGATCATAAAATGGCTCACTTTCTTATTCAATGGTTCCGTTCATCGGAAGTTTAGAAGCAATCACTGTTGATGGTGACCAAGGGCGGTGCGGCCTCTTCCATTTCCGCCAACTGGTGAATTTCGGATGTCCCGACAAGTTCAACACGGCATCTTCTAGGGGCCTCCACGCGTTCCATTCTCATCAACTGGTAATTTTCGGATGTCCCGACCAGCTCAAGACAGCATCTGCTGACCATCTGGCTCAGCTTCATCTACCATGTCCAAGCGACCAAGGTTGCAATGAGAACCGCAATGACCAGCGCTGCAGGCATCAGTGTCCCCAACATCGCCATACTTGTAAGTGTCGCGAATATACCCCCGGCCGGTGTGAAGCCTCCGTACATAAACGACTGGAATCCTGCTGCCAACGACCCTGGTCACAAAGTTAGCGGAGTTTCAAACTTTAGAGGACCATGGGGCTATGAAAACTATAAAAATCTCGACATACCTAAGACAATTCCAGAGGGTCCAAATCCTAGAACCATGATGAGTCCCATCACCACAGTAAAGGTGATCCACCACACTGTGATGACTGCGAGAACATCTAGCTGGTCAGCAATATTCGAAAGGAAGAGTGGGGGTATGTTTACCAGGGCGAGAGAGCCAGGTGATGAAGTCTGTCCAGCACGTGTCGATTGTGCCTAGGATATCTGAATCTGTCAGAAACATACTTGAGCAATATGATTTGATGACTTCTGTACCAAGATACGAGAGCCATTTCACGAACTCTGTCCACCATGTTTCATATTCGGGCTGTGCAAAATTGGTGAGGGGGACTTGTAGATTGGTTGCTGACAAGTCGAATAGATGCATTGTATGTAGCCTTGAAAGCTTGATGATATGACACAGTTCAAGTCTAAATTCCACAGTTGTTTTAGTGATGAGGTGGGCAGATTCTGACTTCAGGAGGGTGAAGGTGCCCAGGTGGTCCTGGATTCTGATGCGTTGTACTAATTATGAGCAGGGGTATAAAACCATAGCTGCAAGCAGGTGGGCCTGGCGCTTAGACCGTCAGCTGGGTATCATCCATGAATGATATGAGCGCCGGCGGCTATGAGCACGAAATTGTTTTTGTCTATAGGTTCGGTATTTGGCTTGATTCATGGAGTCCACATATCTACCTAGGTACCTAATCTTGGAAGCAGGTACTTTTAAGTAGCTAATTGCTTCAGGCTCGCTCCTCCCGAGGTCCTAAGGTTCAGGCGAACCCAAATAGAATTGCAAAGAAAGACAGAATGTCCCACAAAAGCCCCGGTACTCCCAACATAGCCATTTGTGTCAATTTTGCAAATATATCCCCGGCTGGAGTGAAGGCTCCATACATGAATGACTGAAACCATGCCGCCCATGAACCTAGGAACCAATATGAGCAAGACCAGATTATGGGAGTCTTCAGGGCTTACAAACCTGCAATGACTCCAAGGGGCCCAAATCCCACGAGCCTGAGAAGACTCATCACCAAATTATGAGGAAAGTTGATGACTATGTGGTTAGTGATGTACTCTAGGCATAAGAGTAAACAGGCGACATATTCACCATGACAAGAGAACCAATCAATGAGACCTTTGAATACCAAGTAGAATAGAGACATTGCTATCACTTTAGCTATCCAGCTTTGCCAGAAGCCAGAGTTTGGAGTAGTGAGGTGGATGGTCCTGATGGGGACGATGGTGGGATTCAGCGGGATTTTAAGCGTTATGCTGTAGATTATTGAGAATTTACATCCGTTGATGAAGGTGAGCATTGGGAATAGGTATCACAGTGAATACCATGCTGCATGCAAAATCTCAAAGAGCAAACAATAACGAACAAAAAGCATTTAAGTATCACCTGCTACCTTCCATTCAGTTATGTGGATAAGATTACTAGATAAACCCATGGAAAAGAGGAGAATAGTGAAGCGTACTTAAGTATGGCATTAATTGTGTGAAAGAGGCATGAATCATTACATCTCATCTCTGGAATCAGCAAAAAAAAAACAAAAAAACATCTAACATGAATCATAAGAAGGACATCCAAGAACAATAACAGTAGGGGAATCAAGAAAACCCAAAACTCAAACCAAAAACCAAGTTCATATCACGAGTTAAGCACCACCTCGACCCATCCTCTCAATTGAACCCATGATTCCTCGACCAGGGGTAGGCATTGCAATGCCAGACTTACCCCCGCTGTTACCGCGCGAGTGTCCAGGGGCACCGAATCGAGGAATCCTCTTCTCAGCAGTAGCGGGAGGGCGAATATTTCCGGAGCCAGAACGAGGAATACTGCGACGGAAGTCATCAGGAGTTGCTTCGCGAGACACACGGGCCTCCTCAGTTGGACCATGAGAAGAAGCAGTAGACCCCCCACGCTCCCGCTGAGGGTCAGGGGGAGGTTGCTGCATAGCCAGCCATTCGTCAACAGCAGCGACAAGATCACCCTTCTCTGCGCGTTCAACCTCGAGATCTGAGCGGATTCGCTCAGTATCGTCCCTTAGCGAAGCCATCTCTTTCTGTAGGCCCTGGATCTGAGCTTCCATGGCACGTTTCTCGGCTTCGTGCTCCTCATTCTCGCGTGCGAAGAGACTGGTATTGCCGGCGGCCATGGGATCAGACTGGGCGGCGTCTCGCTCATAGCGGAGATGATCATTCTCCTCGCGAGCGGCAACAAGCTTCTTCTCTGATTCTCGCAGACGCTTTTCCCAGCGAGACTCGTAGCTCTTCTTCAACGCGGCGACCTTGGTTTCATGCTTGCCCTTATATAGAGTGTGCAGTTCACGAGCCACCTTCTCGACGGCATCCTGAACTTCTCGGGCAGTATCCTCCGCCGAGTTAGAAGCGGAACGAGAGGCATTGGCACTACTAGCAGAAGACGCCGAAGCGCGCGCAGAAGATAGACGTGTCTCGAGCTCGACAACCCTCTGTTCCAGCTTTTCCTTGCTCGTTTCAGCTTCCTCGGCCCTCCGCAATAGGTTCTCCCGCTCCCGCTCCCCGTCGGTCAATTGAGATTGGACAGACAGTAAAACAGTCTCCATTTCCTTGCCTCTGCGACCCCACTCGGCTTGTTCAATCTCTAACTCCTCCTTCACAGCAGCTTCGTTGCGTAATTCCTCCAGAGCTTCACCGACACGTCTCTCGGAGTCAACCACTGCCTGCTTCAAGCTGGCAACTTCGGCATCTTTCCCGCTGAGGGTGGCCCTCAGTGAAGATATCTCCGACATGAAGCCAGACTTGAGGGACTCCAACTCACGGGGAGTCACCGTGGGAATAGATCGGGGAGTGGGAGCGGGCGGGATGTCAAAGTCCAAAAGCGAGGACATTTTCCCAGGAGATCGCATTGATTGTCTGGCAGGTCGCATAGGCGAACGCCGCGGAGAGAAACGATTGCTCTGCATAGATTGGCGAGGTTGGAAGTTCATTGACTCAGATAAATCCAGCAAATTACCGGACTCCATTGGGTTGTTCATGTCCCGAGGACCTCTAGGTCTTGGGGTGGGCGATCCGGTGGGCGAGTGTGCCTCCATATGGGCGCTTGCTCTGTAAGCCCTACGATCTGTGCCCGGGGTGTTTGGGTCGACACTACGACGATACCCACCCACAGCGGAACCCGGCCCGACAGAGCCTCGCATTGACTTCATCGGGGACTGAGAACGAAGCTTTGCAAACGTAGTCATGTCCGGTACGGCGGAGAAAGTACTCAAACAAGTGTCGTCCATGGAATCATCAACCATCGAAGTTTCATTTGACTCTTGCGCGTGGGTGACGTTTTCTTTTTCGCCATCTTCATGTAGAACCGTGCTCATGCCCTCGTTGTGTCTGTCTTCCATCAGGCTGTTGCCGATCGCTGAACGATCTTGCGCAGCACTTGTCGTCAGAAGGCTATGGTCTTGATGGTCTTGAACGATACTAGAATCTCCAGATTCGACGTGAATAGCTGGTGGCTCTGGTCGACTCATCATGCCTTTTTTGTGACTTGCGCGGACTTGCAGGCTTTCCTCCTGCTCTTGGGGTGTTTGGTCGTAGGATCTTTTGCGAGGAGTTGCTGAAGCCGGACGCTGGCCACTCAGGCCAAGCGATATCCGGGAAATCCGACGAGGCTTGTGAAGATTCAGTGTATGTTCCTTAGGGCTCGGCTCTGTGGTTGCAACAGGTTCCGGCGGTGGCGCAGGGGAGGAGTTGTGAGACTCTTCTGGCGTTGGCCGTCTTTCAAGTAGCTTGGGTGAACCATGGTCTTGGGCATTGGGACTTGGTTGGAAGGTAGAAGGCTCTGGAGCAGGGGAGGAGTCTTGAGGTACCTCCAGTGGTTGTGGATGCATATCATGTTGCTCCACAGGCTCCTCTGCTTCTGGTTCCCGGGCACGGGAGGGCGAGCTGGGCACCACAACAGGAGAAGAGATGGTGTTGGGCATTGGTGAATCTTCCTGCACCTCATATAGTTTGGGGGACTCAGATGGCTCCTTTCGAGCCTGATAGCGGAAAGGCGAACTAGCTGGTTCGGGTGATTGCTCAGCCTCGAAGACAGGTGATGGATTTTGCATTTCGCGCAATCGGTCGAGATCAACAGTCTCTTCCCGTGCATCAGGGCGGAATGGGGAGCTTGCCGGCTCATCGATTGCCAACCTTTTCTCAATCCCTGGTGACAGGGGCTCCACCTCACGCAGTCTATTAAAATTCACTGTCTCTTCTCGGGCATCAGGACGGAACGGAGAGCTTGCTGGATCTTCCACAGCCAGCCGCCTCTCAATCCCAGGCGACAAAGGCTCCACCTCACGCAGTCTCTGGAAATTCACCGTCTCTTCTCGGGCATCAGGGCGGAACGGAGAGCTTGCTGGATCCTCCACAGCCAGCCGCCTCTCAATCCCAGGCGACAAAGGCTCTACCTCTCGCAGATTGTGGAAATCCACGGTCTCTTCTTGAGCATGTGGGCGGAATGGAGAGCTTTGTGGGCTATCCTCCTCCCATGTATGAGTCTCTGGGCGTGCGAGAGGTGATGATTGCCCCTCCTGCAGGTCGTGGAATCCTGCCGTCTCGTCGACTGCCTGAGGGCGGAACGGAGAACTCATAGGCTCCTCCAGGGCAAGCCGCCTATCCACGCCAGGCGACATGGGATCTACATCCCGTATTCTTTGGAAGTCCACTGTGTCTTCTGCGGCATTTGGGCGAAATGGAGAGCTTGCCGGTTCCTCCTCTTCCAATGGATCCAGCTGTGGATATGACTGAGAAGTCTGTCGCATTTGACGCAGCTTCTGGTAATTGACGGTGTCTTCACGCGCCTCATATTGGAATGGTGAGCTAACACCGGCTTGGTATGATTCTGTGTCATTGATATCGTGGTCATCGTGGTTCTCGTGGGCGTTGTCGTAGTCAGATTCGTTAGGGTAGTTTTCGTTTTCATCGTAAGCATTGGGGGAGGACATTGCGCGACTTGTCCACTCTCTTTTCAGAGGACTTGAGGGGGCGGCATTTTCAGACGCTTGGTCCAAAGTCTTGTGGAGGAAAGGTGAGGAGTTCGCCATTTGCGACTGCGCGCGCGCGTTCTGGTAGGAGGTCGAGAGGGGTGAGAGAGGGTTCGACATGTCGATAGCAGATCAGGCAGAGTGGAGTGAATGCGAATGTGTCTACACTCTCCAATCCTCGAGTTTAAGTACCCTGTTGTTCCAGAGGCAGAGTTTGTGTCATACCCTCGAGTTGCCGTGTGGACGTTGCTGGGTAAACAAAGCTAAACCGCATTAGGAAAGGTGCATCCAAACTATCGTGCAACGACTATGAGATTTTCTGTACGTTCTTCGCAAGGGACTCATTTATTTGATGTTTTGTGAATATGATTTTGATTGAAACTATTGATATCTTTGTCAGGTCAACCGACTCTCCAAACAAACCCAAACGCCGTGCAGATGCCTTGCAAATTCCAGATATGTGCCCAATGTAACGACGCCCAACGCTAATCAATGGAACCATGTTAATTTGTACAATATTTTCCCTGGAAAAAGAGAAATGAACCAGAAAATGGATATGTGCAAGATTTTTTCGTGAGAGAATCCGAGATGCAGGTGTTCATGGGGATACTGCAGCCCGTTCATATGAATCATCGTCAACAACAATATGGACGACATCGTTGTGCGGCTGCTCTGGAACAGCAACATAATCGAAGGGAGCGGCAGGCTGAATAGTGGCCGAGGAATGGTAGTTCCGCTGAATGAACCACAACTGCAAAGCTCCGATCAACGCAACGAGAGTACTTCCCCACCATGCAAGACCAGTGCAGCCAACCTTCGAACCAGTGCTGTAGAGGAATCCAGCAATTGGAGGTGCGAGAGTGCGAGAAACGGCTCCAGCGGATGCGGCCAGACCGTTGATCTTGCCCATGACCGAGTCTGAAGGACTAGCCTGCTTGATGAGAATCAAGAGCACGGGATAGTCGATGATAGACAGGATATTGCGAGTGATAAGGCAGGTATAGATCCCACCATAGAGGAATTGGTTGGGCAAGAAAGCCAAAAATGGAACCATAAAGTAAGCGATTGGGTGTAGGATTGTGACAATGACGAAAAGTCGCCAAATCCCGAGGTAATGTGCCAATGCGGGAAAGATGACGCTCTGGATAACAATCGCAATGATGCCATCGGTAGACATGATGAAACCAACCGCCCGAGTAGAAAGGCCAACTCCGCCTGGAATATCAAAGATCGAGGTGTGTGAGCCTGTTCCTGTCTTGTCCTGCAGGAAGATGGGCAATAGATGGTCATATGTCATAGAGTGATAGGTGAAAATGGTCAAAGCCAACACAAGCATGATGATTCGCCAAGTGAAAGCTTTAGGCTTTGGCAAAGTTTTCCACGATGGCGAAGAGCCATCGGCTTGTACATTCCAATGTTCATCTTGATGCAAGTGAACCTGATTGAAAGTTCCATAAGACTCCGCTCGAAGATCCACGGCGGCGTTCGCAGTTGCACCAGAGGTGACAAGAAGAGGTTGTTCAGTTGCGTGATCGAAGTAGCCATGAGCCTCGCTAGGCTGCATATCTGGATGGGTCTCCTGTAAGAACAGCCAACTTCCAATGATACTGAAGAGAAGCAGGACCGAACAGACAAGGTTCGGCAAGAGGTAAGGGAACTTTCCAAAGAGACCATCCACTGGGAACAGAGATGGATTGGATTCAGCAGGCTTCGCGAGTAAACCGCCAATAGCTGCTCTAGATTAGCGCTGCAGGTGATACCGGTGGAATAATATACATACCAGGTCCAATGATCGACCCGATCGACCAGACAAAAGGCATGATAGTGTACGCGCGAGCTAAGAAGACACAGTTAGACCGAGTTGCATAAGATTACGAGGACAGTAAAGGGAAGAAACTCACGTTCATGCTCAGGCCGCTTAACCAGCTCGCCCACCATAGTTTGAATAACCCCGATATTACCATTCAGAGCACCACCCAGAGCACGACCAAGGAGCGCAACCCAAAAGTTTGGTGCTAGCCCAACCAAAAGTAAAGAGAGCATGGTACCGATACAACCGCAGAGAAGGACAGGCTTGCGACCTATGCGATCCGACAGACCGCCCCAGAACATACCGGTGAGAGCTTCGGCGAGCGCGAAGGCCGAGATCAAGACACCAGCGTAGAAAGAGGCATTCTCATCATCCACGTGGAAGTCTTTGACCATCACCCACGAGTAGGGGAAGATGGACGTCAAGGCGATTGGTTCTGCGACCCGACATATTGCTATCGGACGTTAGTACCTGTAGGTATGGTGGATGTGTGTGTGTGTGTGTGTGCAGCAAAGAGAGAGAGGGAGATGAAATGATGTCGGTATAAGTATAGGAAAGAATACCACTTACCGAGGAGGAAGAGTTGAGCGGTGGGGAAACTGTCGTCGATCGACTGGGATCTCTGCTGTGTTAATACCATTCTTGAGAAGTAATTATGATCTTACGGCAATCCCCAGAGTCCAGTGGTAATCCCACTGCGCTGTGTAGACCGAGACCTCTCAAGTTAACAAGGAAGATGAGAATTGATGAGAGGGAAGAAGTTGGAATTAAACCTTCCAAGGGTAAGTGCGGCTGCGTCCAGGTTTTTTTCGGCCAAGAACGGGCCAAACCTTACCTTATGCGTCCCTAGGGCTGGCATTCCCTACGGAGTATCTAATTCTGAGACGGAAACAAAGAAGGGGTTACTCCGAATTTAGTAGTTATTTACTCTAGATTACTCCTTCTACGGAGTATTTGATTTTAAATTAGAACCCCTTCATATTGTGTTCTGCACTTGTGTCTTGGGTCAGGCACCGTGGAAAACTTTTCGTGTGGCGAACGGTACCTGGAAGCGTTGCACACAATGTTAGCACATACTCTACTCCGTATTGTATGTACCTCTTCCATTGCATATGACCCACCTAGATATCTCATTCGAATGTATCAAGTTTTCTGTTATGTTGTTATGTACATGCAGGTAAAATGTACATCGGACAAGTCGGTCTTCCGTCTCCACTAAACTCTTGAATCAATTTCTTAAACTCCTGTGGACCAATCACAGGTCGTTGCGCCCGCGTGGATACATGCACTAGGGCCAAGGCCGAAGTTTAAGACCCGCAAATGCATACAGTGCAACGCACTCCGTACTCCATACACCGTACTCCGCACAGTTGGAAATGGCCGATCCTCACGTGTCCATTATTACGACCATAAATCTCGAGGGAAAAAAATGTATAGTAATGAACAGTCTGTTGAGACGATCTGATTTCTATGAGCATAAACCATGCTAATCCACAGAAACAAAACAAATAGAAAATGCCATCGAACCCCACAGCCCCCTGCGCCGGTTAATCCACTGCTATGCGGTCCGGATTGTATTGAAACAGAGCAAATCAGGAAAAGAAAAAGGCACAATGAAATATGGAAAAGAATGAAAAAGAATGAACAGGTATCAAACCTCCGGATGTGTGGGCGAACTGGTGATCTCAACAGAGCGAGTTTCGAGTTCTTTAGGAAGACTGCCTGCACCGTCACGTGCATCTGTACGGGACTCAACGATAGGCGGGACTTCAGAGGTCTCCGTAGAAGGCTGATGAACCGACGGAGTAGCGCTGGAAGAGGATCCTTCACACTGCAACTTATGTGAAGCATCCTCGACGTGCTCAGTAGATTCATCACCCTTCTCCTCGTCGCCAATAACGGCGGCCAAACTGCGGAAATTGAACATGGGCTCCGAGTTGGTACTACCTTCTGCAGAGTGGCCGGTACGTTCATCCGGGGTAGTTTCCATGAGTGACGAAAACGACGAGGACGCACTGGAGACTTGGCGTAGTTGAGATTGTCGCGAAGGCTCGGGCTGATCGGCCAGTGTCGCTGCAGAGGCAGGGTCAAGGCTATTGGATCCCAAATTCTCGGTCGACGGCGCACGATCGACACCCTTGCCCTTGCCGCCAGCAGCGAGCTCTTCCCCAATGGGATCCTCGCCAATGACGGAGGACGAGTTACTGGTCACCTTACCTAGATTGGGCTCGCCAGGCACATCCAAGGCGGAGGTACTAGCGTTGTTGCTGTACAATCCATTCTTGCGAGCCACTTTGTCTGCCTTCTTGGCCTCCTTCTCCTTCTCCTTTTCTCTCTTCTTGGCCTCTTTCCGCGCCTCCTTCTCCTCTCGCCTGAGACGTTCATCTTCGCTAGCTAAGCTCAGCCGAATAGCTTCCATCATCATCATTTCCTCGAGATCATCAATCCGGGTACGCCTTGAGCTTGATCGCGGAGCTGGCAGGTTACCGGATCCTTCTTCAGCAGAGGCAGAGTCGGTATCTTGGGCGGCTCCTCGGGGAGGCGTGCGATCGGAACCGGTGCGCTCAGTCAAGAAAGCCAACGCGTTGAGGGCGGGTGAAGCGGTCCGGCCGCTGTGCCCCTCTCCGCCAGTGGCTCTACGTATTCCGCGCCGCCCGATACCAAACCCTCGGGAGTCATTACCGGAGGCAGGGTTAATGAGATAGGCAGCAGTGTGCAAGGCGGTGGCTGCCGCAGACCGACGGGCTGCATGGGCTCGGGCATTTGACAACTTGGTGGCCCAATCAGGTCGAATTTTGTCCGTCGTCACCACAGTAGGGTCGGTGGCAGACAGTGACGTGGCACGGCGGCGCCCAGGCACAACAGTTGACAGGCCCAGCGAGGACGTGGATGATACGGGGGAGGTGAAGTTGGGCGAGAGTCGGGCACTCGGGTCAGCCGCATAAGTCAGGCCCCGGCGGAACGTGGGTGGCGCATAGGTCACTCCAAACTCGGGCTGAACACAGAAAGGACACGCAGACGGCTCGGAAACCAATTGCGACTCCGTTGCTTCTATTTGCTCGCCCTCGGCTGGAGTGGCATTCGCATTGGGTTCTGCGTGCTCTGGAGGATGCGGGTCGGGACGCTTGATTTGAACGAAGCATTCAGAACAGATCGGTTGGTCGCAGCATCGGGTACGATTGAGGTACGGCGGATAGTAGAGGAAGCAGATAGGACATTCGCTCGCGTCTTTGTACAGGTTGACTTCGATGGGCTGGCCATTCACAAATGGGTCTTTGGGAAGTTGGAGTTCTCGCGGGGACAAATCCGTCTGCGAACTATGCTTGGAAGTGGTCAGTCCCGCGAGCGTCTTCGCTCGGGTTCGGAAAAGTGGTGATGTTGAGGTTCCAGATGCAATTGGGGATGAAGAGGGAAGCGATTGAGGAGGATTGGAATTCTGAGAAGCGTCGGAGTTCAAGGATTGCGATCTGGACCCGATCGGCACTGTGAGGTGCTGAATATTGGTCGCATCGAGAGATGGTTGATCCCCCGACCTAGGTAATTTATACTCCAGCTCGGGCGGTATTTCATCGGGCGGAGGGATAGTCATTCCCCGCGCAGCCGCCATAAGTTGATGCTCGGCCCATGACTCCGAGAAGTCATCTAGACCCCGCCAGAAAGGAGCTAGGCGGCGTTCGATCTAAACAGTTAGCCAAGCGCACCGTACACAGACACTGTTCCGGGATTTACCTACCATCAACTGCCGCACGACGGGTTTACTGTAGTCTTCTGTCCCTACGTAGACGCCCTGGGTGACCAAATAGCCCCCATCCACATGCTCCTCCTTCATGCTGCGTTCTCTTTCCTTCAAACGAGCGACCCGCTCCTTTTCTAAGCGTCGAGCCTCACGCTCCTGCTTTGTCTCCCGCCTGTGTTCTGGCGCTGCCCCATCGCGATCATGACTGCTGCCGATGCCGAGGATGGAAAGGTCCGGCCGACTACCTCTGGCTGACCGGGAGCCATGATAAGGGCGACTTGAGCCATCGGAAGCACCGGGCGACAATTGTTGACTTCGATGACGCGATGGGACTGCGGAGCGGGATTCCTTGGTCTGGGAGTTTCCCATATTGGACCGGGATATAGACGGGGGGGGGAGGGGGGAAGTCGGTTGTCCGGTTATCGCGGATAGCTATAGGAAACAGAGGAGGCCCCCTTGGGGGGTATAGAGTGGGGGAAAATGCAGAAAGGTGAGGAAACTAAGGCGAGGAAGACATAAGAAAGTCAAAGTGTGGAGGACGAGGCAAGGAGCGGGGGTTGTGATCTGTCCGGAGTAACTGGGGAAGTGAGATCGGTGAGAGGGAAAACCGTGAGGCCGAGACTCAAACGGATGTGGCGGATCTTTATAACGAGAAACGTCTCGACTTTCATGATCTTATTATATTTTAATCTTGTCTTCTTTCTCTCTCTTATTGGATAAACAACTTTGCGGATTCACGATAGTACGTAGGGATCCACATATGCATAGGAATTCTACGAGTACATATGTACGAGTAGTAGTAAACCGGTTCGTAGGCAGAACCTTTTACTACACCGATACAAGATCCAACATCTTCAAAAAGATACCAACGTGGACGTGTCCTATATGTAAGGGCATCCGTCATCCATCCCGAGGTATCTGGGCATTCTCCACTCTGCCCTTTCGAAAATCTCAATCCGGTTTTAGCGAGTCTAGCCGTTGCATATTACGAATGATAGGGCTGATCTGGTCTAGACATTCTATTAGGTCTCTTAGCTCTTAGCAGCTTTCTTATGCTTTGGGTATTACTTAAGTACAACTTTAGAAGGGAATAGCCAAGGTCATGCAGACTAAGCCAGTCATCAGACCTCTAGAAAACCAATATGTGCACACTCCCGAGGTCTAATATCCCTGCTTTGCTAGCTTGGAATTCTTTCAACATTCAGGTACCTGTCTAGCTACACACTTATCTTCTCTCGACTGAGATTATAGTACTCGTGTGGTTTATTTCCTGCCGGGCTCGAATCCCCTGTCTTTCAATTGTGTAGATCGGTCATCTTAACATGGAGTAAGCTGTCGGCAACAGCTCAGAGCTAAGAGAAAACAAGCCCCCAGTGACACAAAAGGCACTACTCGTGTCCATATAATACATGACTTATTAATGAAATCTGAATCTATACAAATGCGATTAGCTTTCAGCCTCAAACAGGCCCACTTGGTGATTTAGCGTATTGTCTTTGCCCAACCAGCAGTCTTCTCATCTGTGAGTATAAGATCTGGATTCATAGGTGGATTCATAGGTGGGAATTTACCATATGTCTGCAACAAAGATAAGCATCGAGCTCAAAGCACTTGCATATGTAGGTCGACACAACTCCTTTGTATTCCTTGAATGATTTCTTTGTTTCATCGATCAAAAGAGTGGAAAGAGGCCCTGCAGGTTGTATCTATAGATATACCTCCAGGGCCACACTTCGGCACCTGGGCACATGTATCCATTGTTTCCCTTCAAAATCTAAAATATTACACGACATAATGGCTACCAGAACCATTTACCTGATCACGTATCGAATGTTTCCATCGCAACGAACACATTTCTCCATATATATCCCATCAGCAGCGGGTACAAAAGGCACTTTGATCCATGTCATAGGAACACCAATGGCGGGCTACGGCCTTGAATTCAAACGCAACTTTTCTCCTGCTATCACTCGACGGCACCACGAGATCCTCCCTATAGGTAAGACTGACGCATGCAATATTGTAGACTCCGTGCACACAGCAGAGACCACAGACGTGTCCCCCAAAGGCAAGATTGAAATTGCTGCGTCTCAGATTCCAGCACCCGGTGTTAGTGAAAACTTCATGGCACCTGTCAATGATACCACCAATAAGCGATGCCAGGAATGGACCATGGAATTCATCCGCCACTTGGTCGCTGAAAATCTCATTGAAGCAGAAGCTGTCCAGATTGTTCAATCCAGGCGTGATATGCCAAATCATGGAATAGGTCTTCGGCCTGTTGGAAGACGGTGAAATGATTTCAATGTCCTTTGAATCAGCGTTAGTGCAGGGAGACTTGAGTTTTGGCTCGCCAGATAGTACTGAGTACCACAGAGGAGGCCAGATGCTTGATGGTTTTTGAAATTCTCACTGCTATTACTTGATCAAGTACTCTTTGGATTGTTTTGTAGATTTTGTCCAGAATGCTTGCTTCAACTATTGACGAGGAAACTTCATTTAAATGTAGTATTCACATCACAATGTCATTGCACGATCTGAGTGAATTCCAAAATCTGAAAATATGACCCTAGTCCTTTTTCGACAGAGTAACAATGCAGGGAACTTCATATGCTGATGAGGCACCAAGGCACCAAGGCTGAAAGGCTGCAAGGCAACAATGATTGACAACTCCACCAAAAGGCGGTGGCACAAACTACATGATTTTTGCCAAAAGAAAAAAAAAGAAAGCTTGGATTAAAGCTCTATATCATGCATCTTTCATAGTCACTTTTTCGCCGTGACGAAGGACCTCTACGGCAATGACTGAAGCAACCGAAACCACCAGATTACACATCACACCTTTCACCCCAGACATTCTTCCATCTGTGCTACCAGCATCAATTCGCAACTTGGCTACGGAAGTCTCCTTCCACGAGATCACTACCTTCCCAGAGAACAACTACGGATACGTCACTTTGCCGAAAATGGAAGCCGAAAAGATCAAGAAGAAGCTCAACGGGGCGATGCTCAAGGGAAAGAAATTCAAGGTCGAATCCGCTCGCCCGCAGAAGAGACATCGAGAATTAGAAGACCCAGTGCCCGAAGCCGACAGCACTAAGAAGAAGTCCAAGAAGTCCAAGAAGCAAGAGCCTGAGGATGGTGTGGTGGAGGGTTTCGAATTGCCCGAGGGCCGCAAAGTGAAGAGAGGCTGGACCGAATCGAACGATGCCAAGCAGGAAAGACGCAAATCGGAAAAGAAGGGCAAGAAAGAGAAGGAAGCCAAATTACAGCCCAAGTCCAAGTACACGGACAAATCCGAATGTCTGTTCCGAGTAACGATTCCCCCCAACCGAGCAGCCGATGCAGCAGCCGATGATAAGAAGGCCAAGAAGAAGAAGTCAAAGGATAACGTGGTTCACGAGTTTACCAAGCTCACGACTCAGCCAAGCTTCCTGCGCACCGCTCAAGAGAGCGTCCCGCCTACAGTTACATTCGAAGAAGGGAAGGGCTGGGTGGATGCCGATGGGAACCTGAAAGAGGCAGCAAACGACAAGATCAAAAAAGATAATAAGCACCCTGGTCAAGTCGCAGGTGCCAAGGAAAAGCACCGAGCCACAAAGTCCTCCGACAAGAAGAAGCGATCGCGCAAGCAGAAGACCCCAGAAGAATCCTCCGAGTCCGAAGATTACACCTCCTCAAGTGGGTCATCTTCTGGCGAAAGCAGCGACTCCGAAAGTGAGGACGATGAGCAAGCCGAAAATGCATCAATGTCTTCGGATTCCGAAGAGGAGAAGGAGGAGAAGGCAGAGGTGGTGAAACAGCCAGCACCTCAAAAGGAGGCAGAAGAAACACCAGAAGCCAGCGAATCCGAAGTTGAAGCTGAAACAACCCCATCAGACTCCAAAGAGGCGACTCCAGAGCCTACACAGGCGGAGGATGTACCTTCCAAGGAAGTCCACCCACTGGAAGCTCTTTTCAAGCGTGCTGCGCCCGCGGTATCGGATGACCAGCCAAAGGCAGAGCCCGAAGCAGGCTTCAGCTTCTTTGGCAATGACATCGAATCCGAGGATGAGCAGCCTGAACCACAACCACCATTCACACCATTCACCAAGAATGACCTGCAAAATCGTGGCCAACGTAGTGCAGCGCCTACTCCTGATACCGCTGCAGCCACCCGCCACACCAAGTGGAATGAGAGTGAGGAATCGGACGATGCTTCAATCGACAGTCCGGTGAAAGCACGCACCGGAGACGACAATGGCGAAACAGAATTCGCCAAGTGGTTCTGGGAGAACCGGGGTGATAACAATCGTGCCTGGAAGAAGCGAAGACGCGATGCGGCCAAGGAGCAGAGGCAGAGAGATAACCGGAAGAAGGGACTGAAGGGAAGGTCATGAATGTAAAAGTGATGTCTGTACGGAATATCCAGCTCATACATAGCCTCCGCGGCCATTGAACGCACCAATACCATGTAATTCTTACTCCAATCTCCCGGGAAACAAACAAAACAGCTCTCGTCTAATTAGAATTAATTTTCCAAGTATTGATCCCGACATCCTTCCCATCGAATATCCCAGCCAATGCATCTACAAGTCATGTGACCGAGTTCCTCGTCATCAAAGCCACGCAAAGCCAGTCCATTGCACCGCCAACTACATCCAATATGTTACCAGCCCGGAGCTCGCGCGGCGTTCAGCTGCTGCTCCTTCTCTTTACACTCCTCTCGCTGGCTTCCCTAACCCTAGCTTCGAGTGAGCGCACCTCTTACACAGCCCAAGCAACACCATACTAACACGAATAGCACCGACGTCGTTCTGCAAATGCACCTGTTTCTCCAATAGCACAATCATTCCCCTCGACCCAGCGAAATCAGAATCGAGCATTGATCACGTCCTCCGCTTCTCCGAGCGCGCCCCAAGCTCGGAGCTCGAACCCTCAGACGAACACACGAAGCGCGCGCAGAAATACCGCTCACTAAGCTGCAACGACTGCAATCGCAAGTTCTGCCTGGACTACGAGCTGCCGATATGCAAGGGCGCGAAAGAGGATGATGTGTTTACGACTTGCTTCCGTATGTGCACTTGGAATTGGGACCGGGAAGCGGGCGCTAACTGGACCAGAACGAGACTCGAAGAAGGATGAGGCGGTGGTTTTCATTTTCATCTTTGCTACGGGGGGATTGTTGGCTTGGGCGGCTTGTAAGCCGTGGATTGAGAGATACGTTGAGGTAGGTTGGCCCCCCTCGGCTGATGGTAGACTATCGGACTAACACCGCTTGTGTAGGCTGCGCGAGAACGCAGGTCGTACATACCCGTGGCCGAAGATCGAATGTGAAAACGAGCTGTTAAAACTATACATGACATATACCCGAGAAATGCGTGTTTGATTTGAGTTGACCACGAAGTCAAAACGGAGTACTCCGTACAGAGTACAATGGCAATCTTCCGGAACCACGATCGCCGTAGATTGTACGAAGTAGTCGAAATGATGACATTAAGAACTTGAGATCGACATGACCAATTGAAGACGGCAGATCCTATCGAAAGACCAAAGTACGAAGTATTGCGGAATGGATAAGCGAGTTTTCAGGGGCTTAGGTTTCCAATAAGAAACAGATCGTGGATAGATCTATTGGCCCTAATGCGCTTAGGCTGGACAGATCAATTAATTTCGCCCCCACCTGAAACACAATATGATTAGGACTTGTACTCTCCGTTCATCGTACAGTATATCTTGTATCTTGTAGGATACGGGATGCAGAAATAGATCTGGAATGTGAGATCGGTGGAGCTGAAGGACTGAAAACGTCAGAGACATGCAGAGACACAGTGGAATGACAGAAGACAGAAGACCAGAAACAGGTGAAATTGGATTGAAGTGGATATCCAGGAACAGAAAACCTGCATCAGGAAATTAACGGTCCGCATCAGTCTCTAGTGTTTTCTGTTTTTTTTTTTCTCTCTCGACGAGATCGTATATCTACTGATCCCCATTTATTTCATATTCCTCCTCTATTAAACCCACAGATCTATATTACTACTGGTGGCGTCAATAACCAATATCCACCGAGAATATCTATACAATTGTGACAATATGGCCATCTTTGACTCGGAGAAGCGCCCACGAGGCCTGCGTGTCCCATCCCTTACAGCAATGAAGTCCTCCGCTGCAGCCAAGTCGCAGTTCTCGTTCCACAGCAAGAAATCCACGGAATCCGTGCCATCCGACGAGTCCACTGTGAAGCCAACCCCACCACCAAAGCCAGCACCACCACCCACCAAGGAGCTCCCCATTCCCCCTCAGGACCTACCCGCGATCCCTGCCCCCTCCCAACTCAATGAAAACCCATACTTCCCATCCATCCGCGATGTGCCGGAGCGGCGCCCAATTCAACGGGTCCCTGTCCCTGCACCGGCGCCAGTGCCAGCACCAGCCCCTGCAACAGCTCCCGCAAAGGCCCCCGCGCCTCGCGCAACCGGACTGCGCAGCAAGGTCTCGCAACCTGATCTACGCATCCAAGAGCCTTCCCCGCCAATGTCACCACCCCCCGCGCTTCAGCACCAGGATGAGCCCCAATCGCGCGCGCCCGAGATCCAGGACGAACCCAGTCCCCAGCCCGAAGACTTCATTCCCACACCCGATAGCGCCGAGCCGTTGGATGTCCCATCTGCGCGCTCAGAGGCCCCCTCCCCCTTCGTCGCGCCGGATGTGGAGCCTGTCGCACCGACCCTGAACAAGATCCACTTGACCTGTTATCAGGAGCATCGCGCAATGCCGGTTGCGCAAAACGTGTGGTGTCCAATGCCTTGCATGACATGCAACAAATTTGACACTGAGATCAGACACCGCTGTGTGTTTTGCTGCTTGCGCGTTTGCGAAGGGTGCTATCAGACCTTGCAGAAGTGCAAGAATCGATCTGTGGAGGAGTTGGTTGATCGCATTGCGTGATCACCTCTGTAATGGTTTTTTTTTTTTTTTTCTGATTCAGAGTATGTATTGCATGGTTTTGATAGTTCTGTTGCGTTCGTTAGTCTTTTATGATACCAAGGACCTCATGTATATTATGGTTTTAACCAGAGGGCCGGAGCTGAATGTTTATAATGAATATACCTTTTTGTTTCGTTTTCACTTTTTTTTTCACAATTCGATGTTAGAACAAGCTCGTCACGTTTCAGTCGTGATCCTCCTCTGTAAGCCCAGGACATCCTTCCAATTCGGCCTCGGTTTCATAGGCATATTTACACCAGAAACAATACCGATGTTCCTCGCGTAAATACATAACCAACTTATGCAGACGCTCCCCGGGCTCAAGAGCATTAAAAGCATCAAGCTCCTCATCTTCTTCCTCAAGTTCGATCTCCAGCGCCGATGTCTGCTGATCAAGCTGTCCAAGGGCTTTCTTGTCATCCCGTTCCAGTGTCGGGTCATCGTATTCGGGTAACTTCGCCCTCGGGAAGAAAGAAGATGGCAAAGAAGACTGCATAGCATGGCGCGCCTGCCGATCATTATCGTGCTTTTCGCGCTCGCGAATAAGACCCCGATAGAGAACGTTGATCTGGGACGTGAGCTTGACCGGCTTACGCTTGGGTTTCGGGTCGTCTTCTTTTGGTTTGTCTTCATCCCCGGTTTTGGCCTGGTCTGGTCCCTCGCCCGCATCCAGTCGCTCAGCGACTTTTTGCGCAGCGCGCACTTGCGCCTCGGTCCGCTTCGTCTCGCGTTCTTCGCGCACACGATCACGATAGGTTCCTTCCTCGTGCTTGATTTTCTTGGATGCTTCTTCGGCCTCTTCGCGAATCTTGCGCTTTTTCTCATTGTCGAGACCGATTCCGCCGCGATTCTCTTTAAATATGAGGTTGAGTGGCTCGGCACGCGCTTTGGAGGAGTCGCTTTCGGTGGCAATGTCAGCGCGTTTGCCGAGTGCCTCGCCGGGTTTGAAGCCTAGCTTGGCCATCATCTGGAAGCCCTTGTTGGTTGGGTTGAGGGTACTCGTTGCGAGAGCTTCATCGCGGCGGGCGGCTTCTTGGGCAGCACGTTCCGCTTTAGAAGGGACGCGACCTCGGGCTTCGGCCTGGAAGTTTGCGTTAGAAAGGGCTCAGTCAGGTTACTAGGATAGTTGTGTAGAATGTACCTCTCGTTGTTCACGGCGCTTTTTTTGGGTAAAAGTCTCCTTTTGAGTAGGCTCCTCAATGACCATATTCATGTAGTCATCATCGTCGGACATGATGCCAAGATAGGCCAGAATGGTCTATCGGGGGATGGTTCAGAAGCTAGAGACGAAGCGTTGTTAGGGCCGAAGGCGGACAGGAAAAAAAAGAAGCCGAATTTGGAATTTGCGGGGAAAGAGCCCCACTCTTCCCTTGCTTTGTTGTCTTGTACGGAGTATTTGATCGCTCATATACACATACCCCTGCAAGCGTATGTCATATTGTCAGCAAGGACTCGGCTTTGTCTCCGTTAATGGGGTAACCTTGACCTGACCCGGGTCTTCTTTTAGGCCCCGGGGCCTCTTAAAGCCATGGCGCCACCCGTTCGAAATCGGGCCATAAGTCACCATGGCGGCTTTTTGGTACACCCTCTCGTTCTTATCCCTGGTATCTGCCTCAACGGTCAACTTGGGGTATACTAGCTATGAGGGGTCTACGGTATCTGGAGTCACACAGTGGCTTGGCATGCGTTTTGCTGCTCCTCCCGTAGGAGCTTTACGCTTTGCAGCGCCGCAAGATCCTTTGCCCGTCGAGGGAATACAAAAGGCAACGGAGGTATGTCTGCTTTGATGATATAAGATGCTGGATTATTCACTGAACATGAAATAGCATGGATCTGTGTGCATCCCCACGGCAGCGGCAGAAGGCCTAGCTGTCCCTGATGGAACATCTGAGGATTGCCTGTTTGTAGACGTCTATGCACCCTCGGGTGCTGCCGGCACAAAGAAACTCCCTGTCTACTTCTACATACAGGGAGGGGGCTTTGCGAAGAACTCCAATGCTAATTATAACGGCGCTGGCTTGATCAAGGCATCGGGGGATAACATTGTGGTAGTCACTTTCAACTACCGGGTGGGACCCTACGGCTTTCTTGCTAGTGAGGAGGTTGAGTCTCGTGCAAGCTTGAATAATGGACTAAAAGATCAACGCAAGGCACTTCAGTGGGTTCACAAGCACATCAGCAAGGCAAGTCGAGTTGATTCAGCTCCTCATGTTATTATCTAACGGTATATCTAGTTCGGCGGAAATCCAGATCATGTAGTTATTGGCGGCAGCAGTGCAGGTGCCGCCTCGGTGACTCTGATGCTATCAGCATATGGAGGCAGGGATGATGGTCTCTTTGTTGGAGCAGCTGCAGAGTCCCAAAGCTTCGCCACAATGCTGAATGTTACCCAAAGTCAATTTGCATACAACGGCCTGGTAGCTGCAACTGGGTGCACCAGCAGCCCAGATACACTAGCGTGTCTACGAAACCTGGATGTCAGTCTACTACAACAGAAGAATATCAACAGACCATACCCAGGAATGGAGACTGCACCGCTATACCTCTACAGCCCAACCATTGATGAAGACCTCGTGCCCGATCATACTTACACACTCTTCCACGAAGGCAAGTTCATCAAAGTGCCAGTAATATTCGGCGATGACACGAACGAAGGCACCAAGTTCGTTACAAAGAGTGTCGACAGCGTCGAAGCAGCAGATGATTTCCTCCACAATCAATTCCCATTCATGACCCCGGCTCAAACATCCAGGATCAACAGCATATATCTCACACCAGATCAAACAGAGTCATTCCCCGACGCAGGTGCCTACTGGCGCCCTGCAAGTACAGCCTACGGCGAGATTCGGTACATCTGTCCTGGAATCGACATGTCATCCATATATGCCAAGGCAGGCCTACCGAGCTGGAATTACCACTACGCTGTACAAGATCCCACCAATGAAACCTCCGGAGAGGGTACTTATCATACAGTCGAGCTGAGTGCCATCTGGGGCCCAGAGAACTCTGGCCACAACGCGCCGGCTTCTTACTACACCACCAACGCGGCTATTATCCCGCTGGTGCAGGCTTACTGGACTAGTTTTATTGTATCATTGGATCCCAATGCCCGCCGCCTTCAGTCGAGTCCAGAATGGCAAACTTGGGGCCAGGATGGCGGGTCTCGGCGCATTTTTATTAGGACGGGTGAGACTCGAATGGAATCTGTTTCGGAGGAACAGAAGGCTCGTTGTCGGTATTTGGTCTCTATTGGGGAGGATTTGACACAATAGTACTTGGGTGGTGACTGGGGATTTGGATCAGCACGGAAGATAGCATATGCAAGATGATGAAATTGTTGAGATTTGAATCAAGCTTTCTATTGAAGGATCGAAAGCTACCACTCCTGTGTTTTTGATACCAACTTTTCTGCTCTCGATCGATTCTACTGTACACACCGACGCTGCTACCCTCTGGTCTATTATATTGGCAGTGAGAAACCTCATGGCATTTGACATCAATCTACCATATGCGCGGCATTTAAAAGTCAGATACCGGTATATTGCTTTATTCAAGGGGGAATTTTATTGTGTTTGTTTCCAATTTCCAAGGAAGGTTGCTTGCTTTGGTTACCTAGATGTTTGCACGGTTTGCCTTATGACCAGTACTATATCCAGTACCTACAAGCTGCATCACTGCATGTCTGTAGTTCTGGCTCTCATATCCTATGTTATCATTTCTAGCTTTCAACCAAAGGCCCCGAAGTAACAGCAGAGTGTCCACTGTGAAAACACTGCATTTGAAATGGCGAACCAATACGCTGAACCTCTCAATCCCGATGTTTACATCAACGATCCGGCCTTTACTTCTCTCTTCCAGCCATCGATCCACAAAGGGAGCAAGATTGCCGACCATGCAGCAGTTCAATGCCAGCTCGAACTGTACGGCCTTGATCGCGTTGGGGTCAAAATTGGCAATATGAATGCTCACGCCGGGAACTTTACGGCCCTTTGTGCCCCAAATTGCCTTCCGGACAGACTCGCCATAGTAGCCTATGCCATGGAATACGCTTTCTGTCGTGGTGGTATGTTTTCGAGCCTCCTACATTATTTCCATCACTCAAATATTGAAATAGATGACTTGGATGATGCTCCTGGCGAATACTCCGTATGATGCCTCTGCCAACTGCTATTCAACCCCAGACCAGCTAACCCATGCCCAAGGCACTAAATGATAGTGGACTGTTTGTCCAGAGATTAACTCAGGGTGGCAGTTCTCCTGTGTACAGCAAACCGTCAGAGCCCGCACGACGCAAGGCTGATGTCCAAGCTAAGATAGCAGCCGAGTTCCTCCGTCTCGATCGAGTCTTTGGTTCCTGGTTTCTTTCACGCTGGGAGGATTTTTTGCAATCAACCGACTAGTTTTTCCCATTTGGATGAATATCTTATATCCAGAGCGGGGGTCGTTGCTCCAGTGTTCGTCTTCCTCGATCGTCGCCGGAAATGGACCAAAAAAGTATTGACTTAATACAGAATCTCTTTACTTCGTTGGGGAACTGGCATTTATCTAACACCCGATGAGGAGAGCATCGCTAGCTCCATGAGCTATGCAGGACATGCACATTTAACTCTCACGGCAGACTTGTTCTCCTGGGAGAGGGAACTCAACTCCCACCTCGAAAGCAACGGAAGAATTCTTTTGGACAATGCAGTACACGTGTTAATGGTCTCACAGATTCTTTCAGAGTCCAGCGCAAAGGAAGTCGTGAGAAACGAGATTAGAGCACTTGAAGAACGATTCCTTCAGTTGAAAGGACAGTACGAGGCTACCACCGAACCAGTGGAGTCTATCATCAGATGGCTTAACTTGCTGGAAGACATAATGGTTGGCAACTTCGTTTGGAGTCTTCGGACTACTCGTTACTCATGTCCTGGCCCAAATCCTTATCAAGATCACCTCAAGGCTTTCGACTATGACGATATTCATATTGTAAGGCCACCAGCTCAGACAGCTGTCCCAATTCTTGAGGCAGATCCTAACCAACCAAACTATCTTGATGTTCTCAGCCTTCTAAGTAAGTTCTGAAATTGGGCTTATCACCAGGCTATGCGTTACCACAGACACTTATCATATCTAGCAATTGAGGAGCAAGCTTTGACGCAATCATTCTCGGCAAATATTCCAAAGTTTGGGGCAAGTATCATGCGTTTGGATATTCTGGAACCCACGGGATTATCGAAGCTGATCATGCCTCTTTTAGCCCGTATTGGATGCGTACTCTTACATCAATTCTTTGCCGTCAAAAAATGTTAGACTGAGATTGATACTTGCTCTTGATTCCTGGTATAAAGTGCCAGGGAAGTCGCTGTTGATCATAGAGGGAGTTATCAACTTCCTGCACAGCTCATCTCTATTGTACCTCAAATCCAGTTTCTCAACATCTAAGACCCCCCTCTGACCAAGGAATAGGCTCGATGATATCCAGGATGACAGCTCACTAAGACGGGGCAAACCAGTGGCTCATCAAATCTTTGGCACGGCCCAGACCATCAACACTGCCACATATTTGATCAATGAGGCCCTGTGTCTCGTACAGATGCTATCACCCTCTGCTGTATCTGTTTACTCGGGTATGCCAAATCCGTCATATTCACCTGGAGAATTTTCAACACTGACTCTGGCAGAGGAAATGCGCAACCTTCATCTTGGCCAGAGTTACGATCTTCACTGGAGTCACCATTCCCAGAAACCAACGCCAGAGGAGTATTTCAATATGGTTGACGGGAGTAAGTATCTCTTTGGCCTTTCTTCCCTCTCAATTCAACTCGTTGACAATTGGTAGAAACTGGTGGCCTGTTCCGCCTGATTTGCCGTTTGATGAAGTCCGAAGCCATGCATAATAGGTAAATGACCACTTCATGAACGGCTGGTAGAAGTTTCAACTAAACACTAGCAAGGGACCTCAATCTTGATCACTTTGCGACTTTGCTCGGGAGATACTTTCAAATCCGCGATGATTATCAAAATCTCTTGAGCGCAAAGGTATCTCTCCATGTTAATTGGGTTGAAAGCGCTTCGAGACTAATTTGATGGGCCTATTTACTAGTACGCACAGAAAAAAGGGTTTTGTGAAGATTTTGACAAAGGCAAGCTGTCTTTTCCTGTGATATTGGCAATGAGATCCAAAGAATTCGCCACGATCTTCTCGAGCATCTTCAATGGCCACCACAGCCCGGGAACCCTTTCACTAGAGCTCAAGCAATATCTTTTGGATCGAATTGCTGATGGAGAGGCGTTCCCTCAAACGAAGTCCGTGTTGAATAAGTTGCATCTTAAATTGCTCAATCTACTTGGAGACATCGAGAGAAGCATTGGGATTGACAATTGGCCTTTGCGTATGTTAATACTCAAACTGAGGATTTCTGATGGAGCAGAGAAACAAGCAAGTCAATTCGACGCATCTTGGGAAATAAGCCAACGACGACTGTGGGAAGGTGTTTCGAAGAACAGCCCAGTCGAACCAAAGTCAACTTCACATCAACTTCCGAAGAATGGCGAACGCTCCTTTGAAGAAGGCTGACCTTGGAATCAATTCAACATTGATGAATTCTGAGTCTCAGGTTCATTGCTTTGCAAGCTTAGCTATGTCGATGGATGTCTTTATTTGGTCATGACCCATCTGATACTTTATTTTACAAGCAATCAACAAAGATATCTCACGAACATGACTTTTATTCCCAGCCTGACGCCAGATGAAAGTATTTACCAGAAATGCGTATAGTATGATATCAAGAAAAAAATAAGCGAGACTATTTTCTGCCACGCTCGCGCTCGTACTCGTTGGCAGCCCGACCTTCCTGGCTCTGAATCTCGGCCACAAGACGACGGTACTTGGACTCGTACTCGGCATCGCGCTCCTTCTTCTCGCGCAACTTCTCGCGGGCAATAAAGCTGGCATCCTTGCGGAGCTCGCGCATAGCACCCTTCTTCTCGCGCTTGAACTCCTTCTTGAGACGGTTTGACTCGGCGCGCTCGCGATCCGGGTCGTAGTGCTTGTCCGGGTTGAAGTTCTCCTCGAACTTGGGGATGGCAGACTTGATAGCAAGAGGTTTGTGGTTGTGGAGGAAGAGTGGGCGGCGGACAAGACGGGCTTGTGCGAGATGGGCGTCGATCTTGTCTGTGGTGCTTTGGATGATGTCCCGGGCTGAAGCGTAGACCTTGCTCTTGAGGGATGAGCGGAGGTGTTTCAACACCGCTCGGGCGGGCGTGAAGATCTCGGTGAAGGCGGACTTCTCGGCCCAGGTGTCAGACGCGGAGCCAATGAGAGAAACGAATGTGGTGAGGAGGGAGATCTTGAGTTCTTCCTCTGCCTGGGGATCAGAGGGGCTGGCGGTCAGATCGCGGAACTGCAGCTTGCGAGGTGTGACCTTCTTGGTGGAAGCGAGCTGAACCGGCTCCTGGGACTTGCGGTAGGGGAAGGCGCCGAAGTTGGTAGTCGGCTCTGTAGGGGCCAGGTTGCAAAGGGCATTCAGTGTATAGTTGATGAATTCGGGCATGTATCTCTTTGACACAGTCTGGTATTGAAGACACAGACTAGAAGCATATGCGCCACGCGCGAGATCTGCGAGGGAGGTGGTAGAGCACTGGCCTAGGTAACGAGCCAGACAGAGATGAGCAGGGGTGACCGTAGAGTGGAAGTGATCGGATGCGGGGAAAATAGTCGAGGCCGCGGTAAGCAAGACAAAGTCGCCAGGGAGCAGGCTGAGTGGACGTTCCTTGCCAATCTCACGAAGACGAGCGCGACACGCGATTGTCACGTTCAAAGGATGAGTCTTTGCCAGAGAGTGGATGTGACGAATGATAAGCTCGATGACAGCGAATGGAGGTTGTTCATCCTGGTTCGCCATATAGCAGATGTGCTCAACTAGAATCTCGGCGAATCGACCAAGCTTGTCCTTGTTGCCAGGCTTGAGACGGGCATGGTGCAATGCTCGAATACGCTGGACGACTGTAGGGACCTCCTCAACAGGCACGCTCTTTACGATGGCCAAGAAGCCTTCGTGGTCCTTAGGGCAAGGGTACGTGAAAGCAAGCTTTCCGTTCGATCCCTGGTTGACCTCGACAGCAGTTGAAGCGGTAGCGGCTTCGTCCGTTGGCAGGGTCATGCCGTTGATGAGCTCGTCCTCTCCATCTGGTCCTTCGGATTCGTCAGATGAATCTTCTTCAATGTCACTCTCGCCGATCTCAAGACTGGCATTGGAGTCTGTTTCAACCAGATCGTCATCAATAACGAAATCGTCTTCGTCCTCAACACCCATTCCTGGGCGGGAATCCGTGGGCATGGGGTAGGCGGGAAGGCCGAAATGCGTAGCATCGTCAATTTCCGATTCGTCATCATCCTCGGGGAGATCGTCCATGTCCATATTTTCACCCTCTTCATCACTGAGTTCCTCACCACGCATTCTGCGAAGTCGGTCACTCTCCAGTTTCTTGAGTCGCTCGGCCTCTTCTTCAACCTTCTCCTCTTCGGTCTTGGTGCGATCAGTGGGTTTTGATCGCTGATCGAAGGTCAATTGTCTAAGACGCTGGTCATACTCCTTCTCGGGATCTTTGTTTTGCGATTGCTCCAGAAGCGCGGCACGCTCTGGGTTCATCTCCGAGAAGTCTTGCTTGGGTGGCTCTGGCTTAGCCGGGGCCTTGAGGCCACGAAGAGCGTCAAAGAGATCCGGAAGTTCCTTATCAAGGGCCTCTCGGAGGTCTTCATCGTCATCCTTTAGCTGTTGTCGCTCCGCCTTGTAGAATTTGGACTTGGCAATGACCTCCTTCATGACTTCGGCCTTGGTCTTCTTCCGCCCAGGTTGATCTTCCCCATCTTCGTAGTCGATAAAGTCTTCCTGGTCCTGATCTTGACCTTCCTCTCCCTCGGCGAGTCGCTTCCGTTTGCGCGAGATCTCGTCATCGGATTCCGCTTCGTCCAAATCGCCCGCCTCAAAGTCATCTTGGTTGGGCCCGTCGAATGTCAAGGACTGACCCATGTGAGTAAGCTGCATCTCCTCCTCGTCATCCTCAAGGTTGAACATAGACTCCTTGCGCATCTTGCGCTGACTCTCGCGAGCGAATCTCTCGGCGGCCCGTTCCTCGGGGGTCATGGTGGGATCGTTCTCACCGAATCGACGATCGACAAGGCCACCAATTTTGTTGCGGCTGTTCATCTCCTTCAATAGAGTGGCGCGACGCTAATGAGAAAAAAATTAAAGGTCAGCCTTGCATTGATCCAAGGGAATAAAAGATCACATACTCTTTCTTCGCCCAGGGATTTAGTAACACCGGGACGAGCGCCCCCTCCAGCGGTTGTGTTTCCATCTCTGGTTGTGACATCGAACTTGCTCGATTTATTGGTTGATTTGATCTCGAAAGGATTGAAGCGATCGCGAATGGCTTGCAAGGCAACCTCACGCTGATTGCGATTCTTCGCACCGACGCCGGTCTTCGCATTCTGGCGTTTTTCTTTCTTGGATTTCTGGGGACCAAGCACTCCGTTATCGCGGAGTGAGGCCTTCAACTGCTTCAGCTGCGAAGGCGGCATTTTTGCTGAGCTCAAGGGGAGTTTAAGTTAACTGGTTTTCGTCGACTCAAAAAATTAGCTACCGCAAGTTTTTTGCCGGGAAAATACACCGATGATTGGTGGGCTGGTGACAAGTGGGTCGTTCTTCCGGCAGAATCTCTCCACTCTTTTCTTCTGGAGTATAAAGGGTCTGAGAGTGTGTATGAACCGAGAGTTTTCTTGGTTCCTGACAGTTGCAGGTGCTTGAATTCCTCTAGAGAGTACAATTGTCCTTAAAGCACTCTCTGTATGATATGTAGGCACCGAATTACTAGATATAGTAAATCCTTGACGTGAGTATTGCGTTGTTTACAGTTTACACAGAAAGACAAATTATATCGAGATTGGCCCCAATGAATGACACTAAAGTTTGCCACCTCAAACAGCACAACGTAGCTCAGGCCGAGAAATCGACCTTTTCAACAGCCAATCCTGCGGACTATGTAGATCAGCATTGCATCCAAAAGCGGAGGATTTGGCGGTGAACCTAAGGCACAACCGCCGCCGATCAACATTCTGCCGCGACTTGGTCTCCGCATCTCCAACTCCCACATCATGGCTCCCTTTTCTGGGGACGGTGTGCTATGGCTGTGTCTAGGTACGAGGAAAGCCGATATAGAGTTGGGGTTCCATGTTGACTTTTCTAGGTGTTTCGCTGTTCTTCGCTGTCCGCGGAATCGCTACGGATCTCCGTCAAGTCGTTGATTTGACGGAAATCACGCATATCGAGAAGGAAGACAAGATCATTAGCGAAGGAACAGAAGAAGGTATGGTCGTCTACTCCATGCTCATATCGCGTCGCTGACAATTTGCCAAGCCCTCAAATTAGATACCCTCCTAAAGCTATCTCAAAGCACGAACCATGACCTCCGAGCCGCGTACGCTACAAAACGCCATTTTGCGATATGACTGCATGCACTAACACAATATAGATCCCTGCGCATTATCTCGGAGAGGTCTTGCAAGGGCGCGACTCGGGACTTGCTTTTAGAGGACTTGGCATCCAGAGACAAAGTCCCCCAAGCACAAGCTTTGAACGCTTTGAACTTCCTAGTCACCAACCGAGCTCGTATGTCACTTCCTACTGCTCCACCTGGGCAAGATGATTGACCTGACATTCTATAGTCACTCGCACTTCGATATGTACCCGAATTGCCGACCTCCCCACCTTCACTGCACTGGTCAATTGCCTCTGCAATTTCCTAGAAGAACATGTGGAGAGAACCACAAGCACCAACTCGCCCATCCTTCCCAAAACCAGGCCGATGGGAGAGAAAAAAGCCTTGAATATTCTACACGCATTGCTTCCAGAGAATGTACCTGCGGCGTTGGAAGCTGGAATTATTAGCCGGTGGTTGTGCAGGTACCCTTTTCCATGCGCGTTGGCTGAGCCTTCTCGTAGACGAGACGTTGTGATTCTTATGAAAACCTGGTGGTCCGACGACGTCATCATGAGTGGGATCTTCAGCACACTTTCTTCCCATCTGGACGGAATCAAGCAGCTGCGAAAACATGGATTGATGGGCAGCATGATCGCAGAGAACGATCAGGATGATGATGACGACGCGGACAGCGACGTTTGGATGGTAGATGCAGATGAGGCAGGGGGTTCATTTGGACGAACTCCCTCGCGCAGATTTCCCGAAGGAAGCGTCGAAGACCAGGCACTACGTCGGCGGAGGAGAGAAGCTATGGTTCTGAGCGACGGCGGGCGGCCGATTGGAAGTGACGACATCATACAGCGGCCGATTGATTGAGAGCTCAACCTTGTGATTGTTTGCGGCATCGGGAGAGACGCTGGGAACATTCGCAGACGTGTTGTTTACTAACTTGTATTTTTATGCCCCATGATACCCCGATTGAGAATTATGATATGCCATGAGTTCTATTCAAATACAAATATAGATCTAGAGTCCCATCCATGCACATTTAGCCAAATGGTCGGCCTTCTTCCGGCTGTTCTTGACCACGCCAAATGCCTTCAGCTCCGAAAGAGCGCTATAGAACAAGGACATTACAACTCGGTCATCGCAGGTCTTGCCTTCCTCACTTTCAAACACACCGAGGAAAGCCTGCCAAAGGTCATGGACGTTCACCATAGCACCAGAGTCAAGGTATAGCTGGTAGAGAATTGCGGTGGCAGGTTGTTTAGCTGACACCTTGGTGGTAGCGGCGTCTGTGGAAGAAAGGAGATAGTCAAACGGAGTGACAAGGGCACGCTCGATTGCGAAGCGAGGGCGAGGCCCGAACGTCTCCTTCAAAGGGTTCCTCAAATCAAACAAGAAAGCCTCGTGCAAGAACAGATCTTGGGGGTTGATCAAGGTTTCTGTTAGGTGTTCTTGCAGAAGTGCAACCAATCGATCGACAATTTTGGTATAGTGGGAATCCTGCTCTGAAAGCTCGGCTCTGCCTTTGCTGAGCTGGATACGCTGTTGCACAACAGTGGTTTTTGTGACGGTGCTGTTGATGTTGTATCCGCTGCGCAGCGGACCTGAACATGAACCCAACAGGATTTCAAGATTCTGTAGAAGTTCTTCGGCTTCGGGGATTGATATGATATGATGCAAATCCAAAAGGAGTTTGTATAGCTTGTCGGAGTCAAGAGCCTTCGTGGTAGCCAACATCTCTTCCACAACACTGGACTCATATAATTCACCACAAAGTGCACGGACAGAGAGATCAGATACACTGGACTTTTTTCCTGTTTGCGTATATTGGAGGCAGGCGTGTATTGTACGAACTGTCTGGAAGAGTTTCCGCATTATTCGCTGGCCTGCATCGAGCGCCTTGACAGTCTGCTGGATTAGATAGTCGTCATTTTCTAGCATGTTTCGAGCCTGGTCAATAGATCCTTCTTCGACCAGATCCTCGCAGAACCTATGGATTTATTATTTAATGCGAATTGGCCGAGAATTTGGGAATACATACATCCTAAATGATGGGAGATTCCGGATAGCCTCGGGAAGCCTGCCCTGGGCGAGGTTTGTGGGAGTCGGTTTGGCAAATAACACTGCCAGAGGGTTGGCGAAGAAATGGGACATGTATGTGTACTGTAAACGTTAATATTTAGTACGATCCCAGGGTGAACGGTGCTCACCTTGACCATACGACTGAATGCTTCCGGGGTCTGGAAATAATCACTGGTATTCTCGAACAAGGTACCAGTCACATTACGGCCCAGCCACATTTCGGTTGCTGGATCAGTCTGAAGAGACTCGTAAATTCGGTCCACACAGTTCCCTGCCTCTTGGACTTCGAAATGTTTTCCTCGAAGGAGGGAAACACACGATCTAGGCAGTCTACCTTCAAAGAGCTCCACCGAAGTAGAAATACCAAGCAAGACGGTAAATGGTATGCGATCTAGCCATGATCTACAAGGAGGTCAGTGAAAAGTATGAAGAGGGTCTGAATGTCAGACATACTTGAAGAGGGATAAGAGGTCAGTTAAAAGTCCTGGATCGAAGGCCTCACTATCGCGAAGAGCAAGGACCAACTTTTTGGTCCCTTTTCTCTGCACATAGTCGTGGAGTAGGTCAAGATCGTAACCAAGTAGGCGGGGTCCCTGTGCGATGTTCAGTCAATTGGCGCAAGATCATTTTTGGGACAAAAACATACAGCACGGTCTGTGAGGAACCGTTGGTATCCGTCATTGCCGTCCGTGTTTGTGACAGTGGCTCGAATGATGTTCTTCAATGTTGTTTTGAGATTTGGAGCGTCGCCCGATTCAAGAACCACCACACTGCCTTCTTCGGCCGAGATTAATTGGCCATTGAGTCGCGATAGCAGCCTGCTGAGAGATGAAACATTGGAACCGACTGTGACCAATGCTGTGGGTATGCAGCCGTCACACCTATGTTATCATTAGAGTGTGCTTATTGCTCTCAATTTAGTAGAGGACATACGTCTGAGGAGAGGTTTCCCTGACAAATGACAGAACATCTGTCAGAACTCCAGCATCAACGGACTCCAGAATGTTCTGGATCTTAGTTTCTTGTTTCGACCATAGCTGCTTATAGGTATCGTATCGTAGTTGGACGGATTCGACGTTCTCCTCCCCATTTAAAAGGGGCACAAAGTGTTGTCGATCTGGCTTCTCGTCCAAATTGGCCCCCGAGGAGACCTTGCGACGCTTCGAAGGACGTTCGCTTGCCTTTGCGTGCTTCGGTGGTTGGTAGATGTACGCACCCTGTAATATTTTGTTAGTACGACAATTCAGCCTGCAATTTCAAATCATACCAAGTTTTGCGGCTTTTCATTTGACAAGCCCAGGGCATCGTCAAACCCATCTGGATCCATGCTGCCTGTCGAGGGAGACTGTGTTGTCGCAAACCGGGGATGACTTCAAGGGCGGAAGCGCGACAGACGCTAAACCCGATCAGGCGGTAATTGGCTTTCTTCCGAACCTGACCTTCTACACTTCCACTCTCTTAATCGTCTGGTCGACTTCAATGACCAATTAATTACAGACTTCATGCTGCGCCAGGCCATAAAAGGAGCCCGATGGTGTCAGCATGTCGCTCGCAGCTCAGCGACACGCGCTCCACGCCGGGCCTTTTCCGCCGCACCTCCGCGACGTCTTGATTTTGGCGGACCGAACGATAAAGTGAATTTCTACGAACAAGAGACCCCCAAAGGCAAACGGCAGCCGGTTGATCCTGAAGCAGAGGATAATTTAGAGCGAGAGGATGTCGCCAAACAGCTAGCGCAACTTGACGATGAGCTGAAGGTTTTGGAAGACGGTCCTTTTGCTCCAAACAGCCCTTTCATACAGAGTCTGCCGGAGGAGGACAGAAAGATTGCTTTGGAAGCTCTGCGGAAATTTGATGAGGAAAATCCCCCAGCCGAGGACGAGCCTTCACTGGCGGAGGTCTTCGACAATGAGCTTGAGGACATGCTACGGGAAGAATTCGAAGGCCTTGCCACGGAAGAAGAAAACTGGGAGGATGGTGTCAAATCAAGAAAACGCCTCGCTGCCAAAAAGGCTGCTGCTGCGAAGCGAGCAGGTGCTGAATCACACCCATACGCCATCAAATTGAACAACGCTTTACGACAATTCCAGGAGAAGGAGTCAGACGAGCGGGCTCGACAGGAATTGTGGAAGTGGTACAGGAGATGCAAACAGACGATTCCTGGATTTTTGTCTATCATGCCCACGGGTACACTGGACGCAGTCTGGAACGCGCAAGCAACGGGAGAGGCCGACGCAGCTTTGCGCTCAACACATATGCAAACCTTGGTTCAAGATGCCGCATCGATCGGACAAGGGCTCAGTACGCCCCAGATATTGTTCTTCATTGTATGTTTACACGATGCCAGCGCCACCAGTCTTGCTTTGGAGCAATGGGAGGCGTATCAGGCCGAATTATCCCAAAAGAAACAGGACTTGGAGGAATATTGGAAACTCGGTGTTCGATTGTTTGCAGCAGACGAAAATCCTCAGAGAGCCCAAGACATTGCTTTGGCCTTCTTGGCGAACGATAAGACTCGCCAGCCGCGGGTGCTCATTCCAATCATTATAGCCTGGGGAAAGCTGTCTGGAAAAGAGGCTGAAGTAAAAGCCTGGGCACTTTACCTGCAGCTCAAGACGTTGCTTGGCTCGGAAATGACCATGGAAGACTATGACCAGATCAGTATTGGTCTTCTTGCCGCAGGCCGGTTGGATACAGCCGTTGCGATCTTCAAGGATATGATGGTGACAGGACAAGACCCAGCTAATGACTCAACTGCTTTGTATAAATCTGCTCTGGGTCTAGCGGGAAGTCTTCAAGCATCTAGCATCAACGAAAATGCCGTGAACAAGGTTTCCTTGTCTGTGCTCAAGGTGCTACCTCGTCGGTTCGAGAACCGATTTTTCTATGCTAGCTGGATGAAGAAACTCATTGGCATGGGTGAGGTCGACTCAGCGGCACTGGTCATTGAACTCATGTATGAGCGTGGTGTGAAGCCTGATAGCAAGCACCTGAACGGAATCATCGCGGGCTGGCTTCGCGATGGAACCACAGCTGCACGCGATAAAGCAGAGCGACTTGCTTGGTCCATGGTCCAACACCGCATCGATGCTGCATGGAAACGGTTCCAGCCAGCCGCCATCTCTCCTCGTCTTCAAGTGACGCATGAGCCGGAGGTCTGTCTACCTCGCTTCATGCAGAGAGAGGTCCCACCTGCAACAATTGAAACATTCTCCATTCTCCTTTTACATTACACACGTCGTGGTGATGACGATATGGTCAAATACTTGATCAAGTGTCTCGGAGACGCTCAGATCAAACCAAACTCCTACTTCATGAACCATCTCCTATACGCAGAACTCCGAAAACAGGACGTTCGTTCTCTCTGGTCCAAGTTCCAAAACATGTCTGCGGCCATTCGGCCCGACCTGGAAACATATGCCTGTCTCTGGGACTGTGGGAAACTCCAATATGACCGCGGGCGCACTGCCTTCGACATAGGATTCCCATCCGCACGTCAGCTGTATGCCAGCATGCTGTCTTGGTACTCACAACTACCACCCAGCACCCAGAAAGCCACACGGGAGCAGATGCCCAAGGAACTATACGATCAAATCATTCGATGCTTTTGTCTTTCGAAGGATGTTTCTGGCACACTAGTCGCCATCCACTCAATGCGATCCATATTCGGCTTCGCCCCCGACGACACCACCGCCCGCCTGATCGTCCTCCAAGTCGCGCGCCTAGCCGCCGTACCAGCCGACACTCCAAAGCGCCGTCTACGTCGCTTGTCTTCGACGCCACGCAGCAAAGAAAACATCGGTCAAGTTAGCCGCTTGTTGGAGTTATTGGGTGATCGCAAGGCCGAAAGCTTGCGGGTGCAGGGACTGACTGTTGACCAACTGGATCCGGAGGAAATGAAGCAGTATCAAATGGAGATCATGGGTAGCATGCTACGCATCGTTCTGAGTCGAACTGATGGCTTGGATCCGGCTCAGATCGAGGATAAATTGGAGACAGTGGCGAAGGAAATGACGGTCGAGCAGATCGACTTGGGATCGCCCTTGGGAATGTACGATAGCAAGCTTCTGTGATTATTGTCTGCCATTTTGGTCGAAGCATCAACGGCGTCTGGGATTATCGTTCACGCTCAAAAATGGGCCATGTACATTATTCGCTTTTGAACACACATCTGGATATAAAATTTATTCTACTTCTAAAGTTTGATATATGAGAAGAAGCAAACAAAAAAATAACCCCCATGATATTCCAAAACACCAAGCCGACGAACAGAACCTGAGAACTGGTATAATAATGCAATATCTCATAATGCGAGACTTGAAGCCCAATGTCCTTTGCAGTATATTTTGAAACCGGAAAGCGTACAAATATAAAAAAAAGCAGTTTCGTCTATTTCTTACCCTTGCCCTTCTTCTTCGCGCTCGCCGGAGAATTGGGGGTACTGGAGGTGTTCTCTGCCTCCACCAGAACAGCGTCATCATCGCTGCCTTGGACCGAAGCACCAGGCGCCGGAGAGGTCGTAGATGCAGTGTTCAGATCCTTAGTTGTGGTTGATGCAGGTGTAGTCTTGGTCGCAGAAGAATCCTCCTCCAGCTCCTTCATGAATCCTTCTTGGATGCTGGTCTTCTTCTTATCCCACCACTTGCGCTCCTCTTCGACATTGGACGCTTGTTCCTCCATACGCTTGCGGTAAATCTCATTATTCAACATCTCATTTGCGGACTGGAAGATTGTCTGACCCCAGCCGGGAACATAGGCATTTGCCTGCGTTTGTTAGCATCGCACATACCATACATAATAGACTCATTCATACCTCTGAAGCGACGTCCTTGACTTCATCTTCCATTTCCTTCTCCGCGCGCTCGAAACGCTTCCACAGATCATCGCCTACACTACCACGTTGCAACAACGTAGAGAGAGCCTGCTTTTGGCTGCGCAGCGCCATGATGCGACGGATGTCCTCTGCTGCGCGGCGAAGGAGAGAGGCCTTGAAGATGGAGTCGGGGATTGCGGGAGACTTCTTCTCGTTGGATGATGGCTCAAGGTGAAGAAGGGAGAAGTAGATATCGCGTTGGAGGTGGGCCGGGAACCATGGCTCTAGAGATGCGGCATTGTCTGGATGATTCAAGATGAGATGTTAGCCTTTGGGCAATGGCAATTGGTCACGCGTGGGACCACGCAAGCTGAGTAGTAGGGACTTTCAAAGTGAGGCACGTACGGGCTTTGCGTTTGCGGTACAGGGACGAGAATGTGGCGAGTGATCCCAAGAGAATGCCTAGGTAGGCGAGGGGGACGGCGAGACCGAGCCAGTCCACGCCGAACATTATGTCGGATGGGCGTTGCAGGAGACGGAGTTTCAAAAAGTTTGAATGGACGAAATTCAAACAGTCATGAGTAGGAGGGCTTAATATTGAACAATCAAGGGTGTGAAAGTTGTCGCGGGTCAAGCTCGAAAGGCCAGGTGTGTTTAGTGGGTCACGTCACATGTTCAGCCCTCTTTTATACTTCGATTTTGGCCTCTCTGCTCTCTGCTTTCGTCTCGAGTATTCGAGGGAAATGATAATTTCTAAAGCTTCTAATACATTTAACACCTCCAGCACTTGTCAGATTGTCAGGCTATTTCGTCATTGGGAAGATTATGTCCCTAGCTACGGATCTTACGCGATGATCCTGACACTGGAAAGGTCTCGAAGGACCTCTGCCATTAGTTTCGTAGTTTACGTACATTTATGTCAAAAGACACGTAGTATGAGTCCATAAAAACAAGGGAACAAGGGAATTTCGGCTAGTAGACACATTGCTCCATCCATCCATCTCGCCACAAAGAAAACCATCGACCAAAGGGGAATATGAGTGTGCGTCAACATATTGACAGGGGAATGAAAGGTCAAAACAAGTATGAAAAGTATGATAGTATGAAGGGCATGGTATTGCAATCACTGGAAACTCAGATTGGCGAGAATGTCCCTGGTCGCCTGGCTGATGTTCCCGATCTCTTGCATCGCCTGCATGTCCTCGAGAACGTCATTGTACGTCTTCCCAAGACCATCGGCAACAAGGGTTCGGTTCCATTCACCACGCATGTGCCAGACGTAGTCCATCAGGTTGGTATTGACCTGCTCAAGCTGCTCCACGGAGAAGCCACTCGTTGACAAGGTCAGCTGCTCGTGCAACCTTTCAACAATGTCGAGATCGAGGACAAATGGTGCATGAGGTTCTTCTTCGACGATGGATTGTAAATTTGTGGAAGTGTTGTTTGACATGTTCGGCGCATCAAATAATGGGGGCTGGGGCTTGGACTGTGACTGACTTCCATTCAAGCCACTATTGTCTTGAGTGTCGGCAGTGCTTGCCAGTGAGTCCCGAGCACGGGGGGAAGGTTGACTTTGTTGGGTATCTGGCAGATGATCCTCTTGGGACACGCGATCAGGGTATTGAGTAAGGTCGGGGTATTCGGTTCTTGAGACATGGGGGCTTTGGGTGTTGTATTGTTGGGTTGAAAGATGCTCGGAGGATTTCTTATCAGAAGTCGTTTGAGTGGTTGATGCTTCGTTGGTATAATCAGCGGGCTGAGAACCAGGAGCCATTGGAGTCATGGGGCCTCGCTGGGAGAAGCTGGAGAGACCAGACTCTCTACGGACTTGTTGAGACGGCGCAGTGTGGGAATATGGAGGCTTAGGTTGCGCGGACGGCCCAAATGAGCTCCCTTGGGTATCTTTGTCGCCCGAGTGATCATCTGAATTGGACATGAAGATGTCGCCGTCGCCATCACCTTCTTGTGCTTCCTCGTGCGTGCCGTTGCTAGCACCATGGGAGCCAACTTCGTTGGTCTGGGTCTCCCCGCCGTCAGCTCCATAATTTCCATTGACGAAGCCAAGCTGATTTGCAGGTGTCACTGGACGCGAAATAGGCTTCTTCTCGTCGTCATCATAATCACCACCATTTATCGGGAACGAATCAGCAACATGTTCTGGGCCATTTACATTCGCCTCGGCGTCACGGGTCTCAGAGATAGGGTCAACTTCTCCCTCCCGAGTGTGTTCCTCTTGAAGACGTTGTTCCTCAACACGCTGGGCGCGTTCTGCTGCCTCTTTCTCACGTGCGAGTTCACGCAAGTAGACTTGATCACACTCAGCCATGAGAACCGGATCAGAAGCAATAATGCCGGCGACATCAACATCGACGTTTGATAGAAGTTCGTTGGCTCGTAATGTGCGTTCATGGTCACCGGTCTGGCGGTTGTCTTTGACCATCCGCTTGACATCGGCTACAAAGTCCATAGGACGTTTGTAATATCCATTTGACAAACGCTTTTCAATCGTGACAATCTCGAGGTTGTAGAAGAATTTCCCAGTAGCAGTCTCACGAAGGCCCAATACACCGTGCTTATCGTGTGCTTTTTCATAGGGCCGGAAACTGTTCTGCTGGTCAGGGGGGAGATCACTCGTGATTATGTCGGGATCTTCCTCATCCCACAAGTAGCGAATTGAAGCTTCATCGATCACACCCGTTCTGAAACGTTTGTACTTCTTGACCTGGTCCATAATGGGCTGAATTCGAATCTTCAAAAGGTTCAAGGTGTGGTAATCTTTCCGTTTCTGGGCCTTGAGCTCTTCTTTGCTGAGTTTGACCTCAGGTTTGGGAGGCGGCGGTGCAACTTCAAGTTGTTCCAGTTGACGAAGCTTGCGATTGTCTGGGTTAGGGAATGCCTTAGGGGGAGTTTTGACAAATTCAATGATTTTGGCGAAGAACTCTCGGCGTGCCTCATGATCAGGAGCAGGTAGGTCAAAGAAGTTCTTTTTAGAGAATCCGAACAGGTTCTTCAGCAGAACATCATCGACCTCTTCATCTTGCGATTCAAGGATACCAAGCAAAAGAACGGGGTCAGAAGGCGGAACTGATCGAAGAAGACCCATGAATGTAGATATCACAGCAGGCCCGACTGTTTGAGACCACAATTGTATATTGGGAATGTAAATGACGCTAGGCTTGTGTCTCTTCACTTCTGTGAACAGTTGGATGACGGCTGCCTCTGGCGAGCGAGTGGAGTCACTCAGCAAAGTAGGAAGATCGAAAGCCTGTACGTGTAGGCCCTCGAACACATGGAGCAACGCGGCGGCGAGGTACTGTTGACCCATGCCGTGAGAGCCCCGGAGCAGTAGTCGGGGTCGGAACACTCGAGAGCGATCAAACTCTTGTAGAAGAAGCTCTCGGCCGAAGCCCTCGCCGTCGTCCGGTTCCTCAAATTGGGCCTCCTCGAGGGCCGTGAGTTTCTTTCGCTGAGGAAGAATCTGTGATAGTAGAGTCTTGATTTGGGAGAGCGGGGAGCGGAGGAGAGGCTCAATGTTTGGTGGGAGCGCAGTTGCACCAGACGAAGTAGATCGCTCAGAGGAAGGGACCAACTTCTTGATCGCAAGCATGAAGTCCTTTGGCGCAACATCAATTGTTTTGGGATCAATTATGAGCTTTTGATCGGATTTGTAAATTTGTGGGTATCTACGCTGGACGGCATTGATTGCGGCTTCAGTGCAAAGAGCACGCAGATCGGCACCACCATATCCCTTCGTCATATCAGCGAGCTCATCCTTGATGGGTCCTGGGAGGGGGGGATCCCATTCTTTGGTGTGGATGTCAAGAATGGCACGTCGAGCTTCGATGTTTGGCAGTGCGAAGTAGAATTCGCGATCAAAACGACCGGGGCGACGAAGAGCAGGGTCCACAGAGTCAGGTCGGTTGGTAGCACCGATCACAACAACTTGGCCTCGACCATCCATACCATCCATCAAGGCAAGTAAGGTCGATACAATCGAGGCGTGGATTTGTTCCTGTTTGCTGGATCTTACCGGTGCTAGGCCATCAATCTCATCGAAGAAAATAATGCTGGGCTGGTTCTTGCGAGCTTCCTCGAACAAAAGTCGAAGTTGTCGCTCGGCCTCACCAACCCATTTGCTGAGTGCATCTGCACCCTTTCTCATGTAGAATGTGACTTTTCGTCCCTCGGAGCTGACACTGTTCGCCAGAGCACGAGCCATGAGCGTCTTACCGGTACCAGGAGGGCCATGGAACAAGACACCTCTTGGAGGCGTGATTTTGAAACGCTGGAAGATTTCGGGGTAAAGCAAGGGAAGGGAGACCATTTCTTTAAGCTGGTCGATGTGTCCCTGCAAACCACCAACATGGTCGAAGTTGACATTCATGTCCACTCCCAGAGGATCGGCATCAGCCAGAGCTTGTTTGTTGTTGAACTTGCCCAGGTTGGCAGGTGTACCTGATGCGGCTTGAGCCGTGTCGGCCGATTGGTTATGTGTAGCCGCGACGGCACCATTGGGGCCAAGCCCGGTGCGAGTCGGCTGCTGCATGCCTTCGTCATCACTGCTGTCGCTGTCCGCCCCTCCTACTGCAGCGGGGCCGCCGGGAGCAGCGAGAATTGCTGAGTTGCCACCACCACCAAACGGCCCTGTTGTCGAGAACAAAGTGCGCTGCCAGCCACCTCCTCCACGACCACGCCGTGATGGAGACCCGGTCACTTCGTGGTCACTGTCATCATTGGGCTGGAGAAGTTCAGGTCTAATGATACGATAATCCACGTCCTTTCGATTGCGTCGCGGCTTTTCGTAAACGACTGCCTGCTTGGCACGACGACGGAAACGACGACCGCCATGTAGATCCTCCAGCTCTTCAGCAAGTTCATCGGCCTCTTCAGATGGTGGACGGGAACGAGAAGGTCTTTTGCGTAAACCAGGACGGCGGCTATTAGAACTGTCTTCGGCTTCATCTCGAGAGCGACTTTGTTTACGAGGAGACGCAACCGAATCATGCGCTGAGTCCTCTTCTTCATCATCATTAGACGCCTCCTCCGGTTCGAAATCACTGTCAAGTTTGGTGGTTTTGCGTTGCGAGCTTCGAGATGGCTGTTTACGGCTGGAACGACGGAGCTGGGAGTCTTCGTTGCGATCTGCGTCTTCTGCGTCCTCCTGCTGGGATTGCATCTGCGGTGGCCGGCCTCGTAAGAGCCTAGTGGTTGGGGCATTGTCGGTGGTTTCAAGATGGCTGTGCTTTGCATCACCGTTTTCTGATTCAGGCACAACCACTTCATTGGACATTTCCTCGTCGACCAGCTCGTGCTCGGCGTCGTTCATTTGCAATGTATCACCCTCATCGCCACCTTGAGGAACATCGCTTTCCACGACCTCCATAGAATCCTTGAGTGTAGTCTCTTCTATGACATCTTCAGCCTCGGCATCCTCGTCTTCTTCGTCGATGATTGTGTGTTTGTTGCGATTGGTGCGGGAAGTGCGACGCGACGGAACATCAGCTGGAGGGCTCACTGTGCCACGCTGGACCGTTTCCATATGACGACCAGAGTTGGTGAGAGCGTAAATGTCCTCTGAAGGCTCTCGAGTATGGCGAGTCACATGTCTTCTGAATTCCAGATACTGTGGTGGCTGCTGCTGTTGCTTTTCTAAAGCGTGGCGGGGCACTCTAAGCTTGATAATAGTACTGCGACGCGGGGATGGAGCTCGGGTCACTTCCTCGTCATCGTCGATGACTTCTTCTGAATCAGGCTCTTCGTACGTTGGGCGGTGGCTTTGATTGGTTCGTCGACGCGTTCCTCTGGCATTGCGAGGGGCATCAGAATCGCTCGACTCCTCTTCCTCTTCCTCTTCGACGGACAGGTCCTCGGAGAACTCCTCCTCAGAGCTGATATCATCGTCAGCGGAGCCACGTCGTCGCCTTTTGGGGGCTGAGCGCGATTTTTTCTTAGGGCTCGCTTTCGATTTCCGGGCGGTGGAACGGGAGTATTGAGCATGGTCACTGTAGTCTTCGTCGTCGGAATCAGACTTGTTTGCGACCTCCTCGTAGGAGCGCTTTGCGCTTCGGGCCATGGCGCAGTGCTGCTGATGGGGGAATCACTTCAAAGAATTAACATTAGCATATCACATTTAGGTCTTGGGAGTCAGAGCGTCAATGTATCAATGGGTAATGTGAAGAGAAGAAACAGACACCAGAGGTCAAAGACGGACTTTGGACAGTTTGCGCGATGCGGGCAGGATCAACACTTACAAATAGATAAGCTGTCGCCAGCGACTGCTGGGCCACCCGATCACAAATAGTAAACCCGAACTGTCCTGATATCAACCTTGGAACCGCCCGACAATTGCTGATCAATAGGTTAGCGGATCCAGGACGGTGGAGCGCAACCAGAGGTGGAAAGGTCTCACGGACTCGGGAACGCGTGGGAAAACAGATATGTGGGAGGGTAATTAGCAGGACAAATGTACAGGTGAGAATTGTCAAGCGTAGTAGCAAACGATGGGGACTCGAAGGATCAGTTCTTTCAGGGAAGAAGGGCGGAAAGGACTCGCGCTCATCTGAATGCATCAGCCACAAAGTGGCTTGCCCATTAGTCAATGGTGCACGGGCCACCCTTCAATGGGGATTTGCTTCAATACCCCATTGACCTCCAGGCCAATAATGCCCCCCATGAATAAGAGCTATTCAGGGTCTTCTTGCTCCTTTCAAATTTGCCGAATGTATTATTTGGGCCATTCTGAGACTCCAAAGCTGCAAAAAACAGCATTGGAAGGGGTGGAGCCCGGGCTGGACATAGTGGTGAAAGTCGATGTCAGAGAGCCATCAGTGACATGAAGAAGACGAGATTAGGCGCATTGTTATTTTGACCTTTGGTTCGCTGTTCTTTTTTGCCCGGACACTTTGAACCTGATATCATGTGCCCGCTGACTCAGCGTGGCTCGTGCCCTCTTTCTCTGCGAATCTCCACCTACTTAAGTAGCTTGCTTTGGTCTGTATTCTTTGACTACCAGATTTATGGAAAAGAATATACTCTCATATTCGGACTTGAGTTAGTTATTTCGGAATGATTATTTCAAGGACACTCTCAGTGCGATACCTTAAATCCTAGTACTAATACCGGCCCTCATTCCCCTGAATTCTTCACTGGTGTCTGAATACTACTTAAGTACATAGGCATCACCTTGCCTCTGTGGATACTGGTGTGGATATTTATGGTTGTAATTAGGAAATGACACTCTGAAATCGAAAATTGCAACGATTGTGGTGGACCAAAGAGCCTGGTGGTGACTCGCGACAATTATATACTTCCCAAAAGCAACCAACCGTGTCAGTAGCAATGGCAGCGCTCTGCTGTGCAGAGTAAAACGAATAACATCGGAACCTTGGAAATAAGGAGACAAGTATGAAGACGTAAGATTCAAGGCCTAAATCTACGAGGGTCATACTTGAGTAGTGTTTTACTTGTCTAGGTTGCTGACGCTTGAACTATCTATAGGTAGATGCAGGTGGACTTCACGCTTTCCTGTCAAATAAACTCGTTTGCCGAAGCAAATTTGCCACGCATCAGGCAACTTGCCAGTATCTCCAGGGCTCCTTCTTAATTTTCTTGATCTGCGTCGTCACTCTTGACAGATGACCAAATTGTCTATGAGGAAACTGCCACACCAGGCGTTGCTGCCCAGGTGCCGGCTTGGATTCCAACATCTCACTTTCTCTCCTCCACACCTGGATATCACACACCCTTATATTACTGTTATATCATCTTACCTTGGCATCTCTCAGAAGCTTTTCAGTCAACTTTAGAAGAAGATGACGAAGCCCAAGAAGTCAGACGATGAGTCTTCCAGTTCGCGTGCCAGGCTGCCGTCTACCGAGCAGCATCAGGCAATTCCTATGAGTCCCAGTTCTCAGTCTCAAGAACCTTCTTCATCATCTGGTTTCCAGAGGTCTCCAGGTGCTGACAGATCGATGGCGCTTTCCCCGTCTCCCAGGTTAACACAACATGGGATCTCTGATCCTCAACCTTCGGAATTGCCGGTCTCGAAACAAGCTGGTTCCACACCTCCCGACCCAGTGCAAGATGAACCCATTTCCAACCCAGAAAAGGAAGTGGAGGAGTCCACGCAAACATCAACTAAGCGGCAACTTCGGTCAATGACCCAAGCTCCCCAGCCTGAAGCTTCCTCACAAGTCAAGCCTGCGAAAAGAAGAGGCCGTCGAAACACAGTCGTCGAAGACCCCAAATCTGGGGAAGCACCAAAACAAGACTCCCCCAAAGATCCAAAGGCCTCCAGCTCTCGAGCTCCACTCTGGACACCGGTTAACCGCCGTGAGAATCCCGAGCCTCAGAAAGAGTCCCCATCGCTGAACTCGAAAGAGCTTAAAGCGAAGTGGAAGGTGACAACTCCACAGCCGGAGAAGTACCCACCAGAGGGATGGATCATGGAAAAGCCAGAGGAATGGACTCCCGAAAAGCGTATGGGCCAAGATATTTGCGAGAACGCCGAACGTTGCTTGGCATTGAGCTATGCGGCCGATAAGACCGCGATCGATCATCTGAAGCGAGCACAGAAGCGGCTGCGGGAAGAATACCTGGATTTCGAAGACGAGATTGATGCAAGAATTGTGGAGCAGAAGGTCGATGAAGAGCGCCACAAGCGTCTGCGGAAAATTCGAAAAAGGGTCCAGAATGAGCTCTTGGAGTTTGAGGCAGATCTCAGTGAATTTGAGAAGAAGAAAGACAATGATCACAAGCGTGTGCTAGAGTACCTTGGCTTTGAACAAGAAGACTGAACTCTGGGGGCGTCAGGAAGATCGACCAGGCTCATCATGTTCAAACAACCATGGAGGCAGACAAACGATGTTTACCTCCAATTGAAGATCGGGGGAGATTGCTCTGTGGAGGCGTTGGTGAAGAACAGGATATTTTTATTTGACTACAGCTGGGATTTGGTCGTCAAATTAGTGCGCAGGGAGATAACATGACCAACATTGCAATACGGAGGACGGCTTTGGGAATTATGACTGCTTGGATCATATTATTTGTACACCTCCAGGGCTGCTTATCACTCTGCTTCCATATATTTTATGCTGCAATCACATTCACTTGTATGAAGTGTTTCTCCAATGCAATCAAAACACCAAGAATTTCAGTGAGAGGCAAGTCTAGGTGACTCGGTTGGGCAATGCCCAGATGGCAGAGATTCGATGCCTGCATATGGAGCAGAGACCAAAGGGATGAACATTGAAACCCCCAAGATCGGCCCAGACACCCCAGGCATGAATGCCAAGAGCGCTAGACCTAAAATGGACTGCGAGGCTCGACATCACCCTGGCCGTTTCTCCATTGAACTGAATATACCCAAAGCCAACGTGATATAACAGTCATAATGTTCTCACAGTCAGCTCGCCGGATCACACCGGCCATGGTGTCCTTGCAGTCTGCTCGGGCCCCCGTCGCCCGACGCGCCTTCACAACAACCCCAGCGACATTCAACACACCCAGCTCACCTGAAAAACCAAGTGCCTACAAGCAAGGAGTACGCTTGACATTTATTTCTCGCAATTGATGTACTAGCTTGCTAATTTAACACCTAGATGAACCAGTATCGCACCTTCGCCAGCCCCTTCGCCAAGGTTTTCCTCGGCGGCGTCTTCGTCTACCAAGTCCTTTACTGGACCTGGTTGAAGTTGGAGATGGACGAGACCAAGGTGGAGAAAAATGGTAAGATCCCCAAAAAATTGAACTTTGGTCTTTTTGACTACAGGGCTTCTACTAATTGTGCAATAGAACAAGCGGCCGTGCTAGAGAAACAGGCACGAGAGATGACCCAACCCAAATCCGAGAAATAAATTGATAATAGACTTGTATATTATGTTCTTTGAGCTCATCATATGAAAAAAAAAGCCATATTTGGCGGAAACACGCTACCCAACAGTATGCAAAAAAGTATATTATAATCCGAAAGTCATTCAGCCGCAAATTTGCGCTTGCGTCCCTTATCAAGTTTCGCATCGACAATCTCACACGAAGGCGAGGCCCAATCTTGACCTCTTTCCCCCTTCTTGAAGTGTTGAATATCGATGTGATTGAACCGTTCATCCAGAGCCGCAGCGCCGTGGCTCTTCAGCAGGACTCTCCGATTGCAAAACCCACACCAGAAATCTGACTGGCCAGTCAAATCAAGACGGTTATTTGTCTCCATGGAGATTTGGTGCTCCTGCATCCCGTGTTGGCGCAGGTGCTGCGCGTATATATCTGGACGGTAGAATAGGCGTTCGCATGATCCCTTAGACGGGTCTGGAGCAGTGCAGAGCCAGCTCGGGACGCTGAGGTGCTGGGAAATTTCGTGACGTTTCCAGTCGGCTTTGCTGCCGAAGGACTTTGCACAGTGGGGGAAAGTGCAGCCATACGGTCTTTCATGACGTTTTTGGTGTTTTCTGGTTTTTGTTAGGATGGAATCGAAAGTTGAGAGAGAATTGAGGCACTTACTTCATTTCACAACGGAGTCGGGTCTTCTTTGGACATGCGTCGCACTGAAACCAGTCCTGCTTCTCGCTGTATTGGACGGTTTCGTTATCTGATAGGCGCTCGAGAGCGACTGAGAGGACCTTCTGGAGCATTTGACGCTGGGCTTGGGAGAGCTGAGTATTATCTGGATCCAGGTCGATGCCCTCATCGAAGTTTTGACTTGATCTCCGTCCGCGATTGTTCATCATTTTCGTCATGGCATTGATCAAATTATCTGCTGCGTCTGCGATGGACGATTCTGGCTTGGTAGTCCGATCGACCGGGGATTCTTGGCCCGTCAGCCCCAAGGAACCAAAGGCAGGGAATTGAGAGGCACTGGTGCCCGTCGATGTTTGTAGCGGTTCGGGTGTGGTACCGAATGTGAAAATATCGGACTTTTGAGGCATCGAGTTGCCCTCAGGCGCAAGCTCCATTGAGTTGGCAGTAACCACTTCCTCCTGTCCCTCGGATACAGATTCACAGTGAGAGCTGGTGGCGTCGACGCTCTTTCCGGGCCGACAGATGACCTTTTCGTACCATTCCATCGATCTATCCGGAAGTTAGCATCTGACGCTGATAGGATTTGGACATGAGTCGCACTTTTTCAGCAGAACCTCCCCATCTTCGTCGTGATGCATTCGATGCAAGTGTTGCTTGAAGTTATCCAACCGAGGCCACCTCTTTGTTGGGCGAGGGCAGTTCATTCCGAAACACATGTACATCATCTTAGGTCCACGCTCGGGTTCTTTGTTGTGCACACATTTTTTGTGACGGGCAAGGTCATTGATAGTCCCAAACCCTTCTTTTCGGGGGCAATTCGGTTCGTCGCATTTGAAGAGCTTCCGATGACGAGCCTCGTGTTTTCTGTGAAGGTCAATAACCTGCAAGGATTATTACCCCAGAGCGTAAGCATACCTCTTATCTGAAGGGCATTTCCCAACCCAAAGGCAAGAACGATGATCACATCGAACAGATCCCTCCAGCATCGACGGCGACCCGACAAATTCGGATGAGAAAGATGACCGAGACGTGAACTGGGAATCGCAAGCGCCCTCGGCCAAATCCTTGGCCGGACTTGAATCTGCATAGTTGGAGGCAATAACGGACTGTGTCGCGCAGCTGGTTCCACCGTACCCGGAATCAGCGGAAGGGTAGCTATCCAGATACTGACTACCACTCTCCGATGGTTCGCTATAGTGATGTTGAGAGTAACAATATTCGTCAGGTACAGAAACATTCATGTGTGAGATCGACGAGGTTGGAACGCCAGTGACCAGCAGCGGGTTCCAGGCATCTTGGCCACCCCGGGAGAAGTAATAGGGATTTGACGACCATTGGTTGAGATAAGAGGGTTCGGGGCCAAGGTGCAAGTCCAAATTTGAATCAAAAGCTTTGTCGTGGGTGTCGTTCACCATGATGCCTTGGAGGACATCGGTGTCGGTCCAATCCTGGGGGCCCTGGTGGATATTAGATTTATAGTAGTGGGGGGCAGTTATCTTGGTAAGCACTAACCTCCATTTTGTGAGTTCAAAATGCTCGAGTAATTTCAAGGTTGACAGAGGCGCACAAACCTCAAATCGGCGGGAGGGGCATTATTAAAGTATCCATGACCTTATGCGACAGCAAATGCCAAAACCTACACGCGAGAGAGACACGCAAGCTCCACTACGCCCCGGGCCGGGTTGACCTCACCACGCGATAAACCAAGTCAAGGGTTAGAATGCAGAGCATAATTACGCGGATAAAAGGAATACATAAGACTGAGTTCGCCCTCGCGTGCCCTGGCGTATAAGCGTGGAATGCAACATGTCATCCCTTGATTGCACAGCCCCCCCAGATATCGGGATTTACACTTTGTGTGTGCTTTCATAATGATACAATAATTTCAAATGCTTGGGTGGAAATACGAAAAAAAATGGTCGAATCCTGCATGCAGTGTTATTGTCTGGGCTGATAGTGCCATTTCCCACAGATCTTCTCCACCTTCCAGATCCCCGATCTCGTCACCCGAGCCCGGGTGACTCGAGCCACGCACACGTATCACAACCGCACAGCTGAGCCGTTCCTGCACGAGGCATGCAAGACAACGTCTCAAAAGGCAGGCAGGAAGCAAGGACTTCTGGATCGGGCTGTGACAGTAGACGATCGACATGACTGGCCCATGTTGCAAGGGATGAGTGCACGTTATACGAGAAACTCGTTTCGAATTTAGACTCCACATTTGAAACGAGATGTTTGATTAAAGTCTCCATCTCTTACCAACCCTTGGATGATCATAGTTCTGCAGAGCTCTACTCGTAGTGTATGCCCAGGTAGTGTCCGTACTTTTAGTTCGGGGCTGATGCTACGAACCGTGGAACCGTGTGTTCTGGTCCGCTACGCTAGTACCGAACAGGTAAAGGCAAAATATAATCTGATCTCTCATATGCCATGCACCTGAACATTGAACGAGTACGGAGGAGAGCCGAGCGAAATACGGAATTCCCGCAAAATGGGGCGGAAAATGAGGTTATATCATAGCCATTCCAATGGACTCGCATAACTCGTGAACATTGCGCCATCTATTACGATGAAGCTGATGCACCAAAAAGGGGGAATAAGCAAGGAAAAAAAGAAAGATAAAAAAAAAAAAAGAGAGAGATAATTGTATATGAAGAAACAAGGGTCTCCGAGCCGAGGATCACCCGGACGAATAGGTGGCCGTATAGGGAATGTTGGACTCCATCGGTTGGTAGTAATCCGCGGGGTACACCTGAAACTGAGGAACAGGATACGAGTGAATGACATCGGGCTCCGGAGACCTCGGGCGCGGAGCGGCATAGGGCCGCGGATAGGTCAAGTTCTGATGCAGGGGATGAGCCTGGGCCAAGTCGAGACCGGTGCCCAGGTACGGATAATCCAGGGAGTCCGTCATGGACTCGGGTTCGGTAGAAAGTTCGATACCAGTCATCGAATGATCGAGGATAGTGTTTTGCGCCGCGTACGGCGGTTGCAAAGACGTTTCGTAAGGAGCCAGGGGTGCCGATCGTCCTGGGTCAGCAGGAGCCGGAGGACTGCTCGGCTTTGATAACCGCAGAACGGGCATGGCAAGCTGCTCCAGATGCTTGCCAAGGTGAACTGACAACTTTCTCCACTCGCTACAGACATTCCCGCAGAAGCGACACGGCTCTGATTGGGGGGCTTGCTTAGTCTCGTGCCGACATTCTTCGACCTTTTGCCATATCCGTTCGATGTCTTGATCGCGTCGGCTGTTCGGCCCCTCGGTCGTGCCTTTCTTCGGTTTGGGTTCGGGCATCTTGTGCTCCCGAACCAAATGCTGCACAAAGTTGTCTTTACGATAGCAGGTATGATTGCAATCAGGGAATGCGCAGGTCCACCACTCTAAATGACGATGTCTTTCGTTCTCATGTCGGACCCAGTCAGCTTTACGCTTGAACGACTTAGGCTCATTGCAGTGCGGGAATGTACAGGTAAATGGCTGTACATCTTCCTGGACATGCTTGGACCAGTCGGACGGCTTGGCGAAGGTTTTCACTTGGAAACAGATAGGACATTCGAAACGGGCAGGGAGGCGGCTGACCGGTGGAAGGGGGACTCCAGGGGGGAATTGTGCCGCGGCTACCGTGCCTTCTCCTATCGCATACCCTTGCTCGTGTCCGCTGGTGAGATTGCTCACGTGGAATTGATTCTGTCCAGCCCTGGTCTCCACCGGTGCCCTGGAGTCTGACAGTGGAGTTTCTTTGCCGCCCTGAGCGAAACAGAAATTCGCAGACTTACAAGAGTGATTGGCCACAGCTTGAGAATGCTTCTGCTGCAAGCCAACCAAAACCTTAAATCGGCGATCTTGCTCATGTGCAAGACGGTGGATCAAGGCCGGTTCAAGCCTTGGATTCATTTCCATGATTTGCGATCTAAACCCTTCAAAGGTTGGCACTGGAAGGCTTTGAATGGCGGGGAAATCCATAACCAATCCCTTGGCATTGCTCATGTCAACATCGTGCTCATCATCGCCACCCGTAATCTCTGGGCCCAATAACACACTTCTAGGTGTCTGGTCGGCATTCGAGCTGACCCGAGGCGAAGTAATGCTTGGAACTGGGGGGCCACCGTGGGCGGTCATCAGGTTGATTAGCCCTGGGCCAGTCGGCCGAGGTAGCTCACTTCTACTGCGACCGCGACCGGGGAATTGGGGGAGATTCAAGGAGCTTCGTTCTGGATTTGGAGATGGCGCTGGTGACACAGCTTGGACAGATTGGCTTCCACCAACACTGGCTATTTGGCTGGTCATCGCCATCAATGCGTTGCTTAGGCTTGGTGACCGCGAGTGGCGACGGTTCGAGAATGGGTTTCGTGGGGAGTAGCTTTGTTTCAGCTGTGATTCTTCAGTGTCTCGTGGGAGTGGAGGGTAAGTGCTGGATTGGCTCATTGACATGTCGGATGCTTGGCGTTTTAACATCGAAGAAGCCTGCAGGAACGGGCGTTTGAGGAGACTGGCTCGCTTCTTCGGTTGCTCTCTCCTTTCTGCAATGGAGAAATTATCAAAGGACGTGGTCACATTAAAGATGCTGTTATTGTCGACTGTTGCTGCGAGAGATGCTGTTTCGACGTCTCGAGCACGCTTGTTGAATGCTATCATAGCATCGGTTGAGCTGTCTGGCTGCATGGCATGAGATCTGGGTGTGGTATCGCGCGGAGGATCGTGCCAAGGGTAAAGGCGAATGCTTTCATCTGCTTTAATCGGCGAGAGCGATGAATAGACCTCAGGGGTGCTGCGATCATATCTTCCCGGATCGTCGACTTCGGCCGAGGTCTCATTCGAGTAGGTGCCGATGCTTTCATCCTCGCTCAATTCATCACTACTCTCGTGAACGAGGACACCTGGTCCAGGGAAAGATTGATCCGCGGTGCGAGTCCTGAGATTGAAATAATCCTCTTGTTTCAGGGGATGGTCTCCAGTGCTCCTTGCGCGAAGTCGTCTTGGGATGTGTGGGCGTGTACGTGGAGGGCTAGGCGATCCAACAACGCTGTTGGCCTCGCTCACACAAACGGACCAACTTGTGATGTCTTCGTTCTTTTCTTCTCTTTCTCTGTGAATGTGGACATCGTTTGGACTTGGCACGTATTCGTTTCCACGAGAAGCCGGGCCAATACCAGACAGATTAGTAGACGGATCCCGGAGCCTTGCGCCATCATTGCCTCGCTTCAGAGACGTAGCAGACAGTGTTTGTTGACTGTCTTCTTCTTCGCCTTCTTCTTCCAACTCGTTGGGATCGGCGGAAAGATGCGTTGACGACTGGCTGGGACGTCTTTGGTGTGATGCGCCACGCTCGGGTGAGTCGCCCCGAGAGAAGGTTGTGGTTGTTATTTTGAACACCGGGCTTCTCCCTCTTGGTGCGCCTGAATCCAGCTCGTCCGACTCTTGGTTGATCGAAGGCGCGAGTCGGTCGGGTGCAACATTATAGACACCGAGGCCCGGTTGAGGAAGTGTTTGTACTCCATTTGGTCCGAGTCTTGTCGATGTATTCGATGTGAATGGAATCTGCTGCGAGCTCGGCCACTGAAAGGCGCTTGGCGCCATGGGGGGAGACCAAGCGGAATCTGGCGCACTGGCCCCAGACTTATACGACGAAAAGCTGTCATCGCGCCAGCTACTGGAACCACTCCCCAGTTCAATCTCCCTCGGTTCGACGAAGACGTCGGAAAGAGGAGAGGTACAGGTACTAATGTTGTTCTCATTCGGGTCCAAATAGTTGGTTTGAATTGTGGGGTCGTGAGGGGAGGAGCTGGGCCCGTTGCTGTGTGGACTTCCGAGCGAAGGTGTCAGCCGAATAGCACTGGCTTGAAAAGAGATTTCTTCGGGGTCGCATCTCGTCGAAAGATATGGGTCTGGAATTGGAATATGCGCCGGCGAGTGCCCCTGAACACTGGAAGTGCGCGACATGTTCGTGTTCGTGTTCGGCCCCGCGATCACAAAAATTGTCCGAGGCTTTGGAGCCCACTCATCGAGTCATGCCTAAATGTGCCTTGTATATAAGATGGTATACATATACCTAGGTATATATGTGAGTAAGATCTCCAGGCTTTTCAATCTTAAATTAGAAGAAGAGAGGAAAGGAAGATGGGGGCCGACGATCAAAAGTATTAGCGAGAAGTCGGGAACTGAACAAGCGCCGGGCGCATCACCCACTTACAAGGGCCTATGGAAATTAGAGGACAGGCCCAAGGGGGTTTGGGTTCCACTGTCAGTCGGCCTTGTTTGAAAGGGAAATCGTTCGGAGCCTCATGTGGCTAGTAAGTCTTATGATCTCACAAGGCACACTTGAGTCTGTAGGGTTCCTTGTACACTACACTACACTGTGGCTATGACCATGACATATGGCCTATTAATTACTCGGACCTGAGTAGACCAACATGCAGCATTCCTTTGCATTGCCTACCATATAACCGCCCCAGCCACAGCGTCCCAGTTCTATTCTTATCCCACTCAGCCTCTCGTGGGGGGCCATTTTCTATAGGGCTGAAACGAATGGAAAGGGTTTCTTGGAGTGGGTTCTTTACATTGCCGATGAAACTTCATCTATTTCAGCACTGACCTATGTTGTACACATTGTGAACCGCGTCCATGAGCCCCACGGTCCACTTGGTTCAACTGCTTGCCGATCAACACAGCCACGTTTGGATATTGACAAACCATTCGATCGCGATGATCCATATCGTCAGGTTCCATCTGTCTCCGCTGCACTTCCGGAAAAGTAGTATCGCCATTCCCTCGTGTTGAATACTCGTGCGATCGGGGCCGGGAATGGGGGCTGCAGAAACCAGTGGGCCGGGGTCCAATGTTGGCTCCATCAATGGATCTAATGCATCTCTACGATCTCGGACAGAAGGAAACTCGATGACGGAGTCAGAACTACCATATAGTCAGGGGTAACTTAGGACCGGGGTGATGGTACGAAGTACGGCCCCAGGGATTGTGATAGAGATAAGTAATCCAGCTCTAGGTAACTCTGAAGCCCCACGGGACCGGTAGTCTGTGGTGTAACTGTAGAAGGACTTCAGGAGTACAGTTGGCAATGATGATACTGAAGTCCTGATATACCTCGTGCCCAGTACCGCTAGATTGAAGCTCAATTTTGGGGAGCTGTCAAACAGGCTCAAGCTAGCCGTCTGTCTCAGATCCCCGGTATTTCACCTGAGACACCGACACCCCGCTTTCCAGCTCAGCACCGTTCAATCCGAGCTGGTGTGGTAGAGTGGCTGACATAGAGATTGAAATGTTGCCTTTTTATGATAAATCTTGGAATTATATTTCTATATTAGTTATACTCATCCCCATGGTATGATTCACAGGCCTGATGTCAAGGGCTCATACTTAAATACCCAAATATACATCGGCTGAAAGGAACCATGCACTTGCGATAAGAACTCGTTCCCAGTCTTGGTAAAAGCGCACCTGCGCCACCGGCGACTAAACTCGAGTCCTCCAAAATAGCCCTGAAGACGGGGATTACTCTCAGCTTTGCGCATGTCTCCAGAAATGCCCAGGTGCTACTTCCAAGGTTAGATGGAATCATTTGGAGAAGACACGTACGGGATATATGGCTCTGGGTTGTAGGTAGGGAGATAGCTAGTCAGATAAAAGATTGGGTTGAAACACGATTGGAGACAAGGTTACAGCCCACGGGTCTAAACCCCAGATGGATGTATGATCCGGGGGTCAGCTCAACCATAAAATGCCATTGGATGATGGTGTCCTTATCAACCAGATCCGATCAGATTCTCTTATCACTAGCATTGTCATAGAAGCCAACGACGTTCATTGCACGAGGACTCCTGGAACAGGGCCTTGGTGGCTTTGGAGCAAATAGGCCGTTCGCCTGTGTTAAAAGATAAGAGTCTTGGTATTCTCTCTTAACAGCAGTTCTCAGCGAGGTCAAAGATGGTCAAGATATATGTAGTCTGAAACCATGAATCTCAAGAGACAAATCTATCTACAAGTAGATTTTCATGATGGTTGAAGCCGTGAGTGTCCCAGAGATCCCAGAGAGGACAACCAACCAATTCGAGCTAATATGTGATAGCCGGTATACAATGCATCCACTCCAACAGGCGGTGATCCGCTCAAAGTCGACGTGAACTCCCAGTACGCCGGAGTGGAGTGGAACTATACCTACATCATCCTCTGCGCCTTTATAGTATGGCTCATTATTCCTGGGATCGGACTCCTCTACAGCGGTCTCGCGAGAAGAAAGTCCGCCCTTGCATTGCTCTTCCAGTCATTCATGGTCGTCGCTGTGTATGTTGATTCCCCGATGTTATTTGAATCACGCTGAAAGTCTCTAGGACAACCTTCCAGTGGATGTTCTGGGGATATTCACTCACCTACGCCCGGGATGCAAGCCCGTTCATTGGGACGCTGAAGAACTTTGGGCTGAGAAATGTGATGGTGGCACCTTCGCCTGGGTCTGGAGATTTGCCCGAAATTGTGTTCTGCTTTTACCAGCTGCTATTTTGCGCATGCACAGTAAGCAGAGACAGGCGTGTTCTGGGGCCGAAGTTGACATGGACAGGTTATGATCGTCGTCGGCGGAGCATTTGAACGAGGAAACATCATCCCTTCGCTGATATTCAGTTTCTGCTGGGCGACCGTGGTATATTGTCCACTAGCTTGTTGGACCTGGAACAGCAACGGGTGGCTATATAATCTCCCCTCTTTGGATTTTGCTGGCGGTGGCCCCGTTCACATTGCATCTGGATGGTCGGCTTTGGCTTATGCTTTTGTGCTTGGGAAAAGGAAGCACATTGATCAACCCTCCCATGCAAAGCCTCACAACACCACGCTAGTCTTCCTGGGAACTGCATTTATCTGGTTCGGGTGGCTTGGGTTCAATGTGAGTGAATATCCGTTCATGAAGAGAAGATGGATCTGACACTCCCAGGGCGGCTCTACTCTCAACGCCAGCGTGCGTGCAATGTTAGTAGTATTCAACACCAACACAGCAGCCTGCGCTGGAGTGCTTGGATGGGTATTGATAGACTACATCAAGCATCGCGGCAAATTCTCGGTGGTAGGAGCTTGCGAAGGTGCGATTGCGGGGCTAGTTGGCATCACCCCAGCCGCGGGATTTGTCTCCGTCTGGCTCGCGGCCGTCATCGGGGTCATCACGGGCGTGGTTTGCGCACTTCTCCAAGACATCAACAAATGGTTGCACATCGACGAGGGGATGGATGTATTCAAGCTTCACGGTATCGGGGGTATGGTTGGGGCCTTGTTGACAGGGATTTTTGCCTCGGGGTCCATCGCGGCTCTAGACGGGGTGACTGAGGCCGCGGGTGGCATTGACGGGAACGGGGTCCAGGTGGGGAAACAATTGGCGGAGGTTTGTGCGATCTCCGCGTACGCATTCACGGTCTCGTGTATCTTGCTTTACATTTTGAAGTTTATCCCGGGGATGCAGCTGCGCGTGCATGAGGAGGCGGAAATGGTTGGCTTAGACCGCGCGCAGTTTATCGATGAGCAGATCGGGGAACGGGCGTTGTTGGACGATCTTTGCGGGTCGGGTGGGAGCGTCTTGGGGGAGGTGGTTGGTCCAGACGCCAAGGAATAGAGAGATACCCTTGTCTCACCTGGCAGCTAACACTACAGAGTAGCACACCAACATTGTCTCTACACTTCATACTCCGTACATCAGAGCTGTTCTTGCTAGGACTGTGTCTTTTGACCCCGACCTCCCCAGACACTCAAAAACTGTGTCTTATAGAATCGTGAAGGTTGGGAACCCTTGAAAGGGCAAATGTGTCAGACTGCGACAAAGTGACGTCCGATCGGCTTCAAGGGCCGTAGCTGACGTATGCTTTTATGCGGCCGCGTTCACTTAGACTAGCGTCCCTGCAGCATTCCGGGGAACAGATATCCGTATCGAATATTCGTTACGGAAAACGAAGATTAGAACAATCAATTCGATATTCAATATTGAGAGAGTATTGAAGTCGCTCTGTCCATAGAGTAAGGGTGTCCAAGTAAAGAATTTAAAGGTGGAACCAAGACTGTCACTAACGGTTCCCTGCAGTGAGACCTGTTGATTCATATGCAGGGCGAGTAAGCTGTGGTTACGTACTTCATAGTTGAAGTTGATATTGTATACGGAGTAGTTACGGAGTAGACATTGGAAGTGAGATACTCCGTATAATTATTTTGTACTCTGTACTGTACAAGTCTGTGAGATATACGGAGTACTCCGTAATACCCCAACGGCTCAGAAAGAAAAAAAATCCCAAATAGAGAGGCGGAACGGGAAGATCGTCAGGTATGGTTATAATACCACACTTACCCTAGTGCGGGAAGATCTAGGCCCCCTTTTGCCACCACAGCACCCTGTATCGCCCGTCACGTTTTGTACCGCCCGAAGCCGTCGCGTCAGCCCCGTTTTTGGCTCCCTTATCTCTGGCCTCCGGCCCTCTCCCTCTCTCTTCGTTTCAAGGCCTTTGCTTCCAGTCATTCGTTTTCTTTACTTTGCGCTCTATTATTGAGCACATCGCTTATTTAATTCTTACCAGATTGTCATGATCTGCTAATCACATCAAGTCCAAATGGGCAAATGTATGTGGTCCCACTTCCACCAATCTTCTGCAACTAACATTCTCAGGGCGTTATGGTGTCGTCCTGGACGCAGGCTCGTCTGTATGTCGAGATAGAATTTCCGTTTTTCTCATTTCAGCCAAACTGATCGTTTAGGGGACCCGCGTACACGTTTACCGATGGCTGCGAAATGCTGCCGCACGAAAGAAAGCCGATGTGGAGGAGTTGAAATCACTTCCGGAGATAAAGACGAAGGAGGAGTGGACCAAGAAGATTCGCCCTGGTGAGCCCTGCTATAGCCAATGCTGTTGCAAGTGCCGGACACTAACCCGCTGGCGCAAAAGGTGTTTCCTCGTTCGCCGACAAGCCCGAATTGGTCGGATCTGATCACCTGGCGGAACTTTTGGACCATGCGAAGGGAATTATTCCCGCCGAGGATGCCAAGGACACACCCATATTTCTCCTCGCCACGGCGGGTATGCGACTAGTAGGAAACGTTGAACGACAGCTTCTTCTTGACAACATCTGCTCGTATGCTCGTGACAATTCGAACTTCTTGCTTCCGGACTGCGGTGTTCACATCCAGGTGATTCCCGGTGTGACTGAAGGACTGTACGGATGGATTGCGACAAACTACCTGATGGGTGCATTTGACACCCCGGACAAGCACGACCATGGAAAGGGACACCACACTTACGGATTTCTCGATATGGGCGGTGCATCCGCTCAGATTGCGTTTGCGCCGAACGCGACGGAGACAGAGAAGCATGGCAATGATCTCAAATTGCTGCGGCTGCGGAACATTGATGGATCGGTTCAAGAGCACAGAGTGTTTGTCACTTCCTGGCTTGAATTCGGCGTACACGAAGCCCGGAGACGATACCTGGAGGCTTTACAAACTACCGCAGGACCAGAGATTTTGGAGTTGCCGGACCCATGCCTCCCCAGTGGACTTCGGACTACTTTGGAAGGCAAGGATGTGGCATTGCAGAGTGAGGCAGAGCCTTATCTGCTCGGCACCGGCAAATTCGACGAGTGTCTACGCCAGACATTCCCCTTACTGGACAAGGATGCTCCCTGCACAGATGAACCGTGTCTGTTGCACGGGATGCATGTTCCAGCGATCGACTTTGATGTGAATCACTTTATCGGAATCAGCGAGTACTGGCACACCACCCACGAAATTTTCGAAATGGGATTCAAGGATAAGGCTTACGATTTCAACACCTACCAAGAACGCGTTCAAATGTTCTGCTCACAGGACTGGGACTCGATTGAGCATGGAATTGAAGCACAGAAATGGGGCAAGAAGGTCGATCAGCAGAAGGCCGCTGAGGTATGCTTCAAGGCATCATGGATCATCAACATGTTACATGATGGCATTGGCGTTCCTCGGGTCGGTTTGGAAGAAACACCTAGTTCATCGCACAATGGCACCAAGGAAGTCTTGGCTCACGGGAAAGAAAAGGGCTATCTTGATGCCTTCCAGGCGGTCAACAAGATTGACTCGACCGAAGTGAGCTGGACTCTGGGTAAGATCGTCTTGTACGCATCCTCCCAGGTACCCGTGGAAGTTGAAGAAGCCCTCCCGGTTGGCTTTGGCAGCAATGTTCCTGGTATTTCAAACGACTTCCAATACCCCAGCACTCAACTTCTGCCCGACTCGGACGGCGTCCACAGCGAACATTGGCACGATGCGCTATTTGACGGTGATTCACCGCGTCGAGTTCCAGGTTTGATACTCTTCATGCTGATTATTGTCATGGTCGGGTTCTTCTTATGTGGCCGCAGCCGCCGTTCACGGATTTTCAACCGTGTCGGTAATGTGCTGCGCCGCGGCGGACCATCCCACCCAAATCACCCGAAGAAACGAAAGGGACTCAAGGCAATGCTCCCGTTCCTAGGTCGAAGCGCGACCTCCTACGAGCGTGTCCTCGAGGACGGGGCTCAAGACTTTGAACTCGGCGTGACCGATTCCGATGGAAGTGAAGATGGTGGACGCCTCTCCGAGGCAGACTCAGCCAGACTGGGACCGCCGAAGCGAGCATCCAGCTGGGGAAGCAACAGCAACACCCCCAGCTTCAAGTACGCGCTGGACAACAGCTCGACAGGGACGATCGGACTTGGGATTAGCGGTGGAGGCTCAGGCATCGCGATGGACCGCGCCGGCTTGGTCGTTCGGACCGAAAGCAGGGACCATCTCGCCCCGATAGCTTTGGGACCCACCACCAACGGTCGACGATCTCGCGCAGGCAGCCCGACCAGATCCCTTCACCAAAAATCACCAAGCATGACACCCCTTGCCGACGACTAACGCTTCTGTCCCGAATAACGCATTAACTACCCTAGCATTGCATTTCATTTGGAGTTTCCCCCGACATGCACTGGCCCATCCGGTCCTGTACGCCCTGTTCTTTCATTTTGGAAGTTTTCGTCCTTTCCCCAGCTTGGTTTGTGGTCGTCTGCTTTCGATTCTTCATATCATATTTCAACACTGTGCTCTGGAGTACCTTTTTGTTCTGGCTGCGGTGCTTTCAATCCCAGGCGGGTGTTTACACGTAATGAGCTGTGTACCATTAGTGGTCGAGATATCGTCCTGAATATAGATTAATACATGACCCCAATATCCTTGTTTCTAGTAAACCTAGCCAAATAATCTGGGTCTGAAAATGTAGTACGAGCCCCATGTTAGTTTGTTGAGCCTGATTAGTATTTATCATTTCTTGTGTCTGCGCTTCTTTTTTGTCTCTCCCTGATGCACAAATAATTGCTATTGCATATATATGAGGACAGCGATCCATGTTCTTCCGGTGTGATCCAACGCATCCTAATCTTGAACCAGCTCCATTTGATCAGGGCGAGACATGTCACGTGCGTGGCTCACCGCCCTGGCAAAAAGGGCTGCGATACCAGAGAGAAACTGGGCGCGACCAGCTTCCGATCGATTTATTGCTTGCTCATCCTGCTTTGCGCGAACACCAACCACCTTGAGTTATTCACCTATGCTGTCGCGATAAACCACAGGTCTCAACCCCACATTCACACCCCGGCCAAAGCCGTCCGCCACAATGCGTCTTACCGTTGAGCTCATCCAAAATTCGCTATCATACATTAATCCGCTCACAGACCGCGAGCTGGATCTCCGAGGTGCGTACTACACGCCTGTCTGAAAAGAGCAGATACTACACTTTATGGGAGCTGGATTGATATCGTATTTTTGCGTGGTTAGGACACAAGATCCCCGCAATTGAGAACTTGGGTATCGCCAAAGTAAGTACTACCCCGATACCAAGATGCAACGTATTTGATCGAGTCAATTGCAAAGCCACAGCCCCAAGAGGCTATAAAGTGCATTACTAACAGCTTCCAGGATCAAGATGCTATCGACTTCACCGACAACGACCTGTCCTCCCTAGGAAACTTCCCATTCTTCCCCCGCCTCCGCACACTCCTCCTCGCCCGCAACCGCATCAATCACATTCAACCGGCACTAGCAAAATCAGTCCCTGCTCTGAAGACACTCGTGTTGACAGCTAACAACCTGGCCGAGCTAGCGGATCTGGATCCGCTGCGCGAACTCCATCATCTGACCCACCTCACTCTGCTCGAGAACCCAGTGACACGGAAAGAGGTTTGTTTTCCGCCTAGCCTGGCCTTGGTCGCGATCTTCAGCTAATCATATCTAGAACTATCGCTACTGGGTTATCTGGCGCATTCCCTCCCTCCGTTTCTTCGACTACCAAAAAGTATCAGATGCCGAGCGCGCCACAGCCACCGAACTCTTCGGCACAGCTGAAGAACCCTCTTCCCTTGCATCCAAGATCCTGGGTGTCAAGTCCCGCACGTTCGACGTCCCTGCTACCACATCGGCCCCGACTGAAAAGGGCATCCGCGTACAGCTGACAGATGTGGAGCGCAAGCGCGTGGAGAAGATGATCCGCGAGGCCAAGAGTTTGCAGGAGATCACGAGGTTGGAGAAGGAGCTTAATGAAGGACGGATACCCGGAGGTGCGCTTGGGGATGCAGACGGCGACCAGGAGATGCAGGGGTAATCATGAACATATTCTTTTGGTTGTTACGCTTCGCTTATGGTTCCGGTCGCATATACCTGTCTGAATATCTTGCTTTTCGCCTGCTGGCAAGATCTTGACTGAAAATTGAGCATTTCGATACAAAACGACTCTTTGTGTTTCAGATATTGTAACTCCTAGCCAGCAATTTACTCAGGAACACGGTTGTAGATAACTATTATACTCATTGTATATCATTTGCAGAGTCTGGAAAAAGCCCCGCGGAGAAACCCAAAATGAGAAATGGACTAAATCTTCGATGGAGGAGCCAAGAATGGAGCAAAGTCAAAAGTAGCGTTACTAGGCGATGAAACAAGGCGAACGAGTAGTATACGTGCCAGAATACCCCATTAGAATCTACTCCGTACTCCGGAGTAGTGTTCACCCCATATAATCGTAGACCAATAATCCGATCAGGGGTATGTGCGTCACAATTGGATCGACCATCGTATACAACTAGAAAATGATTGACAAGCGCCTTCGCACTATAGTTCTGGGGTGAGGATCGCTTGGTCGTTCTAGAATCCGAGCTTAGAAGTAGTAAATGGATATCGAAATAAGCCACTTGTACGGAGTACTCCGCATTAATGATGTAGTTGATATCCATAGTAAGTAGAGAAATTAGATAGAAGATCAGAATCACCTCAATCTTGAGGAACTGGCGTCACCAACCATGGTCAAGCAGGTGTCAGAGAGCCGAGTCTAATAGCGAAGTGGGCAATATCCGTTTATGGTGGCATTTTGCGCCTAGTCGCTTCAAAAGTCACTAGTGGGTAGACCAGACGCCATTATGAGACACTACCACGCAACATTGAAGTTTTTGCAAGGCTGAACTCTAAGCGGAGTTAAAAGGCGTCTCTAGATGTACGGAATACTCCGTACTTCGTGATCTAACAAGTTCGAAAGTTCGATCTGCACCCCCTTGCACCATGCGTTCACATTGTTTCAGCATGTCGAAGATCTCACAAATTGGGAATTCACAAACTGGGTACGAGTACAAAATGGGAATCAGTATTCTCCGAGGTCTAGTGCTTATGATTTATTATGGAGTGTAGGGTTTGCCGTGAAGCGGAAGATTCGGATCGGTGGTCTCGACTGGGTTAGGGCTGCAGATCGAGAACCGTCTCAAGTTCATGTTCGCATGTTCGCTGCTCCATCTCACTAAGCCGCACCGAGAACCATGTCCGCTACAGTCTCCGCCATGCATATGAATTTTGATTGCTTTCTATTGCAGAATTGCAATTCCAACTACGAATCAAGAGGCAAACGGATTTCGCGGGTATCGGCTCCTCATAATACTCGGCAAACATAGTTTTCATTTATTGCTTTTACCGTTTTGGCAGTGAAGATCATCATAAGTGCACAGGGTGAACAAACCCCTCCCAGCCATCTGGGACGAATCGTAGAGTGGAAGAATCATAGAGTGGAGTCGGACTCCACGCGATGGAGCACAACCATTGTACACTCTACTCTTGACTTGTAGAGATGTTAGCCCACAAACCTTGACAAGCTCTCAATTTCTGGTTCGACTTGACGTCTCGGGGCTGCCCGCTCCCCTTTTCTTCGCTGTCAACTTTCTTATATATCCGCCGTGTCCACTGGGGAATTCGGGGAACCGAATGGATCATTGTTCCGAGCGTCATGGCTTCTTCCATTACGCCGGCCATGCCGCCGCCGGCGGGTCTGACATCCAACTTCGTCGACCCGCCGCATAAAAGCACGCCGTTTCTAGTGGTTAATTGCATTTTCTTGCCATTGGCCGTGCTTGGGCTGGCTATCAGAACATGGACTCGATTGTACATTGTCCGCAGCTTTCGATCTGATGATTGTAAGTGGCTGTCGTGAATATCGCCAATCAAGGGATGGCCGGCTGACCAACTGAATCTAGACTTCATGATTATCGCACTCGTATGTGGTCGGCCACTTGTGTCTAAGCTCGTTGCTAACCACCTGTCGACTATAGCTTCTATCATGCGTTCTCACCGGTGTCACACTTGATAGTATGAATCATATTGCTCGATTCACGCAAACTTGAAACGCTGACACAAACCAACAGTGCTCAATTGGGGTCTAGGGAGGCACATGTGGGATGTCCCGGCAACATACCTCTCGCCGATGTTCGCAAAGGTAAGCGATCATCAATTTGATATGCGTCCCAGTTTGCTAATATACTTGATTTGTAAATAGTTGAACCTGACTTCCGCCATTGTCTACTGCGCCGCAACTGGGTTTACCAAAACCTCCGTCCTTGTGTTCTACCTTCGCATCTTTCCGAGTCGAAACTTCCATATTGCTGTCTGGATCATCGTATTCATTGCCGTGGGTTACAGTTTAGCTAGTGTACTCGCCAACCTTTTGAGCTGCACTCCGGTTGCTAAATCATGGGATGCGACAATCACCACGGGCCATTGCATGAACCGGCCGGTCTTTTATTTTGCAAACGCCGGACTGGGAATCTTTACCGACTTTGCTACCGTCATTGTTCCGATGTATGTTGTCGCACGTTGGATGACACCCGCAGAAGCTAATCTATGTTACAGACCGTGGCTACGTAGATTGCAAATGCCATTACGGCAGAAGATTGCGGTCAGCGCCATCTTAGCTATGGGTTGTTTGTGAGTGATCCCTCTATCTGATCTCTAGCAAGTACTAACGACTGAATTCAGCGTGGGTGTTGTGAGCTGTATTCGGCTGGCATCTCTTTACACTCTTTTGAGGAGCCCTGATCTTACCTGTAAGAACCTTGAAATTCATATGTGTGAGAAATAACTAATTTAGTGACAGGGGCCACTACTGATGCACTAATGTGGTGCTGCATTGAGTTGAATCTGGGGATCTTCGGCGGCTGTGGTAAGAATAAGTCCGTGCTATCGCGTTGATATCCCGAATACTAACCCAGAAAATAGTCACTGCAATCAGACCTTTTGTTCGACGATACTTCCCTCGCTTGCTGGGTCTTTCTGCCTCGGGCGATACCTCCAAGTCTCGCAAATACGGCCACCAACTTGGTTCCTATCCTCACAGCAGTCGTCCGGATTTCACTGGACGCAGCAACAATCAGTACTCTGCCACTCTCACCACTAACACCAAGGCACCAGACAATGAAAGCGAAGAGCACATCTTGTCGCCAGGGTTGAGCGTTGGAAAAGAGGAAGGGATTGTCCGGACAGTGGAGTTCGATATTGAGAATGTATCGAGCTCGCGAGTCCGAGTTCATTGATAAAAGCCACTAGTGTAATATAATTAACCGAGGCACGATGTATGATTTAAAATAATGTCCAATGACCTTGGGAGACTCGAAATTGCATTTTAAGCGCACTATAAACCAATGATGGCGTTGAATTAGTCCGTAGCGCGGCCTAGGTGGGACCCCCTTGAATCATGCATCAATTCTTCACTGATTATGCTTAAATTGCAATTCCAGATCATACGAGTATCGGGTATCATTCACGTGTTGGGGGCCAGATTTCATGCGAACGCCTATTGTCCAAGTGTACTCCATACAGTCTGTAGTCTCGCAAGCGACGTTCATCCCAATTTCCGCGGAGTGCCCACACAAAAGTGGACCGCACCGCGTTACATGATTCAACCCTACACAGCAGCCCCCAATGCGGCTAGAGGACAAGCTAGAGAAGCTTCAGCGAAACACCCCCCAAATCAAGGTACCCGTGGACCTGGTGGAGAGAGCACCGTTACAAATCACTGAAGGGTCTTCCGTTTCACACCCCCCTTGAGACCTTGAGATTGTACTCGCTGTAGGAATCCGACACCATGCGCGTTCCATCTGTACTTTCTCTGGCTGGCGTCGCTGCGGCGTCGTCGCTCTCGGCCCCGGCTGCCCCGGCTTCGCATGTCTCGGGCTGCTCCGCCCTGCGTGCACCCCTGGGTAACGCGCTGTTCCCTCGGGGCAGCAGTGTCTACAAGTATGAGGCGGCGAATTTTTGGTCAAACACCGAGGTGATGACTCCTGGGTGTGTTTTCCGGCCGCAGTCTAGTGAGCAGTTGGCTGAAGGCATTCATGCGTTGGCCAATGCGAATGCCGAATTCGCTGTTCGGGGTGGTGGACATATGGGTATCCGGGTGTGTGGCAAAAGTCAATTGCATATGAAACACGTCTAATAGTCGCAGGGATCAAACAACATCGATGATGGAGTTTTGATTGTCATGTCCAACTTGACTACTTTGGAAGTGAACGAGGATCACTCTATTGTGTCGATTGGACCTTCCCACCGGTGAGTGTGATCTGTTTTTCTTTTATGAACAATCGTTAACTCCCAACTAGTTGGAGCGATGTCTACGCCTACCTGCAGAAGTTTGACCTCTCTGCCGCTGGTGGTCGTCTCGGTCCCGTCGGCGTCCCGGGATTGCTGCTCGCTGGCGGTGTCAACTTCTACGGCAACCAGGTCGGCTTCGGCTGTGATACCGTCGTCAACTACGAGGTTGTGCTGGCCGATGGATCCATTGTCCAGGCCAACCAGACAAGCAACCAGGACTTGTTCTGGGCTCTGAAGGGTGGAAGTAGCAACTTTGGAATCGTCACCCGATTTGATTTGGAAACTGTCAAGTCACGCAAGGTCTGGGCGGGTTCTCACACCGTGTCTGCTCAGTACATTGATCAATTCCTGGCCGTATGAATGACCATTTCCCAACCATCAAATTCGTTACTGACTTTCCCAGGCTGCTGCTACCTACGCATCCAACATCTACGATGCCAAGACTCACATTGTGCCCGCTCTGGTGCCAGGCGAGACTACCCTCGCCTCGGTGATCCTGTTCTATGACAGTGACAGCACTAGCTACCCTGAGATCTTCAAGCCGTTCACCGACATCCCGGCTATCAGCAGCACTCTCGACTTCAAGACTGTCAGTGACTTTGCCGCTGAGACCGGAGCGATGGTGATTGAGGGAATCAAGTAAGATCAAATTCTCCTCTAACATTACACAACTAACCATATCTAGTGATGTCTTCGTTGCTGGTACCGTCAAGGGAACAACCTACAAGGAATTGCTCCAGGGAATCACCATAATCAACCAAACCTTCTTTGAAGAACTCCCCAAGCTGTACAAGCAAATCCCTACCGCCAACATCTCCACCATCCAACTCGACTGGCAGCCCATCGGCGCTGACTGGATGAAGGCCTCTGAAGCCCGCGGTGGAAACGCCCTAGGCCTGGACTCCTCGCAGATCTACCTCTGCTACGCCGAGGTCGTCGAGTGGATTGGATCTGCTTACGATGACATCGTCGCCGAGTGGGTCGAGGAAACTACCTACAAGATCAACAACGCTACCCAGAAGGCTGGTCTCTACGACGCTTTCAACTACATGGGTGATTCTGCTGGCTTCCAATCTATCTTCCCTGGCTATGGTGAGGAGAACCACCAGAAGCTTGTGAATGTGGCACAGAAGTACGACCCCAATGCCGTTTTCCAGACTTTGATGCCTGGTGGCTTTAAGGTATACTAAGCACTGTTGATATTCTTTGATATCTTTCGAGCACATTATAATACAATTTGTCGAATATTTGAGCTGTTACTTAGTTACCTTTACACAAGGCGTCGGTTGAAGATATGAGCACCCAATCTACGCCGTTTATGTAATTTTTGAATGGGAGAAGCTCTGTTTGATTTCCATGATCATTCAGGGTTTGGTCTGAAGCTTGGCTTGTGACATCTATGTCCCTGGTGAATGTGAGAGGCCATGAGAACCTTGGAGGGGGGGGGGGGGGGGGGGGGGGTTTTTTTTGTGAAAAGAAAAAGAAAAGGGGGGGGGGGGGGGCCCGGCCCCCTGTTAGAAAAAATTTTTTTTCAAAGTGTTTGTTTAGAGGGGCGGGGTTGGCCCGCCCCCCTTCCC